AAGTTGTTTCATGTATTCATTCTTCCCATTTGTTGTGCGTTCATACATATGATTGTGATTTATAAGTCAATATAATATTTTAACAGGCCACTGTGTTTTAAGTAGTTACTGTAGGATTCTGACGATGGTGTATAACACACTGATATGTTGGGATTTTGGACTTTATCCATCGTCCTGGTTTTTAAGATAACAAATAAAAACACTGGAGTCCAGTGATTGAGGCTATCTCTTTCTAAGGGACCCAACTGAATAGGTGTTTTCCTTCACCTGAGGACGGAAACAGATCCAGTTTCCGAAACGTCGTGTTTTTATTTGTTATCTTAAAAACCAGGACGATGGATAAAGTCCAAAATCCCAACATATCAGTGCACTGTGTTTTAGATAACAGGAAAATTAATCGATCATTAAAATTTGGGGAAAAGTGTAAGTAAAGAGGGTGGCAGACAAAATATTAAGGTTAAAATTACTATTCCAAAATAGGCATGTTTAACGATATAATGACATATGAAAAATTTCGAGGCAGCAGCTGTTTAACGTAGGAACGGCGGCAGCGTCCTCTGAGAACACAGAACAGAGCTGAATGAGATAATACTTCATTTACCACGCTTTAGTGGCTGTTGTTAAAATATGCCTGGAAAATAATTTTGAAGCTAGAACTTCCGCAGGACACTTCGACACTGTGTAGCGGTAAGGAACACTGACATAGAGCACTGGAGAACTCAGTGTTCTGACAGAACGGCGTGACTCTGTCTCGGAGACGTTGACCCTTCGTTGCAGTAGAATCATGTTTAACGGTCTGCAAACCGCTGAACTGATAAAAAGCTGCCCGTTTCTTTGGGCTTCCAGGCCAGTGCGATCGTCACCCCGAGAAGCTGAAAGCGAGGACTAAGGTGCTAATCAGCAGGCCGTGCCTTAGAATGCGTGACTGAGTGTCCTAGCTTCAAAGCTAGATCACGTGTTCGAATTAAATAACCTTTTGCGGAGTTGATGCAATTCACAAAGAACACTTCGCACCTCCTGCTCATGTTTAAACTTTACTGCAAATTCGCATTTGGATTGAATCTAAAGTTATTTAATGACTAGATGTTATATTTTATTAGCATTCTGTTGATAGATCTCTTCCAAAAAGACCGCATTGTAATGACGTACGAACGCATTTCCCTCACGTTTGGTTGATTCTTGAGTAATGTAACGACGCTTTTCAACTCTAGACATAACTAAATATCGAATGAGGTGAGATGATTATAATGAATGTAGGATTGTTAAGGACCTGAAAGGATGCAGTAAAGGTACGAACCAACCAAGCATTCTCCTAGGGTGTCCAAGGTAAATTGCTGGAAATGGACAGGAAGATCGATAACCCTGCTCTCGAGTAAAATGTTCGTGCGGTGACACTTCAGACTTGTGTCTGGAAGATGCCTTGACTCGACTGTCCAGACTTGCTTTTTTTTATCGCCAGGCAAATGGCGGACAGGACCGTAAATTACTCCATAGCCACTTCCTTACACATCCTTTCCAATTCATTACCCACTGTCATCCGATCATTCTGCGCTATATAGTCTGAGTTACCCACAGTGTCGTTAAACAGACTACAAAAATACAAGTACATGAATAAAAATATGAGCCCCTGCAGAGACTGGAACCTAAAATGGTTCATACTGCTTCGTAGTCGTAGCATAGGTTTCTTGATGTCCTGGAATATCTAACTGCTCCAGGAAAACGTTTGAATACTAGCCCAAAATGGTTACGAACACCTCATTTCACATCGGCCTTAATGTGTTGTAATCATCCCTTGATTCGACGTTATGTAACGTAAACAGCTGACAAAGCGGAATTTTGGATTATTAAATCATCGAAATTTTCCATAGGGCTTATTTATTTGAAATATGAAGTAGACTGATCTCTCGTGAAAATATTTTTCAGCCCACTTTGCTAATTGAAGGAAAGATGGGTCATGGGGTTATTTTCTCCGCTTGTCTTGGCTGATCTGTGCCCGTATGTCGTTATTCGTTTAATACATTTGAACTAATTTACCGATTTTAACGACATATATATATATATATACTGAAAATAAAACAATTTTCTTTACTTTAATTCCCTTTCATCAGTTTGGAGAAATAACGGAACTTTTTAATTTATGAATCGAAAACTTTCTATGGCATGTCTTTGAAACGTGAACAGTTAGATTACTTAGACAAATCTTTTTGTGTGTGTCGAACATAAGCTGATATGCTGGAAGCCGCACACATTTTGTGTTGAGGCCCTTTCTCCCTTTGAAAGCTACGACCATGACCATAGTAAGGCGCATTAAATTTGGTATGACCCTAGATCACATAAATAACTTTCTTATGTGCCGAAAATGAAAGTATGGCCATAGTGCAAAACTTCCCTTTTTATTTTATTTTTTATTGCTAGTTGGGTGGGACTAAGTCCCTTGTACTGCGGCCATTTCTGGCCTATTGTACCAGCCCCAGATGATAGGTGAGGGTGATTGTGGAGCAATTGGTGGAATGAAGATTGGCAGGGGAAACCGAAGTACTCGGAGAAAACCTGCCCCAGCGCCACTTTGTCCACCACAAATCCCTCTTGATCAGAATCGGGATCGAACCCGGGCCGCCGCGATGGGAAGCCAGCGACTAACCGCTTGAGCTATGGCGCGGCCGAAGACTTCACGTTAGTATCTAGCACTTCTTGTGTACCGACATGGAGCAGATTTTTCCACTTTTCTTGTCAGTTTACTTACTTACGCCTTTTTATGCTGTGTACCGCCCTTCTCTTCCACAACGAATCCAAGGTTTTTCGCTGGTTGTAAGTTACTGTCGTGTGAGAAAATAAATACTTGGTTTCGTTTCTTTGAAACTCGTCATCGCTTATTCATTTTACTCCGATGTGTTTGTCGTGCAAATTATAGTGCTCGTAAACAAGTGGAAACGAGGTTGTAACTGTAGAGGCTTCAGGAAGGATGGCTGTACAAGCCACGTGTTTACCAGTCGCACCTCTTTTAAGTGTGTTGATAATTTGAGGTATAGATTCCCCTTCCGCCCTTACATGAGTCGCACCGTAATGTGCTGCTTTGCGGCACATCCCCCATGTGGCGTGTTATGGGCGTGGCCCCAATGCGGTACACATCGCGTGCATCAAATTACTTACACTGCATTTTGTAGTCATCATTCATTCTAATATAAAGAGGGCCGAGCTGCTGAAGTAGCTGTCTTAATATCCGGCCTCAACACATGAGAGAAATGAGGAGCCCTTTTGGTACAGGTTGTGGGGATTGTAAGAAGGAAAGAATCATGTTTTGCAGTGTTTTGTGTATCTCATTGATCTTGATGGTCTGCTGATACAAATATATTGTTATGAAATCATCCACAATATATTAGTCAGAAATTATTTTTCATACTATTGTTTTAGATACTCACTTATGGAAGAAATGTCCATGTAAGAATTGTATATCCTAGTGACAGCTGCAGTGTTTTAAAAATGTCACGCATGAAGTTTCCTTTATTTCTGTAACGACGTCTTCAGTATTTCATTATATGGCGTCGAATGGTAGAATGAATTCGAAAGGATATAGAAGGAGACTTCCATGAAGGTGCCATCTCAGCATTTCCGTAGAGAGAAAACCACAGTTGGAATAGCCGGTTTCCTGGCCGAGATTTGAACTCCGGTCTGCTATGAAGCAGGAGTGCCAACTAGTGAGTGGCGACGTTCTGGCTGTATGATGAATATTTTTTTAATCAAAGTTATGAATTCAGTTTCAACTTCATACATATATGGAAGATTATTTATCTGACGTGGCCGGAAATGAAACTTCAGTATAGACCTTCCCAATACGAAATTCGTTTGTTCAGTCGTTTCGGAGGTACAGATATCCAAATTGTCAGTCTCCAAATTTTGCTTCTGATTAGTTCATATCGTGGGAAGAATGCTTTGAAAACTGCTTGAATTGAGTTTATGCATGGACTAGGTGCATTTTAGTAGGAAAAAAATGTATGTTTTAGAATGGAATGTTTTAATTATAATAATGCATCAAAGAGATTTCACTTACGTTTGCAGCAGTAAACTCTGATAATCTTGTGTCATTTCAGAAGGCAGTATGTCGATAAACATTTTGTAGAGGAGCGGAAAACTCCATTGACTCACACCTTGTGGTATAAATTAACCGGTAGAGACATTCAGTCTTCTTATGTTTTGATAACTTTTAGTAGGATCAGTTACTGCATTTCTCATGAAAATTATAAGTGTTTCAATAGTAGCATAGCATTTCTGCCTTACCGCAAGTCCCGTAGCTACGAGGTAGAGTCAATAAATAGGTCACAAATTGATATAAAACATGAAACATAAGATATTCGATTTGGAAGAAAACATTTATTGCTCGACATATCCTCCACCAACATTGATACACTTGTCTAATCGCTTCACCAGTCGGTTGTTGAAACTCGCTGCATAGAAGTCTTGACTATTATCTCAACCTCTTCTGCATCGCTGTTTCAACCTCTTTGTCAGCGAAACGTTGGCCACCAAATAACAATTAAAAGAGTAAGTTCTCCCACCTAAGTTCATAGATCTGCACTAATGTAAACATTATTATTATTATTATTATTATTATTATTATTATTATTATTATTATTTATTATTATTCGGGGGGGGGGGTTACTTAACTTTTATCAGCAAAAGTTCACAGTTGAGGAAAGATGGAAGTTCTTCTTTATTTATTGTACACATGATTTCATCCTTGATGTGTTTGCTGAGTAAAAAATGGAAAGATACATTTAGGAATTTTACATCTTTCAGTATTTTTTCTTGAAATTGTCCGTTTTATGTTATTTATATAAGAAAATTAAAAGGTGACACTATGAATTGAAAATCTAGAGGCACTAACAGAGGAAATGTGCCAGAATTGTTACTCTGTGTGTACATTTCCTTAAAGAACTTGCCCTTTCTCTCTGTTGACAAACATTTCCTTATTATTTTCTGATGAACCAAATTTTGTGTTTCAGGCTTTCTCACCGGGCCACAAATATGTTGTGTCTGTTGGTTCCCAACATGACATGATAGTGAATGTATGGGACTGGCGATCAAATGTGAAGGTTGCTTCAAACAAAGTGTCTGCCAAGGTGAAAGCAGTGTCTTTTGCTGAAAATGGAAACTACTTTGTCACAGTTGGTAATAGACACGTTAAATTCTGGTACCTGGAGTATTCACGGTCTGCTAAGGTAATTTTCAGTGCAGTTCTTCAAAGTGTCTTCCTCGGTTTGAAATAATGCAAAGTAGGTATTACAGGAGTGCATTGCATTTTAAAATGATACCAACATATGAACGTCTGAGAATTCCAGGGGTACGTGGCTATTGAAGCCTTAGATGTGTTTTTCTCCTAATTCTTGAACAGTTCTTCAACAAGTTCCCTTAAAGTACAGAGTTTATATGGTCTCTGGAGAGCAGTCAGGGAATTATTCAGTCTCATTTGCCAGGTTCTCATTTCCGATCCCATTTGTCATTAATGTTTGTTATGGAATACACACTCAGTTAACATAAAATATGGCAGTGCTTCAGCCCACTAAAACATTATGTTTCATTGTTGTTATAATGAAATATACAGAAAATTCTGTCATTATTATGCAAATACAGAATTCAGTGCATGGTGCTTGTTGTATGACCCACAGTATTATGTTATTAAAACTGAAAATGGGGTTTTACCTGATGGCAGTGGTAGTACTTGTACAATAAGACACAAAACACAAATAGCACACACAACACAAAATAACACACCACACAGTACACAAAACTATACAGCAGCAAAGTTATGATGAAGTTTTAAAGTGCAGCAGACATGCTTATATATACAAATAGCAGTAAAGGGCACCAGTTGTATCTGGTCTATATTTAGATCTCTTAGGCATAATGTAACCATGCTCTTGCATAGCAGATTTGGTTAAGTTTCGTATCAGCAGCTGTCACTGACTGCCATTACACTTAACCAAAATATTTTTCAGATGAAAGTTATAAATATTAGCTCCTGTGGCAACAGATCTTTCAGTAATAATCCATAAATGGAATTATGGGAAGTTCTAGTTAAGGAGTCTGGAGGCCCTTGGCTTCACCACAGAACTCTGTCATTGCATATTGGATTTCAGAAACCAATCAGAAGCATGCTCTTATTTTTGAATTTTCCAAAGTCTGAACATAAAAATATGTGTTAACTTCGGTGACAGCATAGCTTCTGTACAATTGCTGATGGTGATTAAATATGCACATGCACTTTTGACCACACTGCTAATCTGTGTATGATTTGTAAAGATTCTTGTTAATGCAAATATATACTAAATTTGTTGTCTGTTAACCAGTCAGGCTTAGAATAACATTTAGCATAATAACTTTCCTTATTTTATTTTTTGAGATGTATACATTCCTTTTATCTTTATGTGTACAATGTGCAACTATTCCTTTGGACTCCAAACCACTGCACAGTGTTTTTATATGAAATCGGGATTAGCAAGTTTTAGCTAGCTGAACATGTGTTTTCTCTGCAGTTAGTGTGCATCAGGTTTTAAAAAATCAACAATATAAGAGTGAAATTTATTATCTATTGACTTTCCTTCATGAATACCTCTAGCCTGTACACAAGTGATGACCCTGCATTTTATGCCACTTAAGGTATTATGGTCAGGCTCATTCATTTACAAAGACAAGCACAGCTATATTTTAACACACAAATGGGCCTGTCAGTGCAGACATACACAGCCAGAAATGAAAAATCCATGCCAGTATCAACTGTTGTTTATAATGTTAATGCAGTCTGCTTTGGCACTGTGCAACTCCTAACCTTATCTAGTAAGCTGTTTGTAAAGAAAAGTTGTAGGAAGCAGAACTGTACATCATAATATCATTTTTGGTTTCCTTTATTATATCATCATCATAACATACTTTTTAGAATTAGGCATAATTATCTGTTGTTAAGGCCTCCCAAGTCTCTCCAGCTTTTCACTTAGTGCCCAAGATCTCTTTGTTCCAGTGGTTTCTATCTGTGTCTGCTTCGTCGTGTCTCTCATCTTCATTCTGTGTATGTATTATAGTCAACTTTCTGCTGTTCTCAAATTCCACAGAAAAGTCTGGAATTTTTAATTACTTTCATATGTATTTCATTATCTAGTCCTTTTAATACAAAGAGAAGACCTGGAAAATGTCATTTGTGTTCCTTTCTTTCAGTACTGAAGCCTCTTATTATGTGTTTTATTTCTTGCATGCAGAAAATATGTTTCAAAGAATGCCTGGCGATCTGAATATTAACTAATACTCATAAATTTATGTATGAAATTTAATTGCAGTACAAAGAACCTGTGCCACTAATGGGTCGATCAGCTATCTTGGGTGAACAGCGAAACAATTATTTCTGTGATGTCGCCTGTGGTAGGGGTGATATGGGTGATTCAACATATGCCATCACAAAGTCAGGATTGTTGTGTGAATTTAATAATAGAAGACTGTTGGATAAATGGGTTGAGTTACGGGTGAGTATCTTAATATGATGCTGGATGTTGGACATCCACGTAATGAGCAGTTTACGAAAACTTATATAAGTAAAAATGGGAGAGCTCTATTAATCATTGAGAATGTTCTTTTCTTGTCAAATGCAGATATTTTGAAAGAAAACTGAAACCATTTCAGATGAAAATATGCTGTTGTATTAACCTTAACACAGTGATGTGCAGCAGTGATCAAGTGCATTTAAATAAATACATTTCATTCTTTAAGATATAATAAATTTAAATGGTGCAGCAAGGAGTCCTTTTTGACCATAGCCTTTCTTAGAAGATCCTGCCAAGATTTGATCCAGTTTTCACTTCTTCAGATTTTGCAACAGTGATTTTTTTTACAGGACAAGGTCAAAGAGAAAAACTTGACTGTTTTACACATACATAATGTGCCCTTTTTCCTGCAGATACTCCCTGAAGAATACACACTACACTATATTCACACACATTTGGCTCTATTGTTTTACTAGAAGCTGCAACAGAAAATGTTATTTGATGATATTTATGGCTAAAAATATATTTATTACCAGTTTGGTTGTCTTGTTCATGGTAAGTAGATGATTGTATTTCTGGAGCCCTGCCCATGGGATAACCTTAATCCTTTGTTGCACCAGTTATGTTCACTGTATCCTAGTGCTATCAGTTCAGTTAATTTTAGCACCCTTCAGGCCCTACATTTTTATGTATTAAGTTTGACTGGAGACATTTAAGTGTACTGGTTTCTTCTTTGTTAGATGCATTTACTGACATCTTCATTTTTATCTCTGTACATTGTTAGCAGGAAGTCTGTAGTAGATTTACATCTCAGAAATTTATTTTTATGATTCATGTCCCTTGCATGTCTTATGCATTTAACTATCAAATGTTCTTTTGTTTTTATAATGCTGTTTTCAGACAACAAGTGCTAACTGTATGACTGTTGGAGAGATCTTTATCTTCATTGGCTGTGCTGAGGGAATTGTCAGGTGTTTCAGTCCTACAACCCTCCAGTTTGTTACCACATTACCCAGAACACATTACCTCGGTGTGGATGTGGCACAAGGACTATCCATTAGGTTTGTAGTAACGGAATAACAAAGGCTTTTCCGTTTCTCTATGTTGGTTTTAAAATTCTATCCCAGCCAGATATTCATCAGATTCCCCTTCCACCTCATCCTTTTCCCCACAAGACACAATTTTTGCAAGTATATTTTTAACAATTTTAAATTCAGAAATTGAAAAAATAAATCATTCTCAGTTTTGCACAGATTGTAGTGTTGCCTCTTAGTATGGCTGATTTTTGAGACACTTGGTCATGCATTCACCCTTGTGTAGGAAAACCTGACAGGTACTGTGGAGTTACCCGAAGATAGTGTGGGCCAAGAAGGTCACTATTACTGTAACTGGATGCATCAGGCAAAGCAAGAAAAATGAAGTTAAGCAAAGGCTGAGAGGTGTAAAAGATGTACTCCATTGAAGTACATGTATTTTCAAAGTGCATTCTTTGTGAGTTGCAGCCCACGTTGCCCTTGACATTCAATTGTTGCAGATTCAGACAGTGGTCATCACGAAGCTAATCACACTACATGGAGTTAGAAATTATTTTAATTGTATTTTGTTAAATGTCAGCCAATCAAAAGGTATTTCAAATGGAAGTTGTAGATGACAGTAAAGATTTATATTTTGTATTATGTAAAAATACTTTGTACAGTTCCTGTTGAACTTTGTGTAAGGCAGGTGTCATATTGGATTCATATGAACCAGAATAAAATCTGCATGACAAGTTTTGCTATATATACGCCCCCTATCCTGATGAGGTCATTGGATTTTTTTCTATTGACCTAATCTTTCCAGCTGCACTATGGCCCTGTGGTCGACTTAGCCTATAACAGAAGTGAGTACCAGGAATTAATTAAATAATGTTCCTGGGGAGTAAAGCGGGGCCGGCGTGTAAGGCTGACAACGCCGTCTTTGAGCTGATTGTCTAGATAATGTGGGACCCTGAACATCTCACATCCCTATGGGCCTTCACGGCCTCTTACAGGGATAGCTTTCCTTTACTTTACTTATCCCAGTATTAACTTTCTGTGGTTTCAGGAATGAATCATACAGATATATGGATAGGACATCCCCATTATGCATTAATGTTATGCCCCTTTAGCAATGAATAAATAAGAATACAAGTAGTGTAAATACGCTGTACATCTGTGTGTTCCAGTGCCAAGTGAGATTCATTAACCATGCTGATCATGTAAAGCATTTCACTAAGAATAATATTGTTTCATTTCAGTCACATGGCTACACATCCAAATAATGCCAAATACCCAGATGTTATAGCATTAGCATTTGATCAGCGCAATCTGAAGCTGACGTGTGTATATAATGACCACAGCTTATATGTATGGGATGTACAAAACATCAAACGGGTAAGTCATATATTATGATAATTTCTTTTCTATATAGAAGAGTAGCATTAATTTTATAGTGTCTTATGGTCATACATGGGTTTCAGGTGGTCATTGTTGTTGAGCTATTGCTATCCCTCTTTGATATATTCTCTTTGTTTCAGTGAAATCAATTCAGAAATATATATTGTGTACATTTTCTGGTTATAAAGTAAATATAATATAAAACAAAGTCAGCTTTCCATATATAAGTCTAATAGTGGTTATAACAACATGAAAGGAATGGAGAAATCTTAGTAATAAAAATGTGGAAGCGTTATTAAGATGTGTTTTATATATTTGGATAAATTTTATTATATATTTCAAAACTGTAAACATGGAAAAGCAGTTGTCACTCCAGTAGGACCTGGGAATATTATAGTGTTAATAATACTGAGCCAGTTAGTGTAACTATGCTATGTTCTAGACATTTATTCAGGAGGTGCTGGGATGCCATCTTCCTTCCTGACTCAGGTTTTTCATGGATTTCCTCAGTCCTACCAGGGAAATCCTGGGGAAATACCTCAGTTAGGTTAAGATATCTTCCCTCCCCATTCTTTCTGATTCATCATTCATTAATCATCCTCCATAGAACACTGTGTAGCCTTAGATACATTTCTAAAATAAACCACACATGGTGCCATTTGGAAGAGATAAAGATAAAATTCAGATGATTAGGTTGTTTGCTTTGGATCATATTGATATTTTTTCAGGTGGGCAAATCTCACTCATTCCTGTTCCATTCTGCATGTATATGGGGTGTTGAGATGTTTCCTCCTGTAGAACATGAAGGTGGCAGTGCATTGCCAATGATGCCTCCAGGTTCATTGGTCACTTGCTCAAGCGATGATACGATTAGGGTGTGGAACCTAGAATCTAACCTTCCACCAGACAATGATACTCTGTATAAGAGGAACATCTACAGTAATGTGAGTATTTGGAACTTGAGAATATTAAATTTAATCATGCAGCTGAAGGGGATATGTCTTCTCTATTATTTATTTTTCTTTCTTCACCTATCCCACTGTAATTTTTTATGCATTCCCAGGTTATAAGCCTGTGGTCTGTTGAGCCTTATGATCTTTTCCTGGATCATCAAGAATCTCTCTTCTGTCTGATGATTCAAGTACATCTATCTGTTAAGGATAATGTTATCCATGCTTTGTATATGATGGAAATGTTTTGTTCTGTTGTAACTTACCTTCTCCCTCACTGCAGATATGGCAGACTCCTTTCTGGTAGCTTCCTTTAGGAGATGTAGTTAATTGCATTACAGTTTGTTGTCTTGCATGATTAACTTACTAGTTTTGTTACATATAATGTATCTCTTTGTAACAGAACATTTACATGCTCTTCTATAGTTTTGTGTAGCTGAGAAGCCAACCGTCCAGAATGAAGCTTCGTATGGTTTTCTGAATTGCTATGGGCAAACGCTGAAATAGGACATAATATTGTAACATGTTAGTGACTAGAAGCAAGGTTGTAACCTGTCACTACAAGTAACTATAACACTGTCACTAATCAACACACTTAACTCATCACTATGGCATACCTCAGTCTGTTAACAATCTTCACCAGTTGTTGCTTGGTAGTGGCATTTAACAATCCAACTGCTTCCACTTTCGTGTTTACATCATTGCCAGCTCTCATCTCACATCTCACATATGACCTAGCCATGACTCATCCTACTGACTTGTCCAGATGTCCTCACTATATTACCTCAGCATGGGCGGCATAGGAAACACTATTTCCCACAGCTCTTCTGTTGCATGTTGACTCTCCAACAATTGCTGTGGTGCTGTGTGTTGATTTGTTGCTGCAGAAATGTGTTCTGGTTGCCATTGCCTACCAAGGGTTGTCTCTTCTGGCTTTCATAATATGCTATGAACTTTTCTTTCCACACTGTTCCAAATATTCACTCATCATCATGTTATTTGTCATCTGATACTGTATGCTTCAACATCTGACAGAGTATCTTTAAATGACTAAAAAATTTTGTTCTTTAGAAGTGTCTGTACATTACTTACAGTTTAAATCTGATATGAAAGTAGTATTTCGATAACATGTTGGCTACCAAGTGACAAGCATACTTTGCATGCAGTGTAACCCACTGGGGTGCACACACTAGAAACTACTTCCAGTAGACAAATTACACATAAGATTTTTACCTGTTTATTATATTATAATCCTGGATTAAATTACAGATCCACATGACAGATAGTACCTGGAAGAGAATTTTTAAAGCCAACATTATACAATTCAGACATTATGTGAAGTATTTGCAATTTCCCATAATAGCCTTGAGTTCTCTAGTCTCTTTTTGTATGGTACTGTATTTCATATTGAAGTAAGTAACTTATGTATAGAACTAAAATCTGTTTCAGGAACTGCTGAAGGTGCTGTATGTGGATCCTGAGCTCACTTACATTAAAGATTTAGAGTTGTCTGGTGCAGGTACTTCAGAAAAGACTGACAGTTCATATGATGGTCGGAATGGTGTGAGATCAATACGCATCAGCCCAGATGGCAAGCATCTTGCCTCAGGGGACAGAGCTGGTAACATCAGGTATGTAATTCAGAGTGAGGGTTTGTATTCAGGCACACAGATTGTCATGATATCCTCAACACTCTAGCTTCATATGTGGGATCATCATTTATTTAAATATAAGTTGGGAGGTTTTCCTCAACCTCCCCAGGCAGATCCTTGGATAGTGCCCTCCAGGAAGCCAGTATGACCTTTCACATTTTTCTCAACTTACCATTTCTCATCTGGGAACTTTGTGACTTAGATGTGACTTTTGAATTTAAAATTCTTATTTTATTATTGTCAGCAATATGAAAGTATGGCTGTCGTGTTCTGAACTTGAGCTAGCATGTGAAGATTCAGATTCATCTGTTTAAATCATTCTCCATGGTAGTTTTGCTACAAATTACAAATGTGGGTGTCTTGCTGGAAACAGAAAGAAATCATAATTTTTCTTTTCATGTTATTTCACATATAAGGCATTCTAAATTTTGTATTTCTGTAGAATCCATGAGTTGCAAAACCTCCAAGAGCTGTGTCGGATAGAAGCCCATGATGCCGAAGTACTTTGTCTTGAATACAGTCGTCATGATAGTGGGCATCGACTACTTGCTTCTGCTTCCAGGGACCGCCTTATACATGTCTTCAATGTAGATGAGGTATTCAACTACTATTTAAATGTTAAAATGCATTATAAAAGTGGAAAATAATTTAAAAGAGACTGACTAGCAAATCTCTGTAAAAGGGAAATTTTACCACACTGTTAGAGATAATATTTAGAAATGAGAAGGTTTAGAGATCAATAAAATTACATTAAACCTATTACTTTCCATTTTGAACATGGACTGAGACAGATTAATCGAATAGATACAGAATTTATATGGCTTATCAAGAAACAAATACGAAAGAACAGAATCCAAAACTGTTGCATTAGACAAGATTTTATAGCAGGAACACAATGAGAAAAGTTGGTCAAATTGAAGATACAGTTTTATGGTTGTGTTATAGATGAACAAAACCATGATTCCTCTTGGAGCTTCAGAAATTAAAATGTTGAATAAAGGATATTTGTAGTGTGAGATGTTTCTCTCAGGACAGTGTAGTACCAACTTATTTATTCTGATTCATTGCAGGAGTATAACTTTGTTCAAACACTGGATGATCATTCATCATCTATAACAGCTGTTCGATTCCTGAGCACACATGACCAACTGCAAATGGTATCATGTGGTGCTGACAAGTCTATCATATTTCGACAGCTACAAGGGGTAAGCTTTAGTGTCCTGTGTACTCTGTTTTGTAGGCATTGTACCTTTTAATGTAAATAAAGTTGGAGAACATGTGATTAGAAGTATTTATCTGTATAACTGACAACTGACATTAACTGGGGGACTGAAGTTAATTCTTCCCTGACGTATTGTTAGTGTAAGGAGCCCTTCAGAAATTTCCAGCATTGTAGTGCTAACGTGTGGTTGCTGGCTTGTGTAAACCTCCTTAGGTGTTGTGATAGTACCAGGTAGGTATTAGGTGCCTCCCCCCCACTGTAATTGTGCACCAACAACTGCTACTGATGTGCATCTGGGTGCAGTGCTTGAATGCACACAACATTTCATGTAGCATCATTTCAGCAGAAGTGGAAATCTCACCAGCAAAATGTGTTTCATATCCTTTGTAAATACCTGGGGATGCAGAAGGTACATGCATTGTATTCCACATTGCTGAATGATGATAAGTGTGTCTTTCTGTCCGGTACCCATTTACAGCATTTCCAAAAGGAAAGTGTCACATCCCTTCGTTGCATTTTATGTTGGCTGTGTCATATGTGCATTCATTTGATCTGGAACTTAGGCAGCAGTGTGCTGAATGACAGTCCCCCTCTTTCTTCTGAAGAGGATTGTGCAGAGAAGTCATGATGCTCTGAAAGTGATGCCCATTATATTCATCACTTATCAGAGGCTTTGCTTGACCATCCCACTGGCTGGTTGGTATCGCAGTAACACTCGGTACTTGTGTTTGGGAGGTGCCTTGATTTGAAGCAAATCTTTGCCAGAAGAGTACTGTCTTCTGCAGTATAATGCCTTGTAATCCACTGAAAGTCAACTGACATTTCGGAGGCGCACATAGCCTCCATCTTCAGGGTTGAAGACTAAGCCAAGCAAGATACTAAAGTGAAAGCACGATTTGCGTGTCCTGCGTAGCGCGACAAATAGTAACGAGAGTGCTACGTTATCGCCACGTGCCGCTGGGGAGGTAGGGGTCCTCCATTGTGCAACATGTCACAATATATATGGAAATTACTGTTGTCCCATGCAGTGTATGCTCAGTTCAGAATCTAGTAAATATTTCCATCTTTATGCTCATTATGAAGCAGTGTCTTATCCAGTAGCAGTAAAAAGGCAATGTACTTACATGTTTCCATTGCAGTTATTTTCATTCCTTTCTCTTATGTTCGCTGATCTTTTGCAGTGTAGACCTGTCCATACTCCATCAAAAAAAGACGATAATCTTAGCCATAATTTTTGTTAGTGCAGCAAGATCATATTGATTTATTCTACTACTGGCGACAGTGTGTGATTGTATCAAACATCCAGCCTTTCATGTTTTGCATTCTCATTCATATTAGTCAACCGAAGGATACACACAGTGATTACTATATTTGTGTCACTTTTCTTGAACTTTTGCAGACTCCTGGAGGAACACAGTACCAATTCTCAAGAGGTCACAACATTGCTGGTAAGACAACGCTGTATGACATGGAAGTGGATTCAGGACAGAAACATATTTTAACTGCTTGCCAGGATCGCAACATTCGTGTCTACAATGTTAGTAGCGGAAAACACAGCAAGACATACAAGGGTTCAATAGGTGAAGATGGCTCCCTTATTAAGGTTAGCATTTATTTTAGTACAGTAAACTGCTTTGGCATGTATGGGAAATAGGATGTTTTGGTTACATGAATCTGAAAGTTCCATTGGAAAAACTCTTACATAAACCCAATTTTCATATGATTTCACCCTTCTCTGATACTCCATTTTATCTTTCAAAGTCAGCCACAATCTCCCTGTGGCTGGTTTCCATCATTTGCATGGCCAGCAAAATGGTGTATGTCTTAGCCTGGTATTCATCCATCTTTTTCAGTATTTCCTCTTTGTCAGTCTTTCTATCAACGTCCATTTTCAACAGGGAATCTTTTTGGGCAGCCAGCAGGCGTTCCATCATTTCTTCCAAGTTCATTATGTGGCAGTATAATTCATTGTAACTTTTGGCGTGTTTTAAGTTCATAAACCAATTCTGACACCAAATTGTCTCGTGTTGGGTGTATAACGCGACAAATAACTTCACGCTGTCTTGGATGGTGCGAATTTATTGAACACNGTGTTGGGTGTATAACGCGACAAATAACTTCACGCTGTCTTGGATGTAGTGAATTTATTGAACGCTCGCTCTCACAATCACACAATTCACAATTACAATTACTGCCATCTGCAGTATCACAGTTACTTCTCCTGCTTCAATTCACTCCGGCAAATGCTAGACTGCAACTGACTGGTTACTCTGGTAATTCTCCTGTTATGTAGCTTCCGCACTGACAACACACAAAACAGTTACGTGATAGTTACCACTGTTGTGTAAATGCTGTGTTTACAGGCGTTGCTTGGGAACGTTGCCAAGAGTTGTTTATTGCTTCGTAGTAACCGCGGTATCCCCTGTTATGTCATAATAGGAAGTGCTGTTATGTCACTGCGGGGGAGGGGGACAGAGTGTTGACTTGCCTGTTGCCGTAGCAGCGGCAGTTGCTCCAATGCTGTTACATCACTGCTGGAAGGGGGTGGGATGTTTACCGAGCATTGTGCCATCCACGTCACAATATTATCACCTTAGTTCTTGCATGGTAGTCTTAGATGATATAAGACATTGATGGGTGAAAGATATCAGATGCATTGTAACACAGTCACAAATTCAACTAGGGTCTGCTGTAGTCTCAGTTGACTATGACTGTAATGGAACCTGCATGAGAGAGGGCAGTGGGCAGCACTGCTGCTGACGGATGGGAGAACTATTATGAAATGAGTGAACATTAGTGCATTACAACTTTGTTCTAGAAGTACCATCATAAAAAGGATGAATTTCCTTTGAAATTTTTGCCAGTTTTTATGCATAGTCCATGTGCTCACATGCCGGGTAATAAGGAGCTGACTGTATTGATATTATTTCAGTATTACAAAACGGGGAACTTTGTGATCTATACATCTCACCCAGTAGCATTTTCCCTGTACTTAATCACTGTGACATAAGAATGTATTGTGAAGTGGTATAAATCTCAATATTAAATTGGAGTAGTTAGAAAATTAGGCATTGGTTGAAATATTTTTTAAGGTAAAAATACAGTACTTAAATTTCTCATTTAATATTTTGGAAATACCAAAAGCCCATAGATACTGTGATAGCTCAGTCATTAAGGCAAATCTTATCCATTGTTGACAATAATTTTATAAATTATAGAAACCTCATGTAATTTTGTGATGGTGGGGAAGATTGCTAAGAACCATTAATTAATATGTCAGTAGTTCTCAGAGTAAATTATAGTAGCTCCTGTTTGTCAGTCTTCATTCTCATGGTCATCCTACCACTGGGATTAGTGTTGACTGTTTTGTTAGTGTTCCCTCTGTAGAAATGGGAATCCTTCACCTAGTGAACAGGTAGAGGTCAAGAAGTCAAGACTGGAATTAGAGCAGTTTACCACAGCAGCCTTTTTTGAGTGTTTTATTGTGTTCATTATACTAAAATCTCTTTCAAGAATTTTACCTTTAATTTGTATCTTTTGTAGGTTGTGCTGGATAGCAGCGGAATTTATTCAGCCACAAGCTGTACAGACAAGACCTTATGTGTGTATGACTACTATTCAGGTGAATGTATGGCAACAATGTTCGGTCACTCAGAACTGGTAACAGGTCTGCGTTTCACTAATGACTCTCGGCGACTGGTGTCAGCATCTGGTGATGGCTGTATTTTTGTATGGAAGGTCCCCCATGATATGGTGGTCACTATGCACGCCCGCCTAGCCCAGCAGGCAGCTCGTGCTGGAAGGAAAATTGCGTCTCAGATACCAAATGGACTTCATCTTGATAATGAGAACTTTGGCCCACCACCTCCAGAATTTTTTGATCCTAATGCAAATAGTGTGGAGCAGCCAGACTACAGGTCAGAAACTGTTTTCATTTTGTTTCTTCTTCTTTCCTTCAGCATATCCAATTCCCTTCTTCCTTCCTTGTTCATCCTTGCATCCCCACCTTTCAGTGTGAACAAGACTGCAGAAGAAGGTGAGAATTTACAAAAGTAGATATCTTTTACTGCTCGCATACAGACTTGTACAGTAGCAGCTAATACCCACTAGAAACATGTCATTAAAGTCGGTTCGGTGTAATTATGGCAGATTTCATAAAGTTGGTGTTAGAGAAGGTCAGTTTTGTTATGTAACACCAATATTGTTTTCTGTAGATTTAGTGTAGGTCAGTTACCACTGTGGGCCAAGAAGCAGATTGCAGATAACAGCTCCCCTCCAGCAAGTCTTATAAACCGTCAGATGGACCTGCCAAAAGGGCGCTGGGCCCAGAGACTGGATGCTGGTGGCATCACTGTGAAGTCTGTGTATGACAGTGACAGCATCATTCAGATTCCATTAGGACAAGGTAATGCATTTTAAGAATTCATCTTTTATATTCATTCGCCTCATGTTTTATTTCTTTTCTATGTGGTATACATGGGAAAGTACAGGAAAGTACTGTACCCATGAAAATAATTCCTCTCAAGCTTTTGACAGATCTGCACATTCTCATCCCCCCTGGTTATAGAAATATCGTAATGTGTTTTGCCACTGAAGATTTGTTTGGATTGTTAATTGGTTTATTTAACAACCTACAAATCGTAACTACAATTACAATATATTATATATTGTATGCTTCTAAAACACTGCATCCATTTTATGTTAATGTATCTATAAATCTTGGAGTGAAATCATACATGTATTGCAGTGAAAGAGCACTTTGGATTAATGACTTTTTCTTTACCCATGCAGTTAAATAGGCAGTTATGTGAATTTAACGAGTTTTTGCTGATGTTCTGTGAAATAAGGGGACATTCTGCAGTAGGTTAATGTATTATTTGCACATAACATCACTTGGAATTACACAGTAAATTTAAATATACCTGGGTCAGTAATTTTTAAATTGCTTTTACTTAAAAGTGCACTAAATTTTTACCATTTTATCATCCACAGAAAAGAGACTGGACTCCGATGGCTCAAAAGACAGTTCCATTGACAGTGGTACAGAATTGCGGCATTATGCAGACTTTCGTCATGAAACTGTGACTACATCAAAACAGGTACACAGCTGTTTACTCTTTAAATACAGAGGAACTATACGTAATGTGTTATATTAAAGAGGGTTCATGTTTATCATTCTTACGCTTTTCTAGAGAATTCATCATTGCAAAAGTTAGTGTGACTTTGTGCTTTGCATAGTCATCAGAAGTCTTCTGACTGTTATTACAAATTAAAAGTAAGTTTGAAATTTTATATTGGATTTGAATTTCAAGAGGATAAATGGACAGAGATTTAAGGTTCGCCTTCTGTGATAAGTGTGTTGAGTTGTGAATAATGAGTTTATTTACCTTTTTTTTTATTGCTAGTGGAGTGGGACTAAGTGCCTTGCACTGCGGCCACTTCTGGCCTATTGTACCAGCCCCAGATGATAGGTGAGGGTGATTATGAAGCAATTTGTGGAATGAAGACTATACTTGACCAGACTCGGGATCGAACCCGGGCTGCTGCGATGGGAAGCCAGCGACTAACCGCTTGAGCTGTGGCGCAGCCTTATTTACCATTAGTTGTACATCTGTGAACTAGGCTTGTGTGAATATCAGACGTTCGAAATTAAATCATGGAAACATTGGGATTGGAACGCTGGATTTTCAGTCTTGAACTTTTCATATAATCACTTTTGCATGTTTTAGTAGCACCCAAATACCATCTCCATCAGAACCATATTGATTGGCAGTACAAGCAATACCTGTGAAATCTGCCTGCCTCCCCCATTCTCCATCGTGAAAAATGACAAGGCCTTGACTGACTTATTCTGTGGAACAGAGTCCTTGAAAAACCAGTAGTTGTTGAGCCACTCAATAAATTCCCAATATTTTATGGAACCCAGCAGTTCATTACTGCAGTAATAACATAACCCTAAAATTGATTTTTAAATTCAATGATTTGTGAATATTTTTCATTAACAAATGATATGATGTCAAAAGGGTTAAGTATGACACTGTAGTTATAATGAAGCAGCTAGTGTTATAAGTTGCAATTACACTGAAAAAGTTAACCTAACTCAGAAAATTGTCTTGACTTTTGAAATTTTTCCAGATTTTCATCGTGCCTTATTATTTTTTTTTTGTATTGCTAGTGGGGTGGGACTAAGTTCCTTGTACTGCAGCCACTTCTGGCCTATTGTACCAGCCCCAGATGATAGGTGAGGGTGATTTTGGAGCAATTGGTGGAATGAAGATTGGCAGGGGAAACCGAAGTACTCGGAGAAAACCTGCCCCAGCACCACTTTGTCCACCACAAATCCCACTTGACCAAACCCGGGCCACCGTGGTGGGAAGCCAGTGACTAACCACTTGAGCTGTGGTGCAGCCCACATGCCTTATTAACAAACCTGCTTATGTAATTTGGCAAGGATTCGTAAAGATGTATGGAACATTAGAAGTTAATAGTTCCTGAATTTATATGCAACTTATAAGTATTTGTCATATTGAACATTTCGTATATAGTCTTACCGTTTGTCAGAGTGTAATTGTTATTTTCTTTATCCTTTAGTGTTTAATATTGATGCCAGCAATAATTCTACCGTGAAAACAACAACATTGTAGGTGCAGCAGGCATTAGAGGCTAAATTATGAATTAAGAATGAAAGTAACAGTCATACTTGAAAATATAAAATATAAACTCTGACATCAGCGAAGGTTATGTCTTTTGAATGACCATCTACTCTTCCTACAGTGAATTCTGTTATATTAGCAAACACATTTTGGCTTTTCTCCTAGCTTCAGTGCTTGGAGTGTAGTTTTTGACCACCAACACATCCATGATTTGAGCTGAAATCTAAATGTCAGTGAAGAAGGCTGACAAGCTGAAACACATCTGCTAATGAAATTTAACAGAATTTGTTGTGATAAGTGTAGAAGGTCATTCCTAAGAAGTAATATTGATCATACACAGATCAGACACAAATTGTTTTCTCTGTGGTCCGTGCCAAAGGGTTATAAGCAGGAGAAGTTTTAGAGTTTAGTCAGTTGTGAGACATTCGCCAGCTGATAAGGACATATGCAGAGGACATTGTTACAATTTCTTGCCAGGAAACGGCTAGTGGGAACAAACTGAGAGACTTAGTGCATGTTGTAATGAAATGTAGAGTGTGTTAATTAGCGATAACACTGTAGTTCCTTGTAGTTAACAATCTGGAAGTGGTTAATAAAATCAATCACCTATCCAAACCCCATCTGTAGTCACACCCTGCTGCATGGCAGTATAATTATAATGTATAATACTTGCAGGATGGAAGGGATAATGCTGACTTCGTGCCTTGTCCTGAGAGTTATCAGGAACTAACTAATGGCCAACTAACAAAACAGGTATTTCAATAAATCTCTTGCACATATTGCCCATTACCATTGCACAGAATGTGTGTGCTGTGAGCACTGTATATTATGTGCTAGAAGTGTTTTCTGTCACTTGATGTTGTAATATTTCTGTACTACCAACCATGTTGGCATAGCAGTAAATGCTTTAAAATAGTATTTTAGGGGTGCTTAATTCAGATGTTGGCTGGAAACCAGCTATTCTGACTTAATTTTTTTGTGGCATTAAGAAACTATGAAGTCCTTATCATGACTGAGATTTTTATCCATTCTTTGCATAAAATGAATAAAATCAATGTATAATGGACAAGTCACAGCTATGTGTCTGCCAGTGCATCATGTATTGCATCTACAGATACGTTTGACAGATCTTGGATTTGATATCAGTAGTCTGCACATGCACGCTGACTCACGCGCGCGCGCACACATTATTACATTGTTTTTGTCATACCCCTCTTGATTCTTCTTCCTCTTCCTCCTCCCCCCACAGTTATTGGAGAATATATAAAGTGGAAAGGTGGTTAGTATAGCATAGTTTTAAAGTTTATTATAAAACATTTGCTTTGTCACAAGAGTTCTCTTGTGAATTTGTTGTTGTCCATATTTGAGACCCCTGCCTAGTCATCTCACATACCACTGTTAAGTTTCATTATTAAATACTTCAAAGTAACTAGAATTATGATTTTTTTTCTGACATTTAAGATTATGCCTTGCAGGTGTCAAGCAGCAAAGTAACATTAACAAGGGGAAATGACATCACAGATCTTACACGAAATCGTCATCTCACTGATGATAGTAGCATTGGCAGTTACAAGTATGAGGTAAGTCATAGGATTTAACCATATTTACATGAACCTACAACCTTATTAAGAATGAATTAGCTGCCTACCATCAAATGTGATGGTTGAGTTGCTAGCATTCCTACATTTTATTCTTAAGACATCTCATTCATCTCTTGGCACCAAGACTAGCTATCCTGATTTGAGTCCTTTGAGTCTTTTGTTGGTCCCTACAAACCAAAATTCATTCACATTTGAATGCTTCTACCAACAGGAGACACAAACAGGCTTAAGTGTGTGTGAGTGTGCCTTCCTGTGTTTGTCTGTGTACTCATGCAAATTTGTCACTGCATGTGTGTGTGTGGGGGGGGGGGCACGCACATATTTGTGTGTGCACATGCACAGGTGCATGGAAGTTTGTGGTCTGGTCCAATAGTTCATGTCCAGCTTTTAATCCAGTTGTCAGCATGATACATACAGAACATCATACTGTGCATGGTGCAGATCTTCATAATTCCTGCCTGTGCCTAGGAATCCTACTGTAACAATTGCTTTTCCATGTTGATCGGTTTCCTCACACAAGTGATCTTTTTTTTCAATTTTAGATCCAAATAGCTTCAGTAATATGTCAGATGCTGCTCTGTCCATGTGCCTCTTACTGTGTCAATTTTGGGATCCATTACATATATTCTTTTAGTTTATTTCTATGACTCTTTTTCACAGTACATTAACCAGTATTTCATCCAGTTCATTTCTTTTTTCTTCCACACTTATTATTCTATAATAATTGCAATTTTATTTTTCATTGTTAATGTTCCCATTATGAAGAATGCAAATATACCAAAGTTTGGCCAGGTCGTGCCAAAAATGTTTGTGTGTTTGTGATTGAGGACAAACACAGTTACATGTGTGAATAGGAGGCTTAATGGGGGGGTAGTACCTCAGAATAGGCCATGACTACTTCTTTTCACATCCTTTCCATTTCATTGTGTACTGCTTATACTGTAATATTGTAAGCTGGTAAAAGAATCCTGAAATGAACCATAACAAACCAAATTGCCCATCTATCCAACTAAATCCATACATTACCAATCTGACTTTGTCATACAAGTCCATCCTTGAGTTGCAGGTTAAAAATGAATGAAAGGAAAATTACTGAAAATTTGTTTATTCAACAAGATATACGAGTACAGAGAAATGTCTGTGCAGTGAACACCAGAATAACAAAATATTTGGTGCAATGAAAATATTGTCAATCCCATATATCTTTATGCATATAGATGCAGGCTGTACCTGCTCTGAGATAACTCTAGTATAAAAATAAAACCCCAGGATGACCNGACTTTCTTCAAGTGTATACACATGTTAGAGGTTATCTAGTGACATTTTCAAAGTTAAGCTGAAATGTAATGTGTTGTGCATAGTGCGATATTCTCTCAAAATATTACACTGGTCACATGAATGGTAGGACAATCAAAGAAAATGGCAGCAGAATGATTGTCATTTGAGCAACCCAAGATTATTTTGAAGTGGTACTCGTAATTTTAAATTATGGTATTTCACTGTACCATTCAGTTTTATGAGGTACTATCAGAAAATTCCCAGACTAGGTCAAAAAAGAAATGCTGGCTTAACTTACTCAATTTTGGCTGCCATCTCTTTCAAAATAGTCTCCTTGGGAATGTATACAGCAATTTCATTGTTTTTTTCCACACTTCAAAAGCAGCATGGAAGTCATTTTCATTAATGCTGTCGAGTACAGTTTGCTATTCCCTTTGGATGTCAGACACTGTATCAAAACATCGTCCCTTCAGTTTCATTTTCAGAAACAAAGTGAAATCACAGAGTGCTAAATCCAGCAAGTAGGGAGGATGGGGAACGACACACATGTTGTCAGTCGCAAACTCTGGTTTTCAGGGCCATGTGGGTAGGTCGGTTGTTGTGATGAAGGAACCAGTTGTGTTTGCATCAGAGTTCCTGCCTTTTTCATCGTACAGCATCTCAAAACGTCACAGTAATAGAGTTGATTGTTGTGTTAGGAGGAAGGAATTCATAGTGAACAATCCCCTTCATGTAAAAAGAAACAGCAATGAGCATGCTCTTTGTTGAACTCTGTGTCACATATAATTGCAGGACATGGAAAGCACAGAGCATGATGGTGATGTGGAAGACTACTCTGAAGGCGAGGGCGAATCAACTGAACCAGAGCAGAGAGAGAGACTGATGTATTACCCACCTGCTGAAGAGACAGGAAGGTTGGTTATTAGAAAATATTGCACACTGAAATATCATGAATCTTCATAATTTATTGGGTATTTTAAAAAGATTACTTCATTATTGTTTTTTTTAATATTGATATAACTGTGAACAGTGTTATATATAATCACAGAAACTATGAGAATTTGAAATGGATTGTCCTTATAAGACATTGTAAAACTTCCTTTTAGAGAAAAGTTTTTCAAGTTTTAAAATGTTTAACTTGTCACTGCACTATATGACTGTACACTATAGCATATTCAGATTGTTACAACATATAAGTACTTCAATCTCTGTTGTGTGTTTCATTTTATGAATATACTGTATCAGTACTTCCTAAATGGTAGTCCTTGTACTACTGCTGGTTTGTTTCTTTATTCTGATCAGAAAGTTTTTATATATAAACAGGGTTTCCAACAGCTGAAGAAGTTGCTGTTTTTAAATTAAAGCTTTCATAAGTAATAATATATTCTTGGGTGACCATTTTTGTCAGTTCACAGCAGAAACTTGGACTTTGCTGCTACACACAAGAAGATTTTATAATATTAACTAGTGAAATACCTCTTTCTGTGCTACGCACACATATAGACATACTTTCACAAGTTGTATTAGGTTAATTTAGGTAGAGTATGCTATTTAGATTAGGTTACAGATGTGCATGTACATTCTTTGACACTTCTTTATTCAGAACGAGCAAAATAAAGCTCAACATTGAAAGGGTTAATATGGTTTTTGTTTCCTTTTAGTATTAAATAGGCTCTTGAATATTTCCGTATTTGTTTGCAGAGGTATCACTCGGTAAGTCATTTATGATTATTTATCTTTTTGTCATGTACTGACCTGGCAGTACTGGAGATTTCTGGCAAATTAATTTATATGCACATTTCATAATTTTTTATTGGGAATGTTTACTGTGTGTGTTTGTGTTATCTGTACAGTTTTAATAACATGTAAGATTGTTGATTTTTATATTGCAAGTAATCATTGTGTGCTAATGATAATTGATATGTAGACTGTTGTATATTTTTCGTATTCACCAGATACTGGAGAAAAAATTAGGTTGTAATGAGAGAGTACATCAGGTATTATATAGACTTCAAGAAAGCCCATTGTTCAGAGCTTAGCAATGACAAAACTATTTCTTAAACATAATGCCTAGGTTTTACCCTAAATATAAACAAGAATGTTTATGACTTCTTTCCAATGTAGTGATTACACTGTAAATGCCATGGATGTAGAGGAACTACGGCGTTCCCAGAGGCGACTGAAGAAGAATCAGCGACCTGAGCGTCTCACTGATCTGCCACTTGTCTCAGTGTCAGCTTCTGTATCTGGCAGCCAGGAAAGTGATGAAGATGATGATGAGGTGTCTACTCCAAGTGCAGATACAGCTGAAAGGAACCTCCTCTCCTTGCTATCTGTCAGGTGAGACACAGCAGTAAATACGTAAAAGTGCCTTCTGTTTTGTATCTATTATTCATTTTGCAAACTAGAATGATTAGATGCTCCATGATTTTCACTCTTTGCCTAATGTTTCTAGGGTGATTAAATCAGATGGCTGGAACATGTAGTGTGCACAGGGAATATGATGTGTCAGAAAACCTCAAGGGAAGCAGCAGATGTATCTATTCAGGCATTATGACAAGTTGAGAGACGTGGATAAGGTGGCAACTGTGGTGTTTATGTATTTACTTTTATTTAATGACACCATCACTAACTTGGACTGTTTGGCCAAATGATTAGATGGTAGTGAAACAGTAAATTGGAAAGGATGTGAGAGAAGTGTTTATGTTCTAATTTAAGTTACTGTCCAAACTTTTGGCTGGAGGTAATGAGGATAATACCAGTCAGGATAGTCAGTGTCCTGGCCGAGATTTAAACCGGGCACCTCCCACATACATGTTAGAAGTGTCACTGCATGAACCGTCCTGCCTGGTACAGCACTGTTGTCTTTTGACATTGTCACACATGAAATCACATTTGATACTTTCACGCAGCTGTTTATTATGTGTGTTAATGTTTGAGTTCAAAATTACTTGTGCTATTTGATGAAGAAGTTTGCCCAAGCTGCTGCTTTCCATTTCTTCATAAATGACATGAGAAATGAAACAACATGTTCCATGACACTGTGGGTAGAAACCTAGCAGAGAACTGAGATGCTCCCTATGTATCTAATGTGTAGAATATCTCTGATTGCCCACACTACTTATTTCTGCTTCAGATGCAGAAGTTGAAGCAAATTTTCTGCTCGGGCACTAAATAGAACTGTAAGAAAGTGATGTTTTGGTTGCAGGTTCAGTTAGAGGTAAAAGAATAAGACTGCAGTATTGTATTTATCTCTGATTGTCATCATCCATTCATGTTTTCATCAGGGTGGGGTGTCTGATGACAGAACTTCACTTTATATTCCCATATCTGTGTTCACTCGTCCTTGTTCTCTTTCATATTTGTGCTGTAACTCAGCCCCTCTGCCTAGCTGCTGGCCTTTCCTGATTGAGACAGTTGTTTTAATATTGGCTAACATGTATTGGACTGATATATTTGAAAATTACATAAATCTTAGTTAATGTTCCAAAAAAGAAAGTGATGGGTGCTGTACACAGTGCCTACATGTATGACATGTGGTTGATAAAGCAGTGAGTTTTACCGTAGCATATTTTACTAATTGATTTAATTTTTGATATCATATCATATTGAACTGTATATATTCCAGCAGCACAGAAAGTCTGGATCATGTTGGTCAGAGAGAAAAGTACCTGAAGAATACCTTCGAATCTCTTAGTGGAGCAGAACAAGAAGCCACCAAAGATGCAGGTAATAGCTCATTTCTGTAACGTTCCCACCTCATGACTCAAGGTACACGGGTTCAAACCCGGCAGAGGTCATGGAATTTTTAAGGGCCGAAAAATTCAGGGAACAAGTCCTCCGGGAGGGACTTTAAGCCATGGATCCGGTGTCGTAGATTTACAGCACGTAAAAGATCCTCATGTCTCTAGGAGACATCTGAGCAAATTTAGGCAACAAGTTTCCTGCCCAAGTAGTTTCCAATGCCTCTGGTAGATGGGGGAAATATCAGGTACCGAGGGCCGACCTCATTGGCTGAACGGGGCTGATAGTACGCACCAGTGCCGGTAGGGTATGATGACAGTAGAAATTAAAGAGGGACGCACAGTGGACCAATAACTGGTCTAAGTGCATGGGGAAACCCACCCCCTCTAATAATAATAATAAATAATAATAGCTCATTTCTACTGAAAGATGTTTAAATATTTGGTTTGAAAGCCTTGTAGTAACCACTGTTTGGTAAACCTACCTTTAGCTAGTAAGGTACCTCTTCATCAGAGGTGAGGGAAGGTATGCAGAGGAATCTGCAGTGGAATCAGCTGGTCTCAAACAGAAGACCTTTGGAACAGAAGTCAGTCACCTTATCTGATAGTGATGTCTCATTTGTACAGTTGTATAGTCAACAGTTAACAACTTCATGAAAAAATTATTTGTTTCTCAGCTGGAACCAGCATATCATCGCAGTTTCTAGTGCGGTTAAGCCAGGGTGGACCATTGTGTTCTCCAACACTTCGTAATGTTGAAGTCATTAATGCTGCTAAACAGACTCGAGTCAACAGTGAAACATCTAAGAAGCGTGAAGAATTGCAACGCAGAATAGAAGAAACACGTAGGAAATTACAGAGTGTAGGTATTAAACTAATTCGCCTGTCTCTGTAGTTTAAAGAGAAATAGTTGTAATGATATTAATGTTTTGGACTATGCTGAAATGTGTTAACCGCTGGGAGGGATATGGTGCTTAATAATTTGAAAATTTTGCCCCACATTTCTCTCTTCACTCTTCAGGCATATCTTATGGAACAAGGCAAAACAGTCTTATAGGAGGAATATGTCCATTACCCCCCCCCCTTTCCCAGAGATATATTATGTTGAACTTATATATGAAAAACTTCAAGTAAAATGTAACCATAAAGTGTTACTTTTGAACCCTGTGATGTGATTAAACCTTTATTTGAAACTGATTCACAGTTCACCAGAATGATGAGAAAGGAGCCCAAATCACAGGGGACTGCAACTGAAATTCATAGATGCAAGATCTGAAACACAAAGACTGGCTGGCTATCACATTATTCAATTTAGTTTTAGATGTTGTATAATTCTCTACAGATTTTGGCATATTCTGACAGCATTAATATTATTGTGAGATCATTCTTGGCTACTAAGGAGGATTGTGTACTACTCGTATTAGAATGTGTGGTCAGAGAAGTAACATAGAAATCACTGGCCACAAAATAAATGTCATGGGTCAGATATGTAAGCACAATGAGCTCAGTCAGAATACTACAACTGGGCATCACATCACTGAGAGAGTGGAAGACTGTGCATGCTTTGACTCCATATTTTTGAGTAATAGTAACAAATGAAATGAGATGAATCAGAGAAAAGTTAGGTCAAGTAAAGTATATTTTTTGCTACTGCCTGTGATGTAATATGAAAGGATCCACATGGAAACAAAGATGAGACTGTATAAAGCAATGATCTCTACGATGTTGTTATGGTTTTAAAGCTTGGATTTCACAAAAGCAGAAAATATTATTATTGTCTGTGAACACAAGGCTTTCAGAAGGATCCTAGGACCTGTAATGTAAGATGATCGTGGGAGAATTAGTCATAAACTCTAGCAATTATGTAATGATGCAGATGTATCTGCACTTAAAAAGGGTAAAGATATCCCTGTAACAGACCATGAAGGCCCATAGGATTGTGAGATGTCAAGGCTCCCACAATTTCTACACATTTTACTCACAGATGGTGGTAAGGTTGTCAGCCATATACGCTGGCTGCCCTTTACCCCCCAGTGAGATTCCTGGTACTCAGTTCTGTTAGCGGCTGAGTTAAACCCAGGGCCATAGTCCGTCTGGAAGGATTAGGTAAATTGAAGAAATCCACATCATCCAGGCTCGAACTCACGACCTTACAGCTTGTAGCATAGTGCCTCAACCAACTACGCTACTGCATGCCCCTTGTATCTACATTTACCAAATCTTTTTTCTCTATTATTTTTTAAATAAATCAAAGCAACTCCTTTGTGTTCCTAACTTTAGAGCAGGTATAATTTTTCACAAAACCTGGGCTGACAGCAGTGACTCAGTAAAATAGATGTGACTACAAAGGGTTTATTTTTGATGTAACGTGATGTTTTTCTTGTCAGTTCGCTTAGTGTGAGGGTGGAGTCCAACTGGGTCCACTCGGCACGGCGGCCACTGATTGGGCTGTCGTACCCTGCCCCAGGTGATCATGATGATGGAGAATTTGGTGGAATGAAGATTGGCAGGGGAAACCGAAGTACTCGGAGAAAACCCGCCCCCAGTGCCACTTTGTCCACCACAAATCCCACTTGACCAGACCCGGGATCAAACCCGGGCCACCGCGGTGGGAAGCCAGCGACTAACTGCCTGAGCTATGGCGCTGCCTGCAGGTATATTAACTGCAGCCAGTATAAACAGTGAATCCCCCATTTAAGATTTCTTTGGAGAACTATAAATTGAGTGAAATTTAAATGGAGGTACTTTAACACTGAGATTTTAGTTGAATGTTAAATGAGGAAATTTATATGGGGGTTCCACTGTAGCTATATTGCCAGGTGTGATTGTGTCTTAATGTTGATCTTCTTGTTCAGGTTGGTTACCGCTCAAACCTCAAGAGCAGCCAGAGCATTACTGACTTAAGCCATATCCCTGAGAAAGATGGAAGAGGCTCTCGTGGGGCCAACCATGCACATCGTTACACTCCTGCCGGAGGTAAACAATATGCTGCTTCCCTTAAGCGTCATCAACTAAATTGTGCCATGTTGCTTCCATCTAATATAATTCAGTCTTCAATTAATCCTGTTCTTATCCATCAACCAAAACACATCCCTAGCTACCCTGTGCAGCCAATTGTTGCTTCAGTCCCTGGTAAATACTTCACACATATCTCAAAAATCACACTTGGAAATGCAGTCACTAAAACTCCAGTAAATTTTTACAATACTCTTCCGGTTACAAAAGCTCTGAAAGGCTTCAGAAGTTCTAGTAATAAGACTGAATTAGCTAGATTACAATCTCTTCCACTACCAAATTCATTATCTTCGGTAACAGTTATGGATCCCAAGATACCTTCCAGTGCATGTAGCTCACTTCCATGCACTAATATTTATAAGGACTTCAACAGCTACACAGAAACAGCTTCACTGGCCACCAAAACAGTAATGTATTCCACCTACCACACCTTACCCACAACAAAAATAACTACTACAGCTGTGAAGGGTGGATCTTCGAGTAATAATTCTTCTGTGGTAATGGAAATTACTGGTAATATTTGTTCTTCAATTCTTTCTAATAGTAACTCTGTAGGCACTAATCCTTCTGGACTCTCACAGAACAGTGCTTCTCTTGCTAATGTGTGTGTTGGAGTGAAGTTGAGCAGCGACCCTGAATCCTGTACTACAAGTGGTGGTTCAGCTTGGGTGAAAGCACCTATTTCTACTAACAATGCTTTGTATCCTACTGCCAATAGTGCTGCTAAAGCTTTGAATGCTGTTAGAATTAATATTAGTGGTAATTCCATTAGGGAGACACAAAAGTATGGTGAAATATCACCAAGTAAACGCCCTGTTTTTCTTAATTTATGTTCTGGTGCTGGTGGTGGTAATGCTAAATACAAAAGTCGTTCAAAGCCTCCAGTTACCAATCAGTCTCTTCCTGAGTCACCAGTGTGTGAAGATTTAAATTCACCAACAGGATTATTCCAGAATTTGACTGATACTGAAGCAAATATTAAGTCAAAATTTGTTCAGCAACGAAGGTCATGTAGTTTTTTCATAGACTTGAATACACTAACTGATAAGGAACAGGAATTCCAAACTAAAAGTGCAAAAAATGTTGCAAAATCTTCAGAATCTCTTCCAGCTACTATGGGACAGACACATGTAGTAGCATCAAGTGAAGAGAATCTACTGGACAGTTGTGATGAGGAAGATGGGAATGGCGATTTCAGTTCTGACTCCCTGGAGGAGCCAAGTGAATTTAGTAACAGAACACCACGCCGCTGTATCAGTGACTATCAGATATTCACACGTCCACCAGAATTTGTTGGATATGAGTTTGAACAGCGTTCAGCCAGTGCAGCAGGGAGGCAGTGCAAAAGATCGAAGGAAGTGTTTCACAGTCAGGAAAGTGTACTGTCAAACACAAGTGGCCAACTGTCTAGCTGCACCAACAGTGGTGATATTCTTGAGATGTGTTCTAATTATGAACAGGATCGTCATAGTAGTGCAAGTTTCTTTCTTTCATTGAGGCGGCGCAAATCAAATGCATGTCAGAGTCAGGAGAGTATTTTGACGGATGAGAGTGAATATCAGACATTTTCACACCCTGATGTTCCAACCAGATATGATCATGATCATTATAGAGATTCTTGCCGAAGCACAGAGAGCATCCTTGAGGGTGATTATCATTTTTCTTCAATGCACCGAAGAAACCTGGCAGAAAATGGACATACACAGAACAGAGATTCATGTCAAAGCACAGAGAGCATCCTTACAGATGACAGTGATTGCCATTTATTTACCTCCTCTAATCAAGAACTTGAATTAAGAAATAAACTTTTCCGTTCTGTTGAAAATTCAAGCAGTTCAGGATTTCAGTCAAAATCAGAACTGCGAAACTCAGAAGGTAGGAAAAGTCTATCTGAAAATGTGGAGCAGGCACGGGGTGACTCAAGAACGACCCAAGGCTTTTGTGATAACCATAGACCAATTTTTCGTACTCGAAGTCTTCAAGACACACGCTCAGCACTCTCATTGAGTGAACCTTCCACTAGTGCTTCCAACAGCAAACCCCAAACACCATCACAGATTCTGCTTGCGGATGATAATCTATTTCAGAAGAACAGTGCAGACTCAACAGCAGGGTTGTTAGTCAGGAAAAATACTTATCCTAGAAGCCGACCTCAAACTCCTACTCGTTTACAGATACATTCACAGTTTTCAGTGTTGAATAAGTCGTACACTGCTGTCATTGAAGGAAATGCACAACCACCTTCCTTAAGCCATGAATCAAATGCAGGAAATTCACAAGAAATAGCTCAGTCATTACAGCACAGAGGAGACTCAACTGATCAACATCGACATTGCTCAGATCGACCTCCTACTGCTCCAAAACCTACAGGGAAAGTCACACACAAACCACCTCTGAAACCAAGACAGAAATCATCACACCAGCAAACCAAGCAGCGAGGCCACTGGAGCAATCAAAACCTAAAAGCTAGTGGCCCACATTCACAGAGACCACTGAAGGCAAACCATTCAGTTGGAATAAGCTCTATGTCTGATGTAAGAAAAGCGGCTGATGAAATTGGAAATGCGTCACTTGCTTTTCCTGAACAGGCTAAGAGAGATGCACTTCTACAAGAAACCACACCACAAGGTGTGAAAGGAGAGAGTTCAGAAGAACTAAAGGATACAGTACATACACAACTGAAAACAAAATGTGAATCACAGAAGAATTTTACCAGGTGTTCACAATTTCCAAAAAGTGATGGTCCACATGATATGCTGCAGAACTCAGAGGCAGTCACTGCTCTTATGGGGAAACCAGGAGGTGTCAAACTTCTCTGTCGTAGTTTTGAGAATGCAGCTGAGGACTGTGACATATCAGATGACTGTGCTGAAGAAGACAGTTTCCCAGTAATGGAGGGTTCAGGTTCATCAACTCCTGCCACCTCCTCATCTGCTGCCAACTCTCCAAAGCGTCTGTGGCCTCCAGCATCTCGTGCTCCCCATCAGCGACAGCTTGGCAGAAGACTTGGCACAAGACACCAGATCTTGCCATCCAAATGTAGTGGCCCAGGTAACACGAGGCCACAGACACACTCTGTACACTTTTCTCTGTAGCATGCTTGTTTGCATGAAGTGTTGCTTGAGTAGTTGAGAGTAATTAGGATTGCACTCTTTCAGCCATCTGCAATGTTTGCATTTTGTTATGTGAACTGTGACTGACAGATTATTGGTCAAAACATTTGCTTAAATACTTGTGTTGTTGTTCACCTGTAGCAGACCTAATAACTATTGGCAATATACAGTTACTCCACAATAAGAATGTAATATTTAATGCTGTCAGACATTCAGGTCACTGTTTTGACAAGTCTGCTTCGAAGTATCTTGTATCCTTGAAGTTTATCCCATTTTCAAAGAAATTACTTTGTATTTCCTTGAATGCTGTATACTGTAAGTTTACAATGTTCATTAATGTTTGAATTAACTCTTTGCCCTGTCTCACCCAATAGAACATGTTAAAATTAAATATCCCCATATTCCATATACTACATACTACAGTGAACATTCAGATTAACTAATCTTACCACATCTCTGAATACAGTGAATGAAAATTGTGAAGCAAAAAAAAAATGTACTGTCACAAATCAATGAATGAAATGTATGAAAATTCTTATTTCACACACCCACATATATAACTGCATTCAAAGTCTAATATACTGTCACGTGATGGAGTGACTGTAGACCGTGTTTGGATTGGTAATTGCATTTATTGAACTCTTACAGATCCACGACTACAAGTAATTGTAGCCATTTCACTAATAAACACAGTTTACAGTTCACTAGAGCACACATATAAGTCTAGCCTAGACTAGTGAAGACAACACCACACACTGCTAAAGGGAACAACACACAAACAAGGGGCATATTATAGAATGCAGACATAGCAAAACAACAGGCTAACAAACAGAAAAACAGGCTGCTGAAAAAAACGTTATGGAATAATAAAAAATAACTCTAAACAAGTGGACAAAGCCCCCTTATGAGGTGGAATAAGATTTTATGAAAAATTTTAATAGAAAATTTTAATGGGTTTTAATTAATTATTTTATTATTTTTAAATGGACTGCAGCATGCGGTTTTACTGCACATCAGAGCAGTGTAACAGTTTGGATGCATTAAGACACCTGAAGATGGCCATCTATGCCAAAACATGGTGTGTTGAGTGTTAAATGGTGAATAAACAATTGTTGCATTATTGACGGACTGTGGATACATAGACGTTTAATTAAAGATTTGCAACAGGGTGCTGAAATACAGAATTAAAGTATGAACCTAAAGAAAATTTATGAAGTAAGCTAAAAAATATACAGGAACTTAAAAGAGTGTGGTAGTAGCATCTTTTTGCACAAGTAAGCTTGTGAACTGTACATTCCCTGCATTTTCACTGGGTCCAAGTTGGCAACTACAGTACTCTGTTTTATTTTTGGAGTGGTTTGTGCATTTCCAAGTTATAAATTGCCTATAACAAGTATTTGTTATAGCATCAGTTCTTGCAGTGTTGTGAATTTTCGTTAGAATGGACTTCCACAGCATTCAAGCCAGTATCAGAAAAGGTCTTACAAAATGAATTGGTCAGAATTCCAATAAATCCGCAATGGCTTTCAGTCACTTCAACTTTCTTCAGTCTATCCTCAGTTATTTTTCAAGAGAGAATGTCGCATGCATATGTTTTACCTGCCTTAACTTCCTGTTAAAATTTTGTTGGGCATTCCATTAATTTTATTGATAGAAGATTCAACACAAAATATAAGTGACTGGATCTCATTTCAACAGTGATTTCAAATAGTGATATTTAATTTTAGGTTTGTCAAGTTTAAGGTAATTTCATACATTTCACATTCTTATTTCATTCCATTATTTTCTACATACACACATGGATTTTATAATTTATATCTGTTTTTTTCTGTGCATAACATCAGTCTGTATCCTCCAAAGAAACTTAAGTTTTAATTTATATTAAGTTTGCTGAATAAATCTTTCTGGAACCCATCAGCTTACGCATGTACCAGTTGTGATAGTTGATGCGTGAAATAGTTGCCACTGTCACCTTTATGCACTTGTTTTGTGATTCTTTAAAGTTCTGTACAAGTTTTTGATCATGTTTTGTGTGATATAAGTGAGCCACAGGTGTAAAGAGCCTTTCTTACCACCTGTGAAAGTCTGTAGTCTGTAGCACACACACCTGGATGTGACAGACAAAAGTCTTGCTCTGGCACTTTTCAGCTTGTGTAGTAGATTGCACGCTTGTTTGTATTTTTTATTTGCATAGCAGACAGTGTTGAAGGAACTCAAGCAGGTGATTCAAATGGTCTGCGTCGAGCTTGTTCATTGAGTGACTTGTCAAATACAACACCTCGGAAGCTCTTGCATGCTGCTCCTGTTCAAGGTAGGGTGTCTCTCCTGTTACTTTAAACTTTTAAATATGGACTATATTTAAAATGGACATTTGTTCTGTTTAAGTCCCACACACTTTAAGTCTTTGTGTCCTTGCGTAGCGCCTGTCTACCTTGTGTGCTGTACATTCTGTCAGCTTGAAAGCAGTCAGGATGTCGAACTTCAAAAGAATTGGACCCATGTCTCAGAGAATATTGCCAAAATTTGTTAAGGGCATCTCTTTCCCCTGATAGCAGTTTAAAAAACTGATTCATTCCTCAGCATAGTACTTGGAAAGTGACATAAGCACTTGCATTATATTGGATTAATTCTTAGGTTATGTAAGACTATAGTTTCAGCTGCAGAAGTCACAGCATGATCAAGATGGGAAGGTGATCATGAATGATTGCAGTTTGTTTTAATATATTATGGATTTTCATTCTGTATGATATCCATTTGTCCATGCATGATTTTTTCATTTGTTGTATAATCACAAACATTTACAAATGTGAACACCTCATCTCAGACAAGCAGTTGGAGGATTGGAGCTGGAAAAGGAGAGATTGTCTGGCAGTAATACTGGAAATTAGGGGAGGCGATGCCTCAGATAAAAATGTTTCCAAATGTGTATGCAGTGATGTGCCTTAAAATGCTGAAAACCAGGTCATGGAATTGCAGCAAAATCACACCTGTGAACCTGGCCTCCAGTACATGACTGGTGCAGATCTTATGTGTGCTGCCACATAACAAAGGGATGAGGAAGAAAATATGGTGGGTCAAATTGCAGCGGAAGGAAACAGTGATCATATTAGTCATAGTATGGCAATGCTTTATATTGACACGTTAGACTACAGGAGCCCGTGGGGATGAATACAGGTATATTAAGCTGAAAGAAAACTTGAACTGTCATGCTGCAGATGGCAGTACTTGTGTAATTGTAAGAGCAAATGTGCAATAAATTCGCTATATCCAATATGGCGTGAAGTTATTTGTCGTGTGACATACACCCATCACGTGACAATATAATCCAAATCACTTCTAGTGGCACCTAAACAAGAAAATACATGGGCTCCCTGAAGTCTAACAAATGGTTAATGTATTGCACCATTGTGCTCCCCACCCTTTTTTATATTATTTGCTGAATACTGAAGGCTTCATCAGTACGTGATGTATTAAGTTTGAATGTGCAGTGATTATTAGCATATGAAGGGCTTATCTTCATATTTTAAAATATAGCTTTATTAATTTTGTCTAAAACATGAAGGAAATGTAACAGGGTGTCCGATCAGCACCCAGGAACAGTTAAGTAATGGTATATATATGCTCACGTCACTTTCTTAATGGAATTAACCTTTCTGCACATTAACGGTTTCTTTTATAAATATTGCCATATCATATTCATATGGCATCACTAGGATCAGCACCACTTTCATTGTGGCTGGGCTTCCTGTATTAGACAGAAGAACTGAATTTTCTTTTGCAAGAATTTGCTCTCAGCTAGAACATATGGAATGGAAATGGAAATTTCTGTGTTAAATATAAATCGTTAGTATCAAAAAGATTGAAGAAAAGGACATGGTTTGTTATATTCATTACATTTCATTCACTGTGTGCATCATACATGAATTGGATACTGTTGAAGGATCCATGTTTGTTAATATTATTTGCATGTTTTTGTAAAGAGAGCATGAATGTTTAATTTGACAAAATGCTGTTGATGTTCATCGTATGGAGTGTGGTTGCTGTCATATTAATCATGCAAACTGCTTAGTATTTCGTTTTGTGACTTGAATGTAAAGGGTTGTTCAAACTACTCTTGTATGATGTGTACACTGATGCACTCTGAGCAAGTCTTTGATACCTCTTTATTTGAAATTTAGTGTAGATGCTCAGATGTGCTGCTATTTATGCTTTTAATGCAGAGAATCTGCCTTTTGCTGTTTGTCATATGAACTTTTAGAAATCGAGCAACTCATATTTGTCAGTTGAAATCTTCACATGCTATCAGTATAAATTACTTAAACAAAGCATTCTGAACATTACTGGACTCTCCAAATTGACTGAATTGTTGTTCTGTGTAATTTTAGGACTTGAATCTTTATACAATTGTCCTTATTTTTACTTACGTGATCTTTTAGGACCTCATTATCAGGTCAGGAATTTTTACCTCATGCTAATGCTGTATTATCACATAAAGCATATTTTTGCTCATAATTTACTGTCAGACCCGTTTACAGGTAGATGAGCACTTATATACTGTACCAGTTTCTCATTTATAGGAAATTGAAGTTCTCATGGTAGTGAATATTGGACTGATGGCCTTCTGGAGTGCAGTGACATGTGGCTTGGTGGTTGGAAGTTGGTGTTCTGAGGGTGCCTGCTGTCTCCATCTTTGGGGTGGTGGGTTCCTCTGGGTGTTAATTTCTGTCTGCTGAGCTGCATACATCACAGCCTAGAGAAGTCATTGTCTTGATTTAACTTTTATTGTTTTTCAGATTTGTAGCTTCATCTTTTATACTGGCACAGATAACCTTAGAAGCTGCCATGCTTCTATGTCCCCACATACATATAAAGCAGTCATGAGTCAGAATCTTCAGAGGGAAGAAAATGCAAATTTTTTCTGCTAGAATACCACAGCATGCCAAAATGTATTTTGGCCAGTCCAGGTTAAAGCCTTACATTAAAAGGATAACAATAGAAGTTGTATTTTTGTATCAAAATACATGCCTGGATATCTTCCCACTTGAGCGTTTGAAAATTATAATTTTAACATTCTTTTAATCATGGTAGTTAGGAAAAATCAGTTAGAATTTTAAGCTTAGTAGGATCATTGATAGATCAGTTCATGTTAAATTAAATTAAAGGATTAAGTAACTGTTCGTCTCTTTGGTGTAGCCATTCAGTCATTGCCTGTTGCATCCTGTTAGTTCTAGAGCTTGAGCTGTATCCAGTATTTTGGCAAACATTGCAGTTAATGACTTGGTATATGTATTTAGAAACATCATTATGCAGGTGAGGTTGTCAGGAAGGAGTGGAGATAGTCTGTCATTAATTTGTGCCTGGAGCCTGGACATACTTATTCACATATCAACTCCCATTTCATAGTTGACAGCTGCTGAGAAAGCTAGAACATTCACTTTGTTTAACTAGTCTCCGCAGGTTCACACCAAGACTATGTACTTTATTAATCTTAAATATTTAATCACAAATAACTGATTGAGAGTTTGAATATTATATGAGTTTTATTCTTCACACTGTGCAGTAATTAAGACTTCCCTAAATTTCCATCTTTGCAATACTGTAAACAGAGAAATTGTGCTGCGTTCTAAATTGCAAGGTATTGCGTTGGCTCTAAGTTTCAGGTAAGTTGACCAGCAAGAGTGGTGCTGCTGGCAGCCGCACCCTTCCTCGACATGGGCTCAAAGCTGGAACCACAAGCCTGAGTAACAACTCCAACATGACAAGAAGCACTTCAATGGGCATGCTAAACCAGGTATGTGACCATTGTTACATGGCAGGGCTCCACAATATGCTCGCCATAGGAATATTGGTGGAGACCAGTAGCAGGTACATTTTTAGCCCCAGTCTTAAGTGTATTAAATTTAACAAATTATTTATTATCATATATAAATGATGAAAGCACGTTTAAGAACATATTGCATCCCATCTTTACTTAAGAATCCACTTGCATTACTCAAAGTGTGGATGTTTTAATGAGGTAATGCCCTGCAGCGGAGTGTAACAATACTAAACAACACTGTCATCTAGCTGTATTATCACAGCACTGTTTAGTAACATCTCCCTGTCCATATTTACACAAGTTTTATGAATGTGCAATGGATCTGTGCATTTTTAGGCACAGTATTATGTTATATTTTGTGTTGTAGACTTGACACTCACAAATGTAAGATCAAAGTTCTTCAGATCTTATGAACAACAATATAAAAACTGTTGGCTGGAGCAGATAGCAGTTTTTCCTCTGAAAAGTATAATATTTCTTATATAAATTTTTTAGTTATGTGTATTTGTTGGCTGTGCCATAGCTCAGGCCATTAGTCACCAACTTCCCACTGCAGCAGCTGAGGTTTGGTCTCAGGTCAGGTCATGTGGGATTTGTGGTGGACAGAGTGGCACTGGGGCATGTTTTCTCCGAGTACTTTTGGTCTCCCCGTGCCAGTTCTCATAATGGCTGATGTACCAGGTGGGCTCAACCTCACCCCGCCCCACAAAATTAAAAATTAAAAAAGTTATATATATATATATATATTATTTTTTATGTGTATATATCAGAAGGCAAGTTTTGCGTGTAAATACTTGCTATTATTAAGTACTCCTAATATGTATCTTTATCTGTTAACATCAATAGAGTGACTCAGAAAGTGATCTCAGTTTGGCACAGCGATCGAATGTCTCATCATCATCCAGAGTGAATGGCTTGATGCGACCCACTATCAGTTCTCAGAACAAAGTGACAAGTTTAGGTGGCAGCAAGAGTATGGTCAGCAACCAGAATGTCAGGCGAAGAGGTCTTACTACTGCTTACTCTTCTGGTAATTATCTTGTGACCAGTCACAAGGCATTTCAGCTTACTTTTTAAATTACATGTTAAAGTGAAGTACAGTAGACTTTGGCTGTAAGAATGTAAATGTAGACTGACTTAGTATGCCAGGTGGTTGAGTACTAAGTATTGTATGAGAGGAAAACCTTTAGTCACCCAAGCACCCAGACCACATTCGGTCCATTATGTGCCCCAGTTTTCACCAGAACTTTTCAAAAGAGCCTTGTCCTATGCGCTAGGGCTAGAATGTATTTGACTGAGGTCCTTCTAGTATTTGTTGGGTCCACCACAGCAGAGCCAAAGATTTCTGGCTGTGCACTGACAAAGTGTGTGGTACTCATAGGAGGATTTCTCCTCCTGCCCACGTTTTTGCATATGTCATTATCCCAGAGGTCCATAATATGTAGTTGCCATCTCAGAGTACAGTGGGCAGTTAACAATTCTGTTACCAGTCTGCACTGTTTCCTGTCCAAGGCCACACTGCTGTAGACAGTTTTTCTGAGAGCCCTTCAGCAAAGAGCTTATGTCAGATGACAGTGTGACTTTTGTGTGATAAATGTAGAACTTTTAAATTATGAGATAAGATAAGTTGTTCAGTGACCACCATCTGTGATGCTTATTCACTGTTTCCTGTTAATCCCTAGAAGCATGAGCCATGTCTTAATAATCATGACACTTATCTTAGTCAACTGATGCAGCTTGTCTTATTTTATGCGTATACCAGTAACTTTACTATTATCCACATGCATCATCATCATCATCATCACCACTGGCACAACAGCCCTTTGTGAGCCCTGGCCTTCCTCAGGATTGTTCGCCATTCTTCTCCATTCGATGCTACATTCCTCCAGTTCTTTACACCCAAAATTCTTATGTCCTCCCACACACATTCTTCCCATCTCAATCATGGTATTTTCTTAATCATTCTAATCCTCACTGGCACGTATCATGTGTCCAGCCCATTCAAGCGTTTTTACCTTTGTAAATCCAATAATGTCTGGTTCATTAAATAGTCTGGATAGCTCATGGTTATACCTCTTCCTCCATATTCCATTTTCTTCCACTGGTCCAAAGATATATCTCAGGATCCTCCTTTCAAATATACTTAACAGTCTTTCACCTGATCTCGACAGTGGCCAGGTCTCAGAGGCATAAGATAGCACTGATCTTATAAGCACTTTATACATCATACATACTGCATAATGAGGAGCTTCATAGCTTGTACTCTTCTCCAAGTATAATTAGAATGATCAAGTCAAGGAGGATGAGGTGGGCAGGTCATGTAGCACGAATGGGGGAGACGAATGCATATAGGATATTGGTGGGAAAACCAGAAGGAAAGAGACCACAGGAAAGACCAAGGCATAGGTGGGTGGACAATATTAGAATGGATCTTAGAGAGATAGGATGGTATGGTATGGATTGGATAAATCTGGCTCAGGATAGGGACCAGTGGAGGGCTCTTGTGAACACGGTGATGAACCTTCAGGTTCCACAAAATTCTGGGAAATTCTTGAGTAGCTGCAGAATTGGCAGCTCCTCAAGAAGGACTCAGCTCCATGAGTAAGTAAGTAAGTTTTGGTTTTCCTGGGTATTAGTTGGGATTTCAGGTGTTTCCTAAGGCCGTGGAGACATTTATCTGCCACAAGTACATGCTTTTTTATTTCATCACTGATGTAATTTTTACAGTTAACTTCTGATCCAAGGTAAGTAAAACTACATACAACCTCAAATTTATATGAGCCAATTTCAATATATGCAGGTCCATTAGCACAGTCTTTCTTGGTTAGCGGCATGTACTTTGTTTTATTTTGGTTAATTTGTAGATTCATCTTTTTTGCTGCTCTTTCCAAATTAAGAAAAGCTTCTTTCATAGATTTTTGTGTTCTACCAATTATATCAATATCATCTGCAAATGCCAAAATTTGAACTAACTTATAGAATATAATTCCCCTTGTGTTGATGCCTGCATCTCAAACGACCTTCTCTAATGCTATATTTAATAAAAGGCAGGCTAGGGAATCCCCTTGTCGAACTCCATTTCTAGTTATTACAGGGCTGGACAACATATTCTGAATCTTAATTTGGCATTGGGTCTTTCTCATAGTGGCTCTGACTTACGTGATTAACTTCTGTGGAGTGTGCATCTCTTCCATTGCCAGAAAAAAGACTTTCTCTATCTATGGAGTCATAGGCTGATTGGAAGTCATTGAAAAGATGATGTGTTTCAATTTGGAATTCATCACACTTTTCAAGGACCTGGAAAATAGTGAAAATCTGATCGTTAGTTGATCTTCCTTGATAAAATCCACATTGGTAATCCCCAATTATGCCTTCCACAAAGGGAGAGAGTCTGTTAAATAGAATGCTGGAAAATATTTTATATGCTGTGCACAACAGACTAATTCCTCTAGAGTTAAAGCATATCATGACATTGCCTTTCTTATGGATAGGGCATACAGTACTTAGGTTCCATTCCTCTGCGATTATTTCAGTTATCCATATCTTAACTATTAGCTGATGTAAGTGCTTAGTATATTCTGGGCCTGCAAATTTCACTAATTCTGCCGTGATGAGATCCGTTCCTGGAGCTTTATTATTTTTCAATGTTTTGATAGCTTGTTCTACTTCTATTATTGTCGGTGCTGGCTCTTCAGCCTCAAAATTTCCTTGATTCTGGTCTATGGTCATACCTTCCGCTTGTTTAGAGGCATTACCATTTAATTATTCCTCAAAATATTATGCTCATCTTTCCAGTATTGCTTCATCACTACTCAATATCGTGCCTTCTTTATCTCTACATAAGGTTATTCTAGGTTGAAAGTCCTTTCGACTCTTGTTTAGTTTTTGATAAAACGCTCTAATTTCGTTTGAACTTCTTAAATGCTCCAGTTCAATCAGTTCTTGTTTATCATATTCCCTTTTCTTCTTTTTATGCAATCTTTTTTCTTTTCTTCTCGCTTCACAGTATTCTTCCACAGCCCCTCGAGTATGGTTCCTTTGCTGCATTCTCTTATATGCCTGGTTTTTTTTATTTGTCACTTGCTCACACTCTCCATCAAACCAATTCTTATACTTTATCCTTTCCATTCTTCCTAAAACTGTACCAGCAGCATTTATAATAACATCTCTTAGGTCCCTCCAGGCTTCACTATCAGAGAGACCTGCCAGGCATTCACTAATTGATCCAGTATATCTGGTTGCAACTCCTTGTTCCACCAATTTTCCACAATTCAGTTTCTTAGCCTGGGATCCATGTATCTTCCTTGCATTAGATATTCGACTTCTAATCTTTGATATTATTAAGTAATGATCAGAGTCAATGTTGGCCCCCCTGTAACTCCTGATATTCATCAAGTCTGAACAATGTCTTACATCTGTTAGGATGTGATCAGTTTGGTTAAACACATTACCATCAGGGGATTTCCAGGTTCGTTTATGTATATCCTTATGATTAAACTTTGTACTACCTACTACCATGTTTCTTGAGGAAGCAAAATTTATTAATCTCATCCCATTATCGTTTGACTTGTTATGTAGGCTATGTTTTCCAATAATCGATCTATATACATCCTCCTTCCACACTTTAGCATTCATGTCCCCTATGATTATTTTACAGTCCCTTTTTGGACATTCGCCATATATTTCATCCAATTCATCATAAAAGGAGTCTTTCTCCTCATCACTTTTATCTTTGTTGGGGCATGTGCACAAATAAGGCTATAGTTAAAAAACTTTCCCTTAATTCGTAGCGTACGTGTTCCGTGAGATTTTGCCTGGAAGTCTAAAATAAGATGCTTCCTTTTTTTATTAACAATAAAACCTGTTCCAAACATGTAACTCTTCTTCTGACAACTATAGAGTACAACATGATCCCTCTTTTCCATGACTCCTTTACCCAACCACCTCAGTTCTTGTATAGCAGTGATATCTAGTTTATAGCTATCTAGTTGTTCTAGTAACATTTTTAGTTAGTAGCTACACTACCGCCAGCATAGCTCTCAGGGTCTCAGGAGCTCTCAAACCCCACCACCACAATAAGGTGGAAATACCATTGGTGGGGATCCACATGCATAATTTGTAATATTATCTCTTAATTTTTCTTTATACAGTATTAGTTGTTCTGTAACTTATTCCAGTGAACCTGAGTCAAGTTGGCAACAGCAATAACAATGAAGACTCAAGTTCGGAAGAGACATCACCTGTCAGTGGGAAATCTGGCACCAGACCTCGAAGCACCAGCATTGATCGTTCACATACTAGGTACTTCATGGCTGTTTAATTTAGAAATACAGATTTTGCCATATACTTGGTGCTTCTTTGGTAAAGTTTTAATAGTGCTGAAATTCTGAAAATTATAGAATGTAAATGGGCAAGTTCACAGAAGAACTTAATTCATGCCATAGGCCTATAGAAAATTAGGTCTTTTATCATTTTATTAAATAGGAGATAAAGTTGACTGCAGTAGTTTTGGGGGGAAGTTTTCTTTTGCCATCTGTAAAAATTTTGTCCAGTATTCTTCAGCCACAGTGCAATATGAGATGGGTAAATGGATAATCTGTGTAGTTGTACAGCCAAGCACTTGTTTCAGATAGCCTTTACAGGACAGGTATTAGTTTTCTATTATTCAATAGTATATTCCAATATCTGTTGTTACTTTTTCATTTTATACCTTTCTGCTGCCCTTTCTTGAATATTTTTTGGATAAGAATTTTGATCGGTAACTGCTTGTCCACTGCCTTGTGAAGGTATCCATTGGAGTTCTGTTCCTGTTCATCTAGTATTTTCAGTAGTAGATTTCACTTACCCTCTTGCATGAATTTATTGCTTGAAATGATTGCCATACTGAAAATGTTTTCATGGCAGTTGTTTTGAAGATGAGTTGATTAGGTCCAGTTCCCTGTCATACTGGGTTGAATTTGTTCTAAGTACTCTGTAAAAGGCAAAACGTTTTCATATTCCTGTACCAGCATTGCTGTTTCTGTCCCCGTGCACATGCATGTGCACTTTTTTCTAGATAATGGGTGTGGATTGTTTCAGGAGTAAGTAATTGTAACCACAAGATTCATGAAGAGAGAAGCAGTTATTTACAAAGTTAAACAAACTGGTTCTCTTGATTCCTAGTTGATTCCACGTACATCATCTGACTGATAGCAGTACCTCCTCCTCAGTGCTGACCTTGTTGCACAGAAATTGCCTTATTCTGTCACACTGAATATGTACAAAGAAACACTGACCTGCACTAAAAACTTTTATTTCCACTGGTGACATAAACATTTATTGTTTTGTTTACCACTGTAAGACAGTCTCTAAATTTTTCATGTGCTTCATTAAGAAAATTACTTTATCATATATTCTGGAAAATATGATAGTACAAAGATCTGGAGAGGGCACGCAGTAGCCTAGTTAGTTGAGGCACTATGCTACAAGCTGGAAGGTCATGGGTTCAAGTCCCGATGAGGTCATTGGATTTCTTTAATTCACTTAATCCTTCCAGCCACACTATGACTCTGGGGTCAACTCAGTCTCTAACAGAAATGAGTACCAGGAATATTCTTGTAATATTCATGGAGGTAAATGGTGGTCGGTGCATAAGGCTGACAACCTTACCGCCATCTATGAGCCAATTGTCTAGAAAATGTGGGAACCTCAACATCGCACAACCCTATGGGCCTCCACAGCCTGTTTCAGGGATACCTTTGCCCCCCCTTTTTTTTAACAAAGATTTGGAAGTGATTGAAAAGTAAATATTTTTCTACTTGCAGTGCTCCTTCTAGTTTGCCATCCAGTGGTACTCAGCCACAACCTCAACCCCGTCGTCCTGGAGGATCATCTCTTCATGGCCGTTATGGTAGTGAGAGAGATCTCAGTCGCCCAGCACCACAGCGACTAACCACAGTAGGTCGTCAAGGTGGAAGCAAACCCATTCCAGCACTGAGGCAGAACCAGTTGCTGGAACGAAGCCCACACGAGTTGCCTGTCAAAGACACTGACCAGCCTTCTGCTGTCTATGATATAGTCAGTGCCCCACGTAAGTTCTTCAGTGTATCTAACTCCATGGAACATGCAATCCTTGATGAGGAGCTTGTAGTACTCTGGCCAAGAAATTTCCTGCCTTTTGTGGAACTTGAAAGTTCATTTCCACATTCACAAGAGCATGCCACATGGCCCTACTGTATCAAGTTGAATCCAGTCCAAACCCTGTGATCCTACTTTCCTACTTCTTGGACCATGACCAAACAAGTGTTGCATCATTGTGTTGCACTGAAGAGGTTGGTCTAGAGGTATAGCATATGTGGTGTTAACCAACGTTTCGGAGGAACGTATCGCCTCCATCTTCAGGGTAGAAGGAAAAATATAAGAAATCCGCAAGCGAAACGTTGGTTAACACCACATATACACGGTGCCAAATCCAAGAAGACTGCTTTCTTCATGAATTAAATAACTTACTATAAAAACATAGTCACAATTTCATATGATCACTTAAATTACCAATTAGGTGTCTTCCAGCATCACACATTTATAATCAGTTCTATGTTAAATGTTCATACAAGTTAGAGAGGTGTTAACAGCCTCTTCAATACATGTTTAAAATTGTACTATCAGCAGCCATCTTTGTTATGATTATCAATTAATGACAAACAGATCTGTGTTATTAAAATTTGATTCTAAATTTGTAGATCACATTAGTAAGATTAAATAAAATATGAGCCATAATAATTTTAGATAGGACAACTGCATATATAAATTGAAAATATATTACAAATAATTACTGATAATTACTGTTATAATTTGCTTATTATGACCAGTTATACTGATGCTCAGAATTACTGGGTTTTTGGACTTGGTCTATCATCCAGTATTCTGAAAACCAGAGGACACAACATTTTGGAAACTGGATCTATTTCTGTCCTCAGGTGAGCAGAGAGACACCTACCGTGCTGTGTCCTATAATTAGAGCTAATCCTAATCACTGGACAACCTGTGTCGGAGTCAGAGTTACTTTACGACAGATTTCGTTCAAAGTGTAGGATTAATAAAGGGTTAATCCAAAGGGGAAGCACAATAGATCATTGAAGGTCACAGTTGGAGGGCCTGTTTTTATGGCTCACTCCTCATACTCATACTTTATGACTGACAGTTTACTGCCTGTCAGTTCTTTTTGACAGCAAGCGCCCTTGAGACCCACAAGCAGAATTTTTATTTTCCAACTGAACACTTGCGGTTATAGTCCTTATGTAACGTCCTTTCTGAGGAGAGGATGGGTCTCTCACTTACATTTGCTGCTGGTTCTTGCGAACGCAGTCATTTTCACGTCAAATGTCTCAGATTCAGGACTCCCCCAACTTGGAGGGCCGGGTCCTTGTGTTTATATCAGGCAACCAATGTCAGATTAAATACAGCTATATAAATACCTGAGATCAGGCTACATTGAAAGGAGATAACGGATAAATATGGAATAAATATTGTGATAAATCATGCACAGACGTGAAACTAAGATAGAAATGGATGGTCAAGTGGGATTTGTTGTGGACGAAGTGACGCTGGGGCGGGTTTTCTCCGAGCACTTCGGTTTCCCCTGCCAATCTTCATTCCACCAAATTCTTCATCATCATAATCACCCAGGGCAGGCTACAATAGGCCCATCAGTGGCCGCCATGCCGAGTGAACCTAGTTGGACTCCACCCCCCACTAAGAGAAATTAAGATAGAAAGGGAGGTGAACATTTCATGCAACAAACTAAGATGGTCCTCACATTATAATGATTCCATATAGGTTCGAAATTTCTGAAACACCCTTCACATACAGAGCCCAGAGGCTTTTCCTCTTTACTCATCAACTGCTACCCCTGGAATTAATAACTGAGTCAATGAAACTTGGGTATAACTGTTGAGCTGAAGATCATGTCCCAGACTACTGATCTCATTAAACAGATCTTGTTGTTCTTGGCATATGATGAAAGCTCTGTTTGAAGACTCTGAATTAAACCTCTTTCTACATTGCGTGGATGGTTAGATTTGATGTTGAGATATTGGCCATTGTGTGTAGGTTTTCCAGAGACTTTGGTTGGCAGTGTCATGTCTTTCCTGATGACCAGAGAACCCAAAAAGGAATTGTACTGTAGGACTGTATTTCCATAGCGAATCGGATGGAAGGCCTTGAACTACTGAGGTGGCAGAGGAAATTTTGTAACTGCTCTGAACCATGAGGCCAGACCACAAATGTATCATCACCTTACCATAGCCATAACAGTGGTTTGTGTTGTGCCAAGTCAAGACCCAATTTCTCAAAATGCTCCATATAGATGTTTTTAACAATGACACAAGTGCAAGGGGTTAATAGATATACTTAGAAATCACATATTCGGTGTACATAAAAATTTTTCCCTTCATTGCTGCATCTTTTTTTGTAGCTGATTTTTCCTAGAAACTATATGTTCTTCTCTCAAATATATTGGGCAGGAGTTTGGCCCTGTAAAGTACCCATATAAGGATGACCCTGTCTTGCATATGTCTGTGTGTGAGTTATGTATTCCTTGTTTAGAGAAAACATTTTCAAAAGTTGACTAGTATATTTTATTACTACTGGATTCCCTCCCAAACATGTGTTGCAGTTTCACAGCAGCTGTGCAGCTCAGTTGCAGACCAATTGACACGAACTGCAGACAGTGTGGTGCAGCTATACAAACGCCTCGCGCTAGAGGGTGACCAGACAGACCACAGGGAGATGTTGCATGGTTTACAGGAAGCTGTCAGTGAGGCTCAAAGAACACTCCGACACGTTGTGACAGGCGGAACTGGTGCCGTTGCTGCAGAATCTCTTCCTGCAGCATCAAAGTTACAGGATATTATTGCTAACAGTGGCCAAGGAGATCAAGCAAATGTGGTAGCCATGATGCAGCAGTATTCAGACATGTTACTGACGATGGTACAGCAGCGAATGGGAAGCACCACAGCACCAAGCCTGCAGAAACCAAGTTAAAATTAATTTTGCCTTTTCTTTGAAGACTTGAGGAACTTTTTTGTATAATTCAAGTTTCAACTTTATTAATAATGGTACAATAACATGTAATATAGAATAGTATGCCACTATGCCAACATCACAGCTGAAATCTGTAGATATACATGTTTAACTCGAGATGCGTTTAGTCTCTAAAAAAGTGATCATAACAATATAGTAATTACATGTTACACAATAAACAGTGGTGCAACATAGCAAAGGGAACTCACATGAAATAATTCATCTGTTTTTATATGAGGGTTAGAGGAACTGAATTACAATGTTTTTCTGGTAACTGTGATCTGTATTACTAGTGATTTTAGATGCTATTTGTAATGCAGAACAAGACTTGAAGTATTGAATCACAAAGTCAGAACCCTTGGGAGAAAGGAATAAGGCATGTTAAGGTAGTTAATTTTTGTATAAAATTAGGAAAAATAGGCAAGGAAACTTGCTGTTGTAAGAAACTGCAAGAATGTGTATATGTGTGTGAACCTGGTGCTGCTGAGAGGACTGCAGTGTTTTCTATCAGGTCCTTACATTGATAAGATTTCTGTTTGTTAGTTCAGATCATCCAGCTTAAGGCAGTGATATATCAGATATGTGTACTAATGTTGACTGTAATAATCTCTCGTCATTTAATTTCTTTTTTATTGTTTTATTAGAAGTTTTACATTTCAGTATGTTTTAAGAATTTATTTGAAAGTAGGTACTTCATTATATGTGAGAAAACATCATGTCGGAATGGGATGGAACCATTTTTATCATGCCTATCCATTCTGCAGTGTGTCAAAAGTGGAAGCAGTGGCAAGTTTTCATTGTTGTTTATTAAATTGGCCTTCAGCTATTCTTAAGTGTGTAGATTGTAGCAGAACATTCTTGTCATCTGATTTAATTACCTTTGTATTAATATGTACAGTTCAGAAATCTAGTCATTATGATTGTTAATGAATATTGTGTATTGTATGAATTGTTTTGTCATTTCTCTGTGGGGTATAGTAAAACTTCTAGGAAAGATCTGTTAACCTTTTAAGGATGAATGTCTGATTTATCAATGCCTGAGTGACTCGTTAAGTGGCCAAATGTCCAATATATTATGTTCCATTATTGAGGAACCCGTTTAGCACTATGTTGCCAGTGCTTAACCCAAACAAAGCATATAGTTTTCTTCATGCTAGGCTTCAGCAGTACGTTTATATAAATGTTACATCAGGTTTATTTTCCTTTCTAAACAACTGTTCCAGTCACTTGTAAGAATTTATTTATTCTGTGAACCCACTCAGCAGAAGCATTTTCCTGTTCTTTTCTCTTGAAATGTTTGAAACAGTAGAAGTCCTTTCCAAACCTGATAATATTTTTGGAGGAATAAGATATTAAGGGAGAGTAAAGTGATGCTTAAAATTATAATTGCATCATAGATTGTTACCCATGTATAATTTTTCTTGTTCATGTACAGAGCATGGGGTACAGTTTTGCCACAACAGGAAGGAGATGCTGCATAACCATAGTTCTGAATATCTTTGACTGAAAAGAGGAGACATTACATCAGTGTACAAGGAAACCTGAGGACTGTTGGAGTGAGGGACAAAAAGTATACGCCCCTTCACATTCCACCTGCAGAGGGAATCATCAAAGAATATGTAAAAGCTGTGAAGCCTCTGGTCCCCAAGACTGTAATTACTCGTATGTGTATGGTTGACCAAGTGACAGGATGGCAAACAGCCATAGCTTAATCAAAAGTATCAGAATAGAATTGAAAAAAAGTTCCATTTGTTATGTCTTACTGTAGTAAATTCCCATGTGGTCTTGTGTTCTGTGGGGGAATGTGACCCATCTCAAATTCAGGGAGCAGCTGATTAGGGATCTTGTTCTTTCCTATGAAAAAGAATGCTGAAGTGTGTGATATGCTAAGGAGTTTATACAGATGTGTCTTCTTGAATTGAAACATTGAGTGCATTGCCTAGCCAGAGGAAAAGAGGATTGTTGTTGGGTGTGCCAAATGAAAACAGTTGCAAGAAGTGTAACTGCAATCTGTGTGCTGTACCTTGCCTCAAGGTCTAGCACATCAAACACAGTTGTGGCTGTCACTGACTCTCTGTACTGATTGTGACTGTATCGAGTGTGTGACATGGTCTGCACAATGAAACAGAGATTTCTCCTCCAGTCCAGTGTAGTTTGGTATGATGAAACTGCACCATTCTTTAATGAAGTTCTGTAATCCATACAGCATAGTATCTTTTAAGTATGGATGGATATGTGAGTAAGTCTTGGCCAGACATTAACAGAGGAGAAAGTCATGTTTTTATGCAAGTGTTTATGTTGTAAATTTTATAATTTTGCCACAAGCTTTTAAATAACATTAATCTTGACTATACGAAATGCATTAAATTTGGCTGAAAAATAATGATACTGTTTGAGACATGATGCATTTATTACTCTAACTTATGGGTTCTTAAACAAACAGTAGAGATGCATATTTTGTCTAGTACAATGCAAATACAATATTAAACTGTCACTTTAAATTCCAACTGATTGCCAAGCAGAGGTTTAAATGCGCCATACTTTGAAGCTAATCTCTTGGAATTCTGATCACCTCATTTTATTTGAATGTTGTTGTAACTTGTTCTTTTGTATTAAATTTGATGCCATAGAGGTGTGGTCTGTCATTTCATATAATACTCTGATCCAGCTGTAGACAGTAAAAACTGAATATAGGAACATGTAGTGGAGGTTACTGTTGAAGTTGTTGAATTTATCAGTACAGCAGGTAGAAATGTATCAAAAAATTAAAGGGAGCAAATGAATTTGTTTTGTTGACTCTATTTTCAGTAATTTTGGCTAAAAACATACCTTCTGTTTAAATTGCTCCTTCATCCTTTTACAAGAGGTATGTTTGTCTTTGCTGAGGGTTTTCCTAAAACAAACAAACAAACAATGAACACTTGCCATTGGTTACAGACTTCTCAGACATTCTGTAGCTCCTCATAACATGGTAACCTCAAAATAGAACAGATTGCTGTCATCATACTTCTTGCTGCTATAAGCATAATGTGAAACATGAGATGATCTTACAGTTGTTTGCTGTGGAAATATTGAAGTTCAGCCTTTTATTATTCCTTGCATGTTACTGGGGCAGACTTCTCATCCAGTAAGTAAAGGTATATGAGGAAGTTCTAAAGCTTTAGCATATGTGTTCATATATGTTTAACTGTTAAGTGGAAAAAGAAATCTAAAAATGTTTTCAGTGCTCATTGAATCAATTTAACATAAACTGTGCTTTGGATATCTTCATATAGCACTAGGTTTCTGCTGTCTCTGCAATGTCCAGTCACTGCAGAGGTGACAGACTTACTTCACCAGGGTAAAGTTTACAGTTCTGAATGAACTGTGTGATGCTCTCATGTAGGGTCTAATAGTATTAATGTGCTCATTCTCTTGCTCTCCTTGGCTTTCCTAGAAACATTTATACTTCATGAACTTGCTACCTGGTTGGCTCTCCTACCTGTACCTTCTGGGCACATTTTAGTAAACACAACTTCTTGTAAAAGAAAAAAAGAGATGTCACAACCAGTGATGTAAAGACATGGCTGTAGAGGGATATCCAGGAAATTAATAATTTGTATTTTCAGAAAGACCAGCTTTTTGTTACTGTTACTGTTACTAGAACATAACTTTCCTTCATTTTGTATGGTTTGTAACCAGTGTTTTGCTGATATCTGAATTCTGACCTAATACTGTTAGGACACCTAATCACCATTATTTGCATCCAGACTGAACTCCCTGCAAGTAATTCGTCACTTACTTTAACAAAGGCACAAGCAGTTATGATGTCTTTCTTAATTTCAATATATGTAGTCCCAGATGCCATCTAGACAGAATGTTGAAAGCTGCTGATATGTATAGAACCAAATAGTTCATAAATTGAGGCATATCCATTACAGTCACTTTAAAAAATTATGTAAACCTCATTCTTGGGTGCAGGAACACAGTTTTGCAATTGTGATCTTAAGGTGAAAATTTGGGGGGCTGAAGGTGCACATTTATATATTTCAAGTTCCTTGTGAATTGATACACAAATAATATGACATTATCTTCATTCTACAGTTATAAAATGAATTACACTATGCGTTGTCACAATGGGTCCCTTTTGATATAAACACTGATATGCAAACAGCACAATGAAATAGTAATGAATTGGTATGCTAAAACAACAATCTCCAGCATCTCACTGTAGGTGTGCTGTGGGGTAGTTTGGGAATTAAACTTAGTTAACTGATGTTACATGTTTTCTGTGTGGTCTCACTTTCTTTTTATTTTCTCAGAGAAAAATAATGTCTCTTGATAATTCTAGCACTACTTTCATTATTTCTTAAGAGTACTGTACTTTCAGTAGGAGTATCAGTATTTGAAATCTGGAGAAATATTGGCTGAAGAATTTAAAATTCATTGTTATATGTATCAGTTTTCTATGAATTTATAAGTAAAGTTAGAATTGAATTTCATGAAGTGCAACAGTGTTTTTTAATAATGAAATAGAGCCTTCAGATGTTTTGGCCAATGCTGGCCTTCACTTAATTTTACTTATGTAGTATAGAGTGCAATATCTGAGGATAATGCGTATCATAAATGTCACTATGAATTCTTTTGAAGTGATATGTAAAAACTCAGAATTTTATAATTTTGTTTATGTTTGTTTTCAAATTCTCTGTAATATTATTATGTTTATTGTTATATGAACCTTGCCATAATTTTTTATGAAACTTAATATTTGTCGGATATACTTTTTAGTTGGTAGAAAGATTATATGTAAATATGAGGTCAAAGTTACTGATCTGAAAATTCATACATTGTTATCCCCACTGATCCATACAGAATCCCTAGTGGCAATTCAGTCTCTTTATATTTTTTGGGAGGCAGATCATCAAAAAATATCATTTTGTACTTAATAATAGTGATAATAAGCAAAATAAATTGTTTTAAGTGTGTCAGTATTACTTATATGAAACATCACTCTAATTGCATAATATGCACTTAGCCTAGGAATCATATGTTCAATATATTTCATTCAAGTGATCTGGTTATCAGTTTGTATGCCGTCTCTTTTATATATTTTTCATTATACCAAGTACTTTATGCATATGTGGTGAATTAGCCTTTTCATATTTTATTACATTTGTTTTATTAAGATTTTGAATCAGTTTGTTAGCTGTAAACCAGTTACTTATGAGAGAAAAAACTGAATTTGACATTGGAAAAAATCATGGATATTGTTAAAAGTTTAAGATCCTGGGTCCCAATAAGGTATTTATTTATGCATGCCATAACAAGTAGTTAACTTTTTAGAACATACTGTTACGTGACTGACTATAAATAGGGTTAGGAATTGTAATTGGGTTTATTGAACACTTACTGATCATAAATACAAGTAACTATAGCGCTATCGCTAATTCACACACTCTGCAATTCACTGTAGCATGTACTAAGGCGTCTTAATCTGCTGTGTCTTGACCGGTTGTCTGGTAACTGCTTCCAGCGATGTAGCTTTTTTCCTATTGCTAGTGAGGTGGGACTAAGTCTTTTGTTCTGCGACCACTTCTGGCCTATTGTACCAGCCCCAGATGATAGGTGAGGGTGATTGTGGAGCAATTGGCAGGGGAAACCGAAGTACTTGGAGGAAACCTGACCCAGTGCCACTTTGTCCACCACAAATCCCACTTGGTATCGAACCCGGACCGCCGCGGTGGGAAGCCAGTGACTAACCACTTGAGCTATGGTGCGGCCCAGCGATGTAGCTTCCTCAGCTTCCATGTTCCACAGCTCCTGTCCCTGCTTGGCTGGAGCATATCACAACTAACTACTCACCTCAGGGTCAAGTGAAACAGCCATTGAGCACACCCAACAGAAAACACCTTTTCTTGAAGCTGTGATATTGTACAGGCACGCAGCCGCTGAGGCAGACCACACAGAAAATTCCACTTGTGACAGTTCTGTTGTTGCTTGAATAACTGTTGCTACACTGATGTAGCATTTTGTGTTCCACACTAGACTATTCCAGCTTTCAACAGATCCATCCATGAGTAATCTGTCAGACGACAGGTCCACAGTCTCTTCCAAAACAGTTCCTCCACTTAGTGCGATCTTCTGTTTTTGGAAAGAGACTATCCAGGAAAAGTGATAATGTGGTAGTTTTTCCATTTGCTTTCCACATCGCAGTACAGCAGCCGTTCAAACCACTCTGGTCACGCCTGTTGCTATACGAACTTGAACCATCTCGAGCATCATTTGCTCTGTGCTTCAAGTCGCTGCTGATGACGCTGCTTCCGGCATCAGTTTTTGGTGTCTCTCTTCGTCTGATGCCTACCCTTTGACCTGTCCAGCAAGGGAGGCCCTGCCAGTAGCTACGCTACCGCTGGTATAGCTCTCAGGGTCCTTGGCATACTCAAACCCCCTCACCACGATAAGGTGGAGACACCAACGAGGGGGTTATACAGATATGCCACAATATTGATAGATTCTAAAGGGTTCTGATGTTGTATATATAACATTCAGAATTACTGGGTTTTTGGACTTTGTCCATCATCTGGTATTCTAAAACTAGAGAACACACTGTTTCAGAAACTGGATCTGTTTCCATCCTCAAGTGAGGTGAAGGCACCTACTTTGTTGGGTCCCTNGAAAAAAAAAAAAAAAAAAAAGCTAACCCTAGTCACTGAAAAAGCAATTGAAGTTAGCTCAGACTGTCACAAAAAACAACATGCCTATCATCTTGAACTGCCAGTGAAACTGATAAACTAAGGCCTAAACATGTCAAAAATAAAACTTATCCATTGCAAATATTTTTGGTTGTAATGCCACATAGTACTGAAAGAAGCCTGTTACACATAAGAGGAGCTTACTGCCTCCTTTGGGATAGAAGAGAAGCTGTTTCCATTCATTTGAGAACATACTAGACTTTCCTTTATTGGCCTTACAAGTCATAACTTGTGACTCTCGTCCCATTTACCTGTAATTCCTATGTGTGAGGAACGAGGTTGAATAAAGATCTATAATGTAACAAGTATTATGAAGGACCACGAGTTAATTCCCCCCCCCCAAAAAAAAAACTCAAATTATGGACAAGTGCCATGGGTTGGATACCTGGAACAAATCCTTAGACATTATTCCAAATTTTTCATATTTTAAATGGTACATCAGAGAGAAAAATGCAAAAAACAAAAATATTCAAGATGCTGACCAAAGAAATATCAGCATATGTTATACTGTTGAAAATACTAAATGGAAACCTTTTGTTTGTAATCTCTTGTTTTCCACAAAAATACTGTGAGGTATATCTAGTTTCCTTTACAAACACCCCTCCGGCGCATGTCGCTGTTCTCATGAAGATTAAGTTGGAAGTTTCCTCCACTTTTCATGTGAATTTATAAACAGAACTTCATATACTTCTACAATCTTTGTTGTATGATATTACCACTAAAATAAAATGTCTTGCCTACTTAGATCAGTCATTTGCATTATCCTGCACACTGAATTTCAAGTTGTTAAAAAACCATGAATTTGCTGAAAGTCTAAGCATTGAAACTTCAGAAGGAAACCATAATGTAACTAAAAATTTGAAAACCATTGTGTTATCAATAACTGGAAGTTGAAAACATAGTTTGACAACTTCCCTATTCGTCTCTCAATGTATCTCTTATGTTCCCATTGCTTAAGAAGTGTGGTGCCACCCATTATTGTATATTATACCTTAGAATTTTCATTCTAGAATGATCACCACTTTATTGGATGTACACATTTTATACACAAGCTTAAACATGTCTTTTTAATTGACCATTTTGCAGCCAGACTTTTAATGTCATTAGGAATCTCAGTAATTAGAGAAAAATTTGTCCCTTTGATCATGCCAATAATTGATTAGTAATGTAAGATTTGTTTAAAAAGGTTGAGAAATATTATGCAATAGTTCTTTTTAAGTTTCCTATGTTGTAAATAATTACCTACATATTTTTATGTACAAAATGTAGATACTCTTTATTTGTGATGCTGTAACATACATGAGCACTGGCATTTCTCAGATAGCATAAAGTTTTAAGATATGTTAATAACTGTATTGCAAGATTGACATGGAATCAACGTGGATAAGAACTCTGTTTGCTGGTCTTGACAGACAACTCTTCCATCACAAGGTACCTATGAATACTGTTCATTCCTGCATGGCACACCAGCAGAGTTGATTGTCCTATAACAAAGTCTTCTACACAGCTTTGTCATCCCATAAACCTTCTTATAATTGTGTTTTATCTCCCCCACCCCATGTCTTCCCTCTTTTGACATCTGCATCTGGTTCTTGGAGTCTAATGGTTATTCAGTGTCTTCATGTGTGATATTCTGAAACGAGTCCTACTGTCAGGTCCATGAATAATAGTCATACTCTGTTTTCTCAATTTGACCAGCTTTTGAGTGTTTTCTATTCATGTCTTGCCACATCTGCATATATAAAATCCTTTTGCATCTGATTCACTGTTACATAGCATTGTTAAAGAAACCAAGTAACAACAAAGTTGGAGTGCTTTGTGATGGCTGATATGCAGTTGGAGGTTGCAAACTTGATTAAAGTCAAATATTTCAAATGCCTTCACTGTTACACTCTGTGTGAATATTGTCATCTCTTATATATGTTTCCTTTGGAACTGTATAGTATGTCATTTCCCTTGCCTTCCAGTATTTGTGCAGTTCCTCAGTTTGTTCTTACATAATTGATGTTCCAGTATAATGTATGTCATTCTAATTTCTTTTGGTCCTGCAAGGTCTGGCCATCAATCAAAATTAACCATTATTACAATTTTATGATGTAAATACAAACCCTTTCCTACATAGAAACCTTGTAGCTGAGTGTTGCAGGGATTTATCTGTTCTAACCTCAGCCTTCAGTTCTGAAGGAATTAAAATCTGCCCCTTTCTTCCTGCACTTTAGAAAGCATGTAATGTAATTGTCAGCACACTTATATAATAGTTGTGCCCTGAATCACCACTACTTTTATACTGAAGTCGATGTGAAACACTACTAGTAGTATCTGTTGATCACTATTTCAAATGCAACACTTCATAGAAAATGCACATTAAAAATAATGCCAACGAAAGCTAAAGATTATATTCGATGTTGTAAATTTTTCTAGTTCCCTTTTATTTAAATGTGACATAAAATGAACTTTAGATTATAATTTTTAAAATAGTCTGTAATACAAAATCTAGTCATTTATTAACCACAGTGACAATGATTTGTAGGTACAGATGGATAGTGATTGTGCTTTATTACAAAACATACATAAATAAGATAGATTTTCTGCTCAGTTTAGGTGAAAAAGGGAAGAATATTAAATCCCTCCACAAAGAAATGTGATCCTATATACTGAATAAGACTTGAGAGTATATAGTTCAGAGGGCAGTTGATCTTTGAAAAGTTGCAGATCCCATGTCTGATCTGCATATTGAGCACATTAGTTAGTGTTTCAGATGTCTCTTTTACATAATTTCATTGATGCTACAGTTTAATTCTGGCAAAGGTGCCTTCTGATGCAGAGGATTTTTTTCTTCATTCATTCACTCTTTGGGTGCAGTATCTGACAAGTGCCTTTGTGATGTCACTTTGGAAGATGCATCACTTTACCAGGCTAGCCATGGATTATTCATTTTATCAAGCACCTAAGATACCTATATTAAATGAGGCATAACCAGTAACAATAGACAAATTGTTGGATAAAGGATTTTTGGTTCTGTTTCATAGGCTATAACACCATGTAGTCCATTGAAAATCAGCTTGACATTTTGGAGGAACACAACACCTTCGTCTTCAAGAATAGGCCAGCTTTACTTGCTACCTACTTTATGCTGATTTCTTGTTTGACTTATTTTTGACCCTGAAGATAGAGGCAACACATTCTTCTGAAATTTGGTTGATTTTCAGTGGCCTACATGATATTATGTACTAGAAGACAGAACTCTTCAGAGTCTGAGATAGTATTAAAATATGCTACACATGCTTCCTTTCATAGTCATCCTGTTTCAAGCTATGTAACCTGTATCCAACTGCATGCTGCATTCTTCTTTGAAAAGACCCTATGGGGGATAGGGTGGGGTGATTATGAGTGTGGAGCAGCTGGTGGAATGAGAATTGGCAGGGGAAACTGAAGTACTCAGAGGAAAGCTGCCCAGTGTCACTTCGTCCACCACAGATTCCACTTGACCTGACCTGGGATCAAACCTAGGCCACAATGGTAAGCTGGTAACTAAATGCCCGAGTTATAGCATGGCCTGAAGTCAGTAGTTACTCAGCCACTCATGTTCTGTACTTCTGTGGAAACCAAAAGCCTGTCATTATCATCCTGATCCAGTTTAATCCAATTCACACTCTTACCAGGTTTCTGTTAAGATACATTTTAATAGTATCTTCATGTTTATGTCTTCCAAGTACATTATTTCCACCAGCTGTCACATATGTGTGACTGTGGATGGGGTTTGGATAGGTGAATAGATTTATTGACCACTTACAGCAACTACAAATAACTATAACATTATAGCTATTTCCACACTGTACAGTCCACTAGAGCACATAATCTGTTACTATGCTTTTCCTGGTAATGACTCTAACAATGGCTATTCCTGTGCCTCTGGCTCAGGTGCTCTCTTCATACTCCCATACAGAACTGACTAAGCTCTAACTTTGGCCGCACGATAGCTCAAGCAGTTAGTCGCTGGCTTCCCACTGTGGCGGCCTGGGTTCGATCCCAGGTCTGGTCAAGTGGGATTTGTGGTGGACAAAGTGGCGCTGGGCAGGTTTTCTCCGAGTACTTCGATTTCCCCTGCCAATCTTCATTCCACCAATTGCTCCACAATCACCCTCAACTATCATATGGGGCTGGTACAATAGGCCAGAAGTGGCCGCAGTACAAGGGACTTAGTCCCACCCCACCAACAATAAAAAGAAAAGCTCTAACCTTGTCCCTTGCTTATAACATCTTGGCACAGATCATGTAGATACACCCCACTGCCTAACAGTGGCTCTGCACACTACAATATAACATCATTACAACATCATACAATAATAAAACAGACCAGTCATATTTCAGAATAATCTATCACATCTGATTTTCAGCTGAAGTGTGTGATATAAACGGATCTGATAGGTTATGAACTTTGAGTAGGATTAAGAAAGCTCATCACATCTCTTGACAACTTCCATGAAATGAAAATGACATTTTAATATAAAAATATATACTGGTTTGGAAATTTATTCAACTTTATCGTCTGTTAATGTTGTGCCAAACTTAAGAACACACTGATTAAGCTTGCATGGGTTTCATATATTAAAGCTGATGCTAAAAATATCTAGAAAGTAAGTGACGCTGTGTATATTGCAGTACTTTCCTTGTGATGGTATGCAGTAGTACACAATTCCAGCATCATCTTATTTTTCCAGCTTAAAAATATCATTAAAAATAAATAAATGAACATTCTTGGAAACTTATAACATGTTAATATGTAGAATGTTTTTAGCATTGAATATAGAGTGTGTCCCAGGAGAAAAGGTCAATATTATCAGTCATTCTACGCCAAAATAAAAAAGTGTGCATGTACATGTATCCTATTCCGAACAGTTTCTGAGATAGAGCTATTTCACTGTACAGGAACATCAGTATGCACTCAGACAAGCAACACACCTTGTCCTCACATGACCTGCAAAGTGCATTGATCTATATGTAATAATACAAATGCAGCCGTGAATGCAACAATTTATTTGGTTGCAGATCTTTGTCTTTTCTTCCTCTACACTACATGTTTCGGAAGTAATTGACCATCATCAGGTGTATTTTTCACTATGTAGCTGTCACACTGCACACAGTCCAATATCTAAAATATCAGATTTTAAAACAAAACTGACAGGATGATGTTTTAGATTTTGGACTGTGTGCAGTGTGACAGCTACGTAGTGAAAAATACACCTGATGATGGCCAATTATGGCCGAAACATGTCATGTAGAGGAAGAAAAGACAAAGATCTGCAACCAAATAAATTGTTGCATTCACGATGGCATTTGTATTATTACATATAGAAGTGTACAGTGCAACAGGATGCTTAAATATAATATTGCATTGATGTTGACAGTGGAATTTTTGAAACTGTACCAGATTTGTCACTTGAACAATAAATACTGATATTAGAAACAGTACGTAATATATCTTTCTTGTCACCAGTTTTGGAACTGTATAGTTAAATAACTCTGGGTCAGAAAGCGTTCAGAATAGGACAAATATATATACACTTTTTCACTTAGAATGACCGATACTGTGACCTCCCAGAATATTAACATTTCCTTCCTGGGACATTCAGTATAATGCAGTGCAGATCATACGATCTCCTTTTTGGTCATTTGATTCAAAAGTTGAAAAGGACACGTGTGCATGTGAGTACTAGCTCCTTTTCCCAGAAGGAAAGCACTGGTAAAACTTTATTCCTTTAGAGGTCTTATGCATGAAAGTAGAAGTACTTTTATTGTAAAGAATTGGTAATCCTTTGTACTTGTACATAGTCTACAGTTTTAGACATTTTTAACATTTGTGTGATTGTTTTAGCAAAACCTGACTAAGAGATTTTATTTGTAAAAAGGGAATAGTACTTGAGATAATATAGTTTGATTTGAATGCTGTTTTGTAAGTACTTAGTGTGAAGTAATTGTATAGCAGTTTGGTTATATATGTGCTTTATGGGACTACTTCAATTAACTTAATAAGTGAAAGTAGATGTAACATTTTTGGTTTATGTGTCACTGATTGATTTATTTATTTATTAATACCGTATAAGAAATAGACTTTAAAGGATTCTGACGATGGTGTATGCTGTACAGAACTATAAGGTTTATTTTGGACTCTATCCATCGTGTGGTATATATAAGACAAAAAACCACGATGTTTCGGAGACAGATCCAGTCTCCGAAACATTGTGGTTTCTTGTCTTATATATACCACACGATGGATAGAGTCCAAAATAAACCTTATAGTTCTGTACTGTATAATAAGTTAAAACGTCATTGTCACTTTCAGTAATAATGAATATGGAAGCAGTAATTGATTGGAATCAAAGAACTAAGTCTGTCATATGGTAGAGAAGTTTTATAGGAACATAAACACTTGATTTTACGATTGCAGATCTGTTAGTTTGTGTTTGCTGATACAATTTGCAAACCAGTGATGCCTACTATATATAGGTATAGAATGGGAAAGATAACTACAAATTCAACATGCTCAAATTGGGTGCTCTTTTAAGACTAATGTTGCAGCACTGAACATGGTAGATAAAACTATCACTATATAAAATATCCATTCTTTCTTTAAGTTTGAATTGTCCTTTTTGATATTTACTAATCAAGAATCTACTGCATGCAAGAATGAACTGTTTTCTGTATAGTGCAGTACCAGAAAGTGGATAAAACTGACATTTTGTGCAGTCTTCAAATTTGTATAGTAGACAGACAGTTGCTTTCAGAGCTTTGTATCAAAGTGAATCATACTAAACTTTAAATGCAGAAGTGTAGGCTTTTAAAAATATGAAGTCACTTTATTAGTCGAGTAAAATTCAATGCAATCGAATGGATTAGCTGACCCTGTAAGCTATATACAATCACATAGAGAACATTTACTTTGCTGGTTCACTTGCCAGTGTGGAGTACGTTCATTTTCCTCACATAAGGGTTTCCCTGTACTTCAGTATGTGTATGTAGGAAAGTTGCATGGACTCCAACCCATCAGTCAGCATCCCAAAGAACTCCATACTGACAAAGCAATATACAGTTACAGCCCATCGTGAGTCTGTGTCTTTGTATCACAGTATATTCCTACGGTTTCCATAATCTGCGGATACGTGACCGTGTGGAAATTAATATTGTTGTAGTAGTGGAGAAGTATCATTGAATTTGCATGCTGTGTAAGTTTGCTTGTACCCTACAGGTTTGTGTTTGGATTTTAATAGCACTAAACCAAAGAAAATATTATAAAACCGTGTTCCAAAAAAGTATAGCATTCCCTTTCTTTTTCTTTTCTCCCCCTTATAAATGTCTCCTTAAAATTTTACTTATACTCTTGTAAGCATTTTTCTTCAGGAAATTGTTTATGCTGTAGGATTTCTGTATTCACATTGTACTGTAGGACCGGAATATACTGTTTTGGATGTGTTGTGTATCATGTATTGGCACTAGTGATTCAGTTCTTATTTAATTAAATCAATTGATTTATAATCTGTCACATTATTTGTCAGTTTTCTGGTGCAGTGAGATATCACTAATGGAAATACAGATTAATAATATTGGATGATGATAATTAACTTTAACAGTGTAACAATTTTGTGAGTGCAAGAGACAAGTTGTAATTCTATATTGTAGGCCAATAAAGAGAACATGTGACTGACATAATCATAAGATTGTAGATGTGTATCAGTCTGACTCACTAAACATTTGTTACGAAAAAAAAAAAAAAAAGCTACAGAACAAGATCAAACACTTTTATTCTGCTAAAAATATTTCTCTTCATATTTCCACCACCAAGTTATCTTACTTTCAAGTTTGCATATCAGAGTAGTTTATTTCAGAATCTGTCTCACTCAGACCATTTGCTTTTCAGATTTGTGCCACCAAAGTTCCACATGCACACATGAACATTTGATTCACCAAAGGAGGCCAGGCCAACTAGCCTGCCCTGCAAATTCTGTGCTCAAGTTGGCTTAGTCTCTTCCTCTGGTTTTGTGTAAAAGTAGTGGAGATATTACTTCTACTGGTGGAGAAAGTGGATATGTTAAGGTTTATGGACAAACTGAACATACTCCTAATATTAGTAACAGCAACAGTGAAGAGAGTAAGTGATTTGACAGGCATGAGTTTACACAGTTAAGTTCCAGGACTACATAAACTTTAAGGAAATCACATTTAAAATCAAATATATCTTTTAATATTCTTCTCAATAATAATCTGGAGATATTGCACACTTTTGTGCCCACTCATAAAATTGTTGGAAGTACATTTTTAACTCATTTGCATGTAATACTAACAAGTTCTCTGTTACATATCTTTTAATGTCCTCCATGCCTTCAAACATCCTCTCAGCATAGGCATAAATCAGGAGAATATTGGGGGGAGATACTCTGGAATCCCTTGTTTTGCCAAAAGCTGCTTTGCTGATACTGCAATGTGAGGTCTCACATTGACATGCAAGGGGAACCAGCTGCCTCTTTCCTGAAACTGACATCTTTTGAAGAATTCTCCGAAGATAGTACATCCACATAATATTCCTTATTCACTGCCTAAGCTGGTGGAACAGAGTCTTTGTGAATGATTTACTGACTGTCGAAGAATGTGACCATTATCACTTTGTTTTTTGACTTATGAAATTAAATGTTTTTGTGTCTTGGAGACCTTGGCAAGCACCATTCCATGCTTTGTCTGGGGATCATACTGGAAACACCACCCCTCGTCATACGTTACAATTGAGTCAAACAACTGTCATCAACATACTGCATAAACTCTCGACAAGCTTGCAGTCTTGGAGCCTTCTGATCATTGGTCAAACAGCGTGGAACAAACCTAGCGAATATCTTCCGTTTTCCGAGATTTTGCGAATTGCTTCTCTGCTAATTTTGAGTTCCTATTCGATCATCCGAAGAGACATTTGACGATCAGTTGAAATCAATTCCCGAACTGTTCCGATCACGTCCACTGTGTTCATTATCCCCGTGATTTTCAAGGCCATCCCGAAATCTTGCATACCATTAAAAAAAAACATGTATAATTGAGAGCACTGTCACCATTGTTAGCTGGAAAGCTTCAGTGGCTGTTTTACCTGTCTTGAAACAAAACTTAGTGTACAGGGAACACAAGGGAAGAGTCATCTTATACGGACAAGATGAACATATTCCTGCAGTTATATACTCGTGTGACAGTACTTTAACAAAAAGCTCGAAATCCAAAACATAGTCTGCACCTGCCGATGTGCAACTTCTAACATACCTGCCAGCATGTATGTCGGCAGAGAAAAAACGTATTGTGTAATGGCAGTGAATAACGAAGCCGTGACATTCTGTTTAGTCGTTCAGCATGTAGTTTCAACTTATGGCCCATGTAAATACACATTAACTAAGATAGCGGCTGTGAAAATCTCTGGCCACCTCATCGTTGTCAAAAGATAAGCGATCCTGTGTGGTGATGATAATTCAATTCAATTCATGTTTATTTACATGCAATAACTTATCAGCACAGTGGCCAATTACAAAGTTAGCACAAGTATATAAGGTACAGAAAAATAATTAAAACAAAATACAAATATGACAGAAATAAATTTGTGAGCATAAATCTAAAGAAGACTTAAATATATACATACATTTATGAATTATTACGAGTGTTGCTAATACTATTAGTAACTAAATACTAAGATAAGACAACTGGGAGTGATATCATAAAATTAATAACAAGTCAATAAATTAAAACCAATTACATGAGAAACTTAAAGTTAACCGAGGTATACACATTTGTAGTTAATGAAAACACTAATCCAATAACACTGTAAAAGGTTTGGTACATGCTTGTAAAATGTGATTCAGAGAAACTGCTCCGTCTGCAAATATGTCAAGATCTTTACCCACCACGATGGTAGCAAGGGTGCACCGAGAAGATATGGCTGAAAAGGCAGTAGACAAGAAGTGAACAGTATATACTGCTTCTAGGACTTCTAAGAGATACTGGGGATTATTCTTTTGCAGAGGGTGAAGCCATACGAATCTTTCGCCACTTTCGCCCATGCTCTACCCCCACCCTTACCATTCACAAGCTTCCAACAGGTTAGGTTATGTGACTCTTGCAAAAGTCTTCTCATGCTTCAAAGTCAAAGTCATGTTGCAACTGATAGTCAGTCGGTCAGTCTGTCTGTCTTGGTGTCAAGCCCCAGCTGGGGCTCATGACCAGATATTTCTTTTGAATGAAAGTTACTGTCTTGTCTATGTGGAGCGCCCTCTCTGACGAGAGGTCGGGTCTGTCATTTGTCAGTCAGTCTGTATTAATATGTCCACTGTCTGTATTTACATAAATTTACAATACACACTTATTTCTTACTTTTATGTACAATATATACAAGGCCTCTGTCAGTCCAGGCTCAGTACAGCAGATTACGCCCTATTTCCAGTATTATTCGTTACCACGGCAGTCTAGTCACTTGAACGGTCGTATGCCTGGCCGCCACCAAGTTTAAGCCTCTTATACTTTCTGTGGCGGGCTTCGCCTTGTCTGATGTTGCAAACATTCTCATTCTCATGATTTTGTATGACTTCTGCTTGTTGCCTGCATAATTTTGTTATATAATCATATACGTACGGGATTTTGAATGCCATGTGCAAATCGTGGACCGGTGTGCACCTCGGAAAATTGCCAATGGTGCGGAAAACCTTGTTTTGCAGGTGCTGCAATTTCACTAGATGGGTGTCTGCCGCAAACTCCCAGACGGGACTAGCATAAGTCATTACGGATCTAATAAGAGCTTTGTGGAAGGTCAGTTTAATGTTAGCACTCAATCACTCACTTTTGAGTAGGGAATATACTCTAATGAATGTTCTGAAGGCCTTGGCTTCGATCATTTCTATGTGTAATCTCAAAGTCACTCTCTTATCGAAGATTACACCTAGATATTTTGCACTATTTACAAATGGAATATTTCGTCCATTTAGAGTAAGACAAGACTCAGGCGGTCGCCAACCATGAGAGAAGTAGACCCCCCAAGTCTTATCTTCATTAATTTCTATATTCCAGCGCTCACACCAGGTCTCCATTGAGCTGAGACCGCGCTGGAGTTTTCTAACAATAAAACCCTCCTTGCGATCTGTCACATGTAGACAGGTGTCANATCTGTCATCTGTACAGAAAGGAGTACTCTTTTCTGGAAGTAAGATTTATAATCACTTACCACTAAATATTAAAATGCTATCTAAAGATATTAAGCATTTCAAATCGTCATTAAAAACCTACCTTACAGAACATGCATGCTATAGTATTGATGAATATTACCAATTAACTTCCTAATGAATATGGTTCTTTTTATATTTCTTGCCCTTTGTACATTTAGATTAGTTGTAGGAGGTCTTCCCACTGTAAGTTCAATTCATTCATGTTTCATTGTCTTCATTATTATATGGTGTATTTGTTCAAACTGTGTTTTTGTGACACTGTTGTGCAATACTGTGTTTTGCTTTGTGTCTTTGATCAAAATGTGTTTTTGTGACACTGCTGTTATGCAATACTGTGTTTTTACTTTATGTCCTTATTGTGGTCTTTATGAATGTACGTATATATCATTATTTTATGTTTATATTATATTTGTATCTTGACAGGTTCTATATCCCATAGGTTGGTTTGACCTTGTATGGATTAACAGAATGCAAATAAATGAATGAATGAATGAATGAAAAGTGATTGAATAAATGGGTTAGATTAACCAATGGTCGCCTTGGAAGGTGCCTGAGGCATTCATTTGGGATGCTGTCAATTCCGCAGGCCCTTTTTTAATTTAAGAGATTTTATTAATTTCTGTACGTCACATGGTCTGATCTTTTGAGTGGGTGTGTCATCTACAGTTTCCAGCAGAGCTTGAACTCTAGCCTCCACCCGCCGTTAATGGTTATTGTCGTTGCACAGATCATGTGGCAAGAACTGAATTTCCAAACAGTTGGCAATTGCATTGGCTTTTACAGAAGGGTGAAATTTAAGGCCAGAAGAACCATGAATAGCAGTTGGCGCCCTTGGTCCATTTCTTTTAAGAAGAGATTTCGCAATGGGCCATATACCCTGAGGTGTGACTTCAGCGTTATTTAGTTTTGTTTCCCACCATTCAAGTGCCTTTTTTTGGGTCATTCGCCTGATCGATTTGGTGATCCAATTGACTGCCGTTTTACATGCTGGATTCCTGGTTTCTTGTCACAGTTTTCATAGCCTCTGCTTATGTTTTATCAAACGATCTAGACCAGGTAGATCGTTGTTTACATCCGAAATTGTAACTTTACTTGTTGACAACCTATATGCCGAAGCAATAGAGGCTGCAAGGTCGCGTGCCACTTTATCGGCTTCTACCCCGACTTAATTTCTAGTTTAGGTGACATTAATTCATAGATGAGGCTTTGAAACCGCTCCCAATCTGTAAATTTCTCAATAGGTTCTGATAAATTCCTAATCTTAACATGATCCAGTATGTGAAATACTATTGGTAGGTGATCTGAATCCAAAATATCAGAGACGATGACATCCGACACTCTGATATTTTTGTGAACCACAATGTCCAGCACATCACCATTTCCCACAGGAGAATGAGTGGGGCACTGTGGTGCTGAAATTTCAAATTCATTCATATCAAATAAATTCATTACTTTCAAGCCCGAGGGGTTTGAAACTCTGTGTAAGCCTGTTTTGCGCTTTGTAGGCCTCTACCCTGATGGCAATGTGGCAGAGGTTGGTTAACCGGAAGAGCTCTTGGGACTTTTCGGTTCTTGGTAGGGTCACTAGGAACAGGGTAAGATGGATGGTCCTTGCTCCTTCCGGTGGTGTCCTACGACTAGTTGTCATTTGCTTGACGTTAATAACGTCAAAACCCAGACTCACCAGACCATCAGAGATATCCTCCACTGGAGTATTTTGCGGGAGGTGTCGGATGAAAGCTTTAATGGTTTTTTCGGATTTTGGGTAGAAGGAGAAGTAGGCAAGATTGTTACCCTCCAGAAATTTCTCAATGGCTGAAAAGTCCGCCATTTCTTTTGTGACAATTCTGGTCCCCCTTCTGGTGTTGCGGAACTCAAAACTGCCATTAACAATACCTTTGATATTCCTCTGCAACTGTATCAGGTTAGTTGCAGAGGTTAGGACAATGGGAGGAGGCCTACCTGACTTGCTGCAAGATGACTGCTGCTCTTCCTTCTCGGTTGTCTCCTCCGCGACGTCCATTTCCGTTGTCCTGAGGGTCGCAAAAAAGTTCCTTGTTGGTACTTCAACCTGGGATTTTATCCTGGGGTCCCTCGGGTTGGGTGACGGCTTTGGCTTTTTATTCTGCTCCTCTGAGGGGTTTCGTTTGCGCCTTCTTTGCTCGCGAAACTCCTCGGTAGATTCCTCTTTTTGCTCCAGGAGTAACTCTCGCATCTCTCTGTGGATGCATGCATACAGGCGCAGCATGGCTGTGAAGAGGGCCTTACTCGTACCATCGAGGTGCTTACAGAGCACTATCCTTTCAGCCTCGGATTTCGCTATGAGCCGATTCCATACTCCGCCGTTTCCATTTATGGAGGGCGATGTGTGGATAAGCTGCTCTATTGTTTGTAGGCCTTTCCCCAGTAATTCTACCTCTTCCTGGCAGTCAGGGTTGTTAGTTTTCAGGTTTTCGTGGTTCCTCTCAAAGGAATCCACGTTCGCTTTCCACCGCGTTTCGGCCAAGGTCGGATCCGTCATTTCGCCTGCAGGCGGGACGGCCCCTATCCCCGATGCATCACCCTCACCACCTCACCACTCACCGTATAAACACACACACACTCCAACTCTATGATCACTCTAGATCCTCTAGATAGCTCAAAACTCCTTCGGTAAGAGAGTGATCAATTTCACGGCGCCTGAATCCAAGACTACGGACCAAATCTCAGTCTCTCTCCGAATAACCTAAGAACTTGATGAATCAACGTAACTCCTCAATCTCTCCTCCCCAAAGTATCCTCAATAACCAACTCAATCAATCAACTCCTTCCTTTCCCAAGTGACTTCTGAGTCCGCCAACTCAAGCCGACTCACTCACTCTCGTCAAACTCTTCCCATGCTTCTCGTAACTGCTGGCTTTTATGCTTTATAAGTGTTACGGACCTTACGGTACGGAACTTACCGGCTTTCTAGCACTCAACCTCTCAAACTCAAAGCACTACATTTGCGCGCCACGTACCCCCCCCCCCCTCCAATCTTTGTGTTACCAACTATACTGTGATCCATGGTACAATTTATCGCGTTATAATTTTGTGTGTGTCAGTGGGAATTTTAGTTTAATAACCTAACCTAAAAGTGAAATTATTCATGTTGCGTACGACAATGTGGTGTGGATTCGCTGCCGACTTACATTGATATTCCTTTAGAACTTGGAATAGAGGTCTGTACACAAATTTTCAAAGCTGGGCATAGACAACAAGCATGCCGGTAATATGCTTTGTGGCCGGCATCAGAATTTTGCCATCGTTCGGTGTGCTGTTTTCTTGTCCACAAATACCATAGAATGGTTCACCATCAGATATTTGAAGCTCACATTATGTAAATGACCATAACATTGGTAGATTATATGCATTCTCTGGAGCCACATTACTTCACATGTGCAACAATCCAATGCATAAACAATAGGGGTGATGCCGAATATTTTATAAAAGAGAAATTCCCTATAAGTATGCCACAATAAGTATTACAGTTTCATACATAATAAATAACAATCAGATAATTATCTAAGATTCTGAGAATTTGTTAGAAAGAAGGTGTGTCAATAAAGGAATTATTTTAATACCAGTGGTATGCTCTTAGTGGTTAGCTTTCCATCAGATAGTATGTACATATGTGTCCAATTTGACCGTGTCCTTCGTAGAATGTGTAGAAAGAAGTGTGTCAGACATTTAAGCTTCAGCTAGTTTGAGAATGCATGCCCATTTGGTCATTCTCTCACAACACTTATTTCTGTGATGTATTGCACCTTGGATAACATTCAACTCTTAAATATGTGACCTTGGTATCAAGTTTGAGTGGTTTCTGCAGAATTAAAGTGTTACCTCAGTAAAAGTTATATCAGTGAACTGTAACGTGGTCAGTACAAAGTTCCTTCATTGCTATTTTATGGGGATACTCATTGACCCATGTGAGTATGGATTTATCTTTGAGAGTGAGTTTTAACAGTTCAGATTGTGTGCTTCATAATTCATAATTTATTTACATCCATAAACCCTTGCACAAGTACAACTGGACAAGTCAGTTTAAGCCATCTAAAACACTGCAAGTGAACAACTCTTAAAAATGTACAAAATGATACACAAGACTACGAACAATACAGTCATCTTAGGATCATTGTCCCCCTGCTGAAGCTAGCAACCAAGTATGACATCCCCCAGCAATCAAATGTAAAGCAACACATACACTTACACCATCTATATACAATCACACCACATCAGAACCAACTTGATCTATCAAACGACCATCCGTCATTGTTATTAAAAAAAAACTCCTACAGAGAATAAAAAACAGTTTTGTAATAAATAACTTTTTAATTTATTTTTAAAAACTTTAAAATTTTATATTCTTTTTAATTCAGGGGGCAAGCTGTTATGTATTTTAATTCCCATGCTTTTTTATGTTGTGAGTACTTTCCACAGTATCACTCTGGCAGATTTATTGGGAAGTCATTCCTGTCATGACATACCCCAATTAGCATGTTATCTTGACATGTAGAACACTTGTAACAACTTCCCATAAGCTTTTGATACTTAATGTACTTAATGACATGTCACCACTACAGGAACCTCTATTCCAGCAGTCTTCTAGTTAAGAATACATGAACATGTGCAATGTGCATCTTCCTCAACTTAAGGTAAAAACACAGGGCTGTTCTTCATGATTGTTTATAAACAAATATTATGGTTAAATTATAGTGCCTGCACAGAGTTCACATGCCGTGCTGATTTTCCTGTGTCTTCCATACAAATGTCAGGGTAATATCTTAAATAATCCATGACTATTTGCTTGTGTGTTCCTTGTCATTTGTGTGTCATTTTCACTGAACCATTGTACTGTATCTCATTTGAACCTACATAACTTCAGCAGTTGATGCATTGTGAAGTATCCATTAACAGAACTATTCTATTACTATTAGTCTAATTTTTGTTCATTCTTGTTATTTTCTCCTATCTTTGTTTTATATGCAGATCAGATTTGCATTTAAGCTTGTGTATAAGTCTGCCATAATTTAATTTTTGCTACAGTTCCAAACAGTGTAACAGTCATTGTACAGTGTGCCATGAATATGGATCCATTATCACATCACACTAACCATCAGTTTTTAATTTCGCAACTGGCAAGCAAGTGCTGCATGTCTTTTTTCTGAGGGGAATGACATGTCTTATGGTAATTAAATTTTAAATTAAATTCGCTTAGTGAGGGGTGGAGTCCAGTTGGGTCCGCTTGGTCACGTTGGCCACTGATTGATCTATTGTACCTGCCCTGGGTGATTATGATGATGGAGAATTTGGTGGAATGAAGATTGGCAGTGGAAACTGATGCACTCTGAGAAAACTGGCCACAGTGCCACTTTGTCCACCACAGATCCCACTTGACCAGACCCAGCGTTGATCCTGGATCACCGCATTGGGAAGCTAGTGACTAACTGCTTGAGCTATGGCATGGTCATGTGCCTTATGGTATATTTTAAGTGGTGAAATAACAGGCCACATTATTTTGAGCTCGTATTGCATATGAATCATCCTTCACACAACACAGATAGAAGACATAGAATGCATGCAGTTTGATACAGTTTAGAAATTGTGCTGTTATTACTTATGCTGTATATTTGAAGAGTATGAGGTTTTAATTCCCCAATGCTTATCAGAAGTGAGGTATGGGGAAAGCACGTGGAAAAATCTGTAAGGGAACCCTTAAATTTCAGAGTTGGAATCCACTGCTGTAACAGTAGACCACCAGCTCCTATTCAGTTTCAGGATATGAAAATATTTTATTTTTTCTTTGTTTCAGCAACATGAGAATACCAAATCAGCGTCACCATCTCATCAAGCTCTGTTTCTGCCTTAGATTCATTAGGCAGGATCATAGTGCTGGTCCATTATCAGCAAAAGCTATAAGGCAGTCTTTTATAGATTATTTTGTGCAAGATCATCGCCACACATTCTTGAGATCAAGTCCTGTTGTCCCCATCTGTGATCCTACTGTAGCTTTTGTTAATGCTGGAATGAATCAGGTAATTTAAATTGTAGCACTTAGATTCATCATAATGATCAGCAGTAGCTGCAGCTGCATCTTCAGGGTTCACCAAATCCCAGATGTAGGTCATCATGGTATATAAATTTTTCTTGTGATACTTAGTAGTTTCTGGAATGGTCTAAAGTTTTTCTTAAAATTCACATCTTATGGTTCAAATTTTGTGATGCATATTACAGCCTCCAATGATGGTGAATCCAGAAACTGCATCAGTACTCAGTAGAAAATTATGGGATTGTGATTGGTATAAAGAGTGACTTGAAAGGAACAGTCAGTTTGCAGACTTCCTTCATGACAGGTTATTCTAAACACCTTGCTGTAAATAATCTCTGAACATTTTATACATATGCATGAGTTTTTTTAGTGAAGCCAAAGTGAAGTCAAATTTTAACTTGTGTTGCAGTATGATAGACAGCACTGCACTTGCAGAGGTAACTGTTAAAATGTAACTTACCTTTGTCATAATAAGAAGCTAGTATGAAAAATGTATATTTTATGAGCACTAAATGTGTTGTTTATATTTATATTTAACAATGCCAACCGTAGCTGAGACTTTATAGCATGAAATGATCAGATGGTAGAGAATAATGAATTGAAAAGGATGTTGACGGAAGTGATCACGGTCTAATTTAAGTTACTATCCTGGAATTTCCCTGGAGAGACTGAGTAAAACCATGAAACGTCCTCAGGATAATTGGTGTTGTGCCTGAAACTTGAACTGCACACTTCCCAAATGCAAGTCAGAAGTGTTACTGCTTGGGCCAACTTGTTCTTTGTAAGCACTAACTGATTTTTTTTTTCTGTTTGGCATCCAGATGTCTAACATACTCATATTAAATTGACCTCATCTGGGAAAAGGGAATTTAAATCTCTCACTACTGTGGTGGTGGCAGCTGGGTTTTAACTGGGGGTTAATGGTATTTATATTGTTAACAGTGTGATGAGAGGCCTTCTGAACCATTGCATGCAACATCACAGTAGTGCAGGTCACCATGAGTGGTAAAGCTTAATCCCAAAATTTCATTTTTTGCTTACTGAACTCCCAGAGCTGTAGCTGTTAACCATAGCCCAAATTACAACAAATACAAACAACTGGTCACTATACTGTAAAGATGTATGTGATCTTTATTCTCTATTTGCAGTTCAAAAGTGTGTTTCTTGGAACTATTCGAGCACCATGTCTTCGTGCTGCCAACAGCCAGAAGTGTATAAGAGTTGGAGGAAAGCATAATGACTTGGACGTAGTTGGTACTGATGGCTATCATCATACTTTTTTTGAAATGCTTGGAAGTTGGTCATTTGGAGATTACTTTAAGGTAGGTGCATAAAGAGAAGGCAGAGCACTCTGATTTGATATCTGTCACTGAAATCATTGTCCAGCAAGCACAAGCTTGTTCTTTGTTTCACCTATCCCTGCTGCAGGTTTTGGTTTAATTAAATTATCCTCAGGTAGTTGGTAATACTGTGACATGACACCTGAAAGCCAGTACAACAGAGCCAGAGCGGAAGTCTATTGCTAGCCAATGGCTCCCCAAACACATGTTCCCACAACAATGAACAGAGTGGAAGTCCATTGCTAGCCTACAGCTCACCAAACACACATTCCCGCAGCATCGAACAGGTCCATTGTAAGATTTGAGGTTTTCATGGTGGTGACTATGAAGAATGCCATCTTTTGGGATGTGGCGATGTGAAGATCTTGTGTAAACTGACGTTTAGGAGGAACGTATCACTTCCATCTTCGGGGCAAAAAAATCCATGAGCGAGAAACAAGTATGAGCAGATGGCTGCAGACTAAGTCCACTGGTTCCTCTCGCGGATTTTTCTACCCTGAAGATGGAGATGATACGTTCCTCCGAAACATCAGTTTACACAAGATCTACATGGTGCCACATCCCAGGAGATGGCATTCTTCAACAAGTCCACTGCTAGCTGACGGTTCGGTAAGCACATTTCCATTACAACAGACATTTTCCACGGTTACCGATAGTATATATAATGAGTCATGCAGAGAACAATGAGTCAGTCATAATTCAGTTGTAAAGGAGCCATCATTCAGGATTAATTGATTCACAAAAGGAATGGAGCGAGCAAATCTATCTTTTTTTAATTACATATTTTAGTTCTGAAAGTCTGCAATTGCATAATTTTATACATTTTGTATTTGTTACACAGTGGCATTGTTATATTTGTGTTACTTTCTGATAGCATTGCAATAATTTTGTTCGTCTCCGGTATGCAGGAAGAGGCATGCAAACAGGCCTGGGATCTGTTGACAGGAAAGTATGGCTTGAACCCTTCCAGGCTGTATGTTACATATTTTGGAGGTGACTGTGTTTTGGGTTTGGAACCAGACTTGGAGACTAGGGACATCTGGAGACACATTGGGTAATTATTTTATTTTGTGCCATCACACAGTTCAGTAGTACAAATTACTTGCAGACCAGGGGCGTAGGGTACATGGATGTGGTGGAAGCATTGCTTCCCTATAGAAAAGCAACCAAGAACATTTCTGGCAATTTTTCAATTTCGAAAAAATATTTCATACTTCAAAATAATAATTAATCTGAGAACATATATTACATATAATGAGAATATTGCAAGTTTTAATGTGTTACATAAACAATTTATCAGGATAGATCAGTTATTTTCTTCAAAAATGCGGGGAACTTCAAACTGCAACACGCGCGGAAGCAGCAGGTCTTTCACTTCCACCCTCCCCTGGGTTAACTGGCTGACCAATATCAATGTTGTCTGTAAGTGAGCTATCCGTTATGGTATGCTACTAGCTTCGTGCTTCCAGCAGTGTTGCCAGATGTAAGGCATTGCAGTTCGCAGTAGAATAGTCTGTGACCTGGCAGTTAAGCGTGTGTATTAGTTTTCAGAAGGTGTTAGCGTCTCATTTATGCACAAGTCAGTTTAGTTATTATTCTGTATTTTTCTCGATACAGAATTTGTTTTGCTTTGCGTAATTATAACTTTATGACCAGTGTTTTTGTGATTGCTGTTAAGTTAAAAATAGAAACATGACACTTTCATGTGATAACCACTGTGTGATTGAAAAACTTCTTCAAACACCGTTCAGTTCACTCAGTTATAATGAGAAACTTAAGATAATAGAAGAAGGTGCACCTAAGCCTAATCTAACTTTACATACAAAAGTGAAATCTTGCACACGGCATTTCAATACCAGTTTATATGAGGCTATTCCATGGTTGTGTGGGAGTGATAAACTAAACAAATTATTCTGTTGGCCTTGACTCTTGTTTTCTAAAGAAAAACACGTGTTTAACAATGCTGGTTACAGTGACATTATCAACATTTACTAATCTGGCAAAAGACATGGGCATTCAGTTAATCACATTGCTTGCCTTAAAGAAATTACACTGTTTGGTAAAAACAGAAGGATTGAATTTTCTCTAAGCAGCCAATACAAACAGTCAACTGAAAAACACAATGAAGCTGTGAAACAGAACAGGAAATTTGTAGGCCAATTAATTACAGCAGTTTGTTTTCTGGGCTCTCAGGGTTTAGCATTTCGGGGACATGATGAAAGCGTGGCATCTGTTAATAGAGGAAATTACATTGAGGTTTTAAATATGCTGGCACGTTATGATTCTGATTTACACAATCATTTAGAGTCTTCAACTGCTTTCCGTGGTTCTTCTCCTGACATCCAAAATGAACTGATACATTCTGTATCTGAATTGATGACAATGGAAATTAAAAAGGAAATTTCAAAGGCTAATTATGTTTCTTTAATTCTTGATGAGACTTCAGATGTGATGAATAAGTGTCAGTTGGCTTCAGTTCTTCGATATGTGACAGCTGATGGCAATGTTGAAGAAAGGTTTCTGCGTTTTACAGACGTGAGCTCTGACCGTTCTGCCAATTCCTTGTTTAACCATGCTCTTGAGATTTTAAATGATTTTGAATGTGGTCCCAAACTCATTGCACAGACTTATGATGGTGCTGCTGTTATGGCATCACAACATGCAGGAGTACAAGCAAAAATTCGCGAGCAGTACCCAAACGCCATTTTTGTTCATTGTTATGCGCATAGACTAAATTTAGTCTTAGCACAATCTGCTAGTTTTATTAAGGAAGTTAAGGTCTTCTTTGCTACTCTCTCTGGCTTTAGAACTTTTTTTGCCAAGTCCACAAAAAGGACTGAAGCATTGGATTCCCACCTTAGGAAAAGATTTCCTTCTATCGCACCTACTCGATGGCAGTACCATAGCCGACTTGCTGAAACTGTGCATGAATACAGAGAAGGAATTGAGAATCTTCTTGTGTCTATAATAGAGGAACCAGAAGAATGGGATGTAGAAACAATTTCTTCTGCACGCGGACTTCTCTCTCTTCTAAGGGATTTCGATTTCAATTTCATGCTGAAAATATTTTCTTCAATTTTTCCATATTCTGGCGCTCTTTTCAAAATCCTACAAACTAAGAGATCTGATATAGCTTTTTGCAATACCAAAATAGACGAATTTAAGCATCACATGCAAAGATTAAGGGGAGGATTTGACCACCTTTGGAGTGAAATGGAAAATGTCTTCGATTCAAATGGCCCAACTCGACCCAAAAGAATTCGCATTGACTCAATGAGTGGAGAAGAAAGAAAAAACTCCTATAAACGGCTGTTCTGTGAAATTATTGATGTCGTGTGTCAGAATGTCTCTGTTAGATTTTCGGAGAACGCTACGCTCCTCTTCTTGAGTCTTCTTGATGCCAGATACTTTCCCATGTATAGAACCTCATTTCCTGAAAAAGCATTTTCCTGTTTAAAAGAAAATTATGGTGCATTTTTTGACTTTGTTGCCTTAAAGAGTGAACTTTTAGTAATGTTTTCGGACCCAGATATGGCAAAAGATAGTGTGTATGACTTACATCAATATATGTATGCTCTTCAGTTATCATGCGTTTTCCCGCAAATCTTCAAATTATGTGAGCTAGTATTAACAATACCAGCGACAAGTGCTGCAGATGAACGCTCATTTTCAGCTCTGAAGAGATTAAAAAACTACTTAAGAAATTCGCAGAACCAGGATAGGTTGTCATCACTGGCTTTGATGAACATTGAAAAGTCCTTCCTAAACAAACTGCAGTCCAAACCCAGCTTTCTAGATGAGGTTATTGATCTGTTTGCCAAGAAAAACAGAAGAATCGAGCTGAATTATAAACAATAAAGTAAGCATTAATTATATGCCAGGTTCACAACCCTGTCATTTGATGGCTATAAAATTGTGTTGATAATTATGTGTTATTTTAATATATTAGCTTAAATATACAATACATATTAAACTATTAGCTGTTTTCTTTTAAATAGAAGATAGAAACTATAGGGTATGTAGAAAAAATTTATATACACATATATAAAGTTGCTTCCCTGCTTTCGGTAGTGATGCTACGCCACTGTTGCAGACCTATAGTAATGACATTGGACCTTTCAGTTCTGCTGTCAAAGTTAAAGATGAAAGGTACATACCTGTGGAAGTATGACCTCTTTTGGATAGTAATTTGTTGAATTTCATTCTGCAGTGTTTCACAAGATCGCATTCTGGCATTTGGTTCAAATGACAACTTCTGGGAAATGGGAGTTACTGGACCTTGTGGTCCATGTACTGAGATCCATGTAGATCATATTCCTGGCCGTCAGTTCGCTGCAGATAGAGTCAACAGAGGTCACAGTGACCTTACAGAGATATGGAATCTAGTCTTTATACAGTATAACAGGTAAGTTTAATTTGACATGTAAGAAAGTTGTTCATTTCTGGTAGACACTCCAGTGGTGACTCCATCGACTTTCTTATATTCCCTGGTGACATAAAAGTATCCATTTCTAACAGAGTGCTCACAGAGCAAGTTTCATTACCTTGTTTGATAAAATGACAATTAAAATGGTTGTTCATGGAGTGGCCTTACAGCTTGATACTATTCTTGAATCAGGTCAGGGGCTTTGTATCCTGTATGTTCTTTGTAAAATCCAGTCTTCCTCCTGGCAGTTGTCACTTCTCCTCCAAATCCTGCTCCATGTAGACCATTATCAGGATTTTTGGAGGCAGCAAGAATTGTTTCAGGTCAGACATTGGTAGTTTCTTATTTTGTGCTTGATGATGATGATGATGATGACAACGATGATGACGATGACAATGATGATGACGATGACGACAGCAAAACTGTAATAGGTAAATAAATTGCATAAAGAAACACCTTAGAAGCTTTTACTCCTGCACATAGATCAGTCAGCTTAGGCCATGACTTCTTCCTTCCAAATCATTTCCAACTTATCAGTCATCCTACCAGTCTAACTGCTGACAGTGTCATAAAATAACACACAAAAGGAAAAGCATGATAATGAAGTAGCTGAACATATCAGTAAGTTTAAATGATAATGAGTGTGATTCCCAGCATAGCTAGCAACATAGCTCCCATGCTGAGATATCTTTGCAAGATGAAAGTTTACATACATGGTTCCTGTTTGTTAATAATTTATCTTCATGTCACTAGGAGTGCAGATGGCAGATTAAAAGAGCTTCCTTGTCGATATGTTGACACTGGAATGGGACTGGAACGTCTTGTTGCAATTCTTCAAGGAAAGCAATCCAACTATGACACTGATTTGTTCCAACCTCTGTTCAAAGCTATTCATAAGGTCAGCATTGTTTGAAGTTATCTTTTGAAGAAATGTGAAACAAGCCTATGCATTCAGTGAAATATCAATGCAAACTGCTGAGTATTCCCACACATTCATTTAAACTCCTTGGGCCATGAAGGTGGAGTGTAGCAGTAGTGCTATAAACTTACATTTGGAGAGTTTCCAGAGTGAATCACTAGCCATCCTGTCTTAAGCATTTTATGATTATCCTCATTTATGTCAGGCAAATGCTGAATATTTTAACATAAAGCCACAACTGTCTCTTTCCAAAACTTCATGTATTTGCCATTCCTGTATCTTTCTATCTGTTATAATGTCCTAAGATTTCTGCTGTTAAAAAGCATTATTAATTTGCCTAAGAATCAGACAGTCTCTTTTGTGAAATGAAAAAAAAAAGTTGTAATGCCCTTTTTTTGACGTATTTCCCTGATTATTCGTGAAGCGAAATTAGAATATACAAAACTATAATTCTGCCTGTGGTTCTGTATGGTTGTGAAACTTGGTCTCTGACATCAAGGCAGGAACATAGATTGAGGGTATTTGAGACAGGAGGGTGGAGAAAACTGCATAATGAGAAGGTTCATAACTTGTACACTTCTCCAAGTATAATTAGAATGATCAAGTCAAGAAGGATGAGATGGGCAGGGCATGTAGTATGAATGGGGGCAAAGAGGAATGCATATAGGATATTGATGGGAAAGCCAGAAGGAAAGAGACCACAGGGAAGACCAAGACGTAGGTGGGTGGACAATATTAAAATGGATGTTAGAGAGATAAGATGGGGGATTGTATGGATTGGATTGGATTGATCTGGCTCAGGATAGGGATTAGTGGAGGGCTCTTGTGAACACGGTAATGAACTTTCGGGTTCCATAAAATGCTGGGAAGTTCTTGAATAGCTGCACAATTGGCAGCTTCTTAAGAAGAGCTCAACTCCGTGAGTGATAGTGATTTGTGAAGCTTGTTGGAGAAGCTTTTTAAACGTGAGAATTAAGTTTCTGCAATTATTGTCTTCTGGGATGTGACAGTGTGTAGTTTGGTAGATAGATTTCTCCTAAAATGTTACTATCTGTCTGCCAAACTACACTGTCGCATCCCATAAGATAGGAATTTTCATTTTTTAAACATGTATAAAGTATGGGCAAATATAAGTTCAGCCATATTTTGTGCTGTTAATAGAGATGTGAGATCACCTGAATTTTGAACTTTAATTGTTTAAAAGCTATTTCAAATTGCACTTCCCTTCCCTTATTAATGCCACTGGAGGACTCCAGAAAATATTACCAGTAATTTCATGTTAGAAAGCTTGCTTTGTTCCCATGAAATGTAGGTTGATTTTCAACAGACTGCATGTTATTATATCTCAGAAGGTAGATACTTCATAACCACTGCTTTGAGAACCTCAAATGCTACAAATCAGCACATATTTAGCTGCATCCCTATGTAGTATGATTTATCTGAGATATGTATTCTATCTCAGTATTTCTTCATAAGATCTCATATAGTATGAAGCCCTGTGTTCTGATTTAATTCATTTTGAACCTATAGTTTTGTCTGGAATATAGATTTTCTGAAGCCTAAGGGCCTTTTTATACATTTAATAATTGCTATATGATGTTCAGCTTTCTAGGAATGTTCCAGTGTATCGGGGACGATTTGAGGATGAGGATGAAATGGGGTTTGATACAGGATACAGAATACTGGCAGATCATGCCCGAATGATGACGGTTGCTTTAGCAGATGGCATGTTTCCTGATCAGAAGTGAGTATTTATTTGTTCTGTGTATGTATATGGCTTCTGAGGTGCATGTCAGTTCAGTATATATTTGTTCCTAAATCTTTCTTTTGCAGTTATAAACTACGCCGTGTTATGAGAAAAGCAATGTTGGTGTCACAACAGAAATTTGGAGTTGAAAGTGGGCTTATAACTGAATTGACAAATTATGTGGCAGATTCTCTAGGAGAAACATATCCAGAAATTAGAAATCGCCTGAAGCAGGTATGTTTCCTTTATTGGGAGTGTTGTAAAGGTGTCATAATGATGGACTGTAAAACCTTGTTAATTTGATATTGTTTCAAGGTGTGTTAATATAACTGTCAGTAAGAAATTTATTTTTGTTCTCAGGTTCAGTTGATTATCAATCATGAAGAAGAAGTACTCCGTTTGCTTCGATTAGAAGCTGTAGACAAGTGGCACAAAATACTCTCTGTGAAACCTGAGCTCTGTAATTTGGATATACTAGAGATGCCAGGTCTTATAGCAGGGTATCATGAACTTAAAGCATACATTTCACTGACAGGATCAGATACCACAAAAGCATCTACCATGCCATCTGCAGGAGCCAAGTTAGAAGAAAGTTATACAAATAAGTTGATGGAGGAAAATATAGAATTATGTGAAAACAACAAAGATTCACCTGGTGTAATGATACCAGCTAAATTAGCATTTAAATTGTATGATACTTATGGTTTGGAAGAGACTGTTATACAAGAACTGGCCAGAGTGGAAGGTTTCCAAATTGATGTGAATGGATTTAGGCATTTATTAAATGTGGCCAGAGCCCAGACAAAGGAGAGTTTTAGATCTGATGCAGAAAATGAACAGGTCCAGGAAATATTTAATCAGCTTGTAAAGCTTGGTCTGGATTTTACAGAAAACACTGAAAAATATAGTTATGTTAAAGAAAATGACAAATATGTATTCCCTTCCATGGAGTGTGAAGTGAAGGCTATAATTGTGAATGGGAAAGTAGTGCCAAAGATTGGGCAAGATACACACTGCAGTGTTATTTTAGACCGAAGTAATTTCTACCATAAAGCAGGTGGACAAGCCAGTGACACTGGGCAGTTAGTGACAAATGATGGAACACAATTCCATGTAACTGATGTGACTAATTCTGGAGGATATCTTCTGCATCATGGATATGTAACAAAAGGTACCATATAAATTGTTTATGATATAGCTTTTTCTAATCTTCTGTCTTCTCCCATAAGAGCTTCTCATATACATGTGTTGTTTTATCATTTTACACTTTAAAATTTGTATAACTTCCTTGTTATTGAATGAAATTATGTGAAAATTTCATAGACTGTTCTATACACTTGGGAAATCTGTTTGTTGCTGTTGGCAGTGATGGACTCAGTAAGAAGATGGCATCATATGTACAGTGGTTCAGAAAGTGTTATCAAAATGTTTTACTCTTCTGATAGTGTTAATTTAATGCTTGAAGCAGAAGTGTGCTTCATTGAAGAACCATGTGACATGGTTTAACAGTCTAGTAGATCATGTCTGCTGGTGGTGTGATACTAACACAAAACTCTCGACAACATTTTGTAACCTCAGCAACATAACCACCAGAAGGGTAATCGTTTTTTTTAAACACTTTCTAATCCATTGTATATGATGCTTTCTGCTTACTCAGTTCAGTATTACCAATGGCAACAGATCCCTCACATGTGTAGAATGTTCTATGAAAATTTCATAATGTTGAGACCTATAACAAAGAAGTTATACAAATTTTAAAATGGCAGATGATGCAAAGACATCTGTACCTATGCTCACTCATCCTTTGCTCTATATTATATAACTTCATTCACTTGGTTCCTCCATTATGTTTAGTCCTCCCAGTTGTTACTTAACATCATTTTTGATGCTCTGAAAGGAAGCATGCTGTTATCTGTGTATGACATAGCCTATAATACTTTGTCCACAGTTTCACAGATTTTTCATGTAGTGCTTTAACTGTAAATCTTGCATAATGTCATGATTATGTTCAAGTACAGAGAACTGGGAAGAATAGGGAAGGAGCTGAGTGTGGCCTGTTGCAAGGTATTAATTAGGCATGTGCAAATCTTTAAATTTGGAACTCAAATTGAGAGAGAGAGACAATATATATCTGTGTGTGTGAGTGAGTGAGAGAGAGATTTATGTTCTGTTTCAAGCTTCTTCTTGAATAGAGAAAGTCATTCCATGTACATGCCAAGTATTTTTCATTGACCTATTATGCTGTGGAGTCATGAAGTCATGAAAATAATATTCTACTAACATTTCAGGGAATGGTGTTTGTATTGGAGACACTGCAACAGTTGAAGTGAATGGAGACCATCGACTAGGCAAAATGAGGAACCATACTGCAACTCACCTGCTGAATGCTGCCCTTCATAAAACCCTTACTGTTACATGCCAGAAATCAAGCCGTGTGACAGAATCTAACCTTGTATTTGAGTTTTCTATATATGGAGAGACACTTAACATACAGAACATCGTAAGTTAATTTAATGTTGAGCTATAAGTAAGTGGACTTTGGATAATTAGGAAAATACCCATTTTGTCAGGAAGAGATATATTAAAAGTGTAATAAAGTATATTTTTGTCTGAATACATGGATATGTAAGAATGTGGCATGGACAGAAATTGATTCTGGCATTTGCCCTTGGGTATGGGGAATTTCTTTATTTCTTTCCATCTCTTCTCCCCACAGCATAGCACACCAGGATATTGTGATTTGGGTTGGCTGATTGGATTGGTTAAGCATGCCATATGGGCCGATTCCTTATATTTCCTGTACCTCTCGAATGGTTAGAGTTAAAGTTGAGGTACTGTCCAGTGCGGGTGCGTTTCCTGTAGACTTTGGAGGTTAGTGTCATCTCTTCCCTGCTGACCAGGACATCAAGAAAGGAAATTGCACTGCCTGATTCTGTTTCCATGGTGAACTGGATGGACTGTTAAGGTGGCTGAGGAAATCCTGTAACTGCTGTAACTGCCAAGCAACGCTTGTTCCATCTCATGATTGTTGCATAGCAACAGTACTACATGCTACATTATGACGCTGTTGCCTAGCAATGGGCATGTTTGCAGACCTGCTCCCTAGCAATGACTTTCTCTGCTGGCTTCACAGTTTTTGTCTTGAGTAAATATGCCACAATAACATGAATAATTCTTCTGAACCCAGGTGCAGCTGGAAGAGATGGTGCAGAAATGTGTGCAAGCAGCTATTCCTGTAAAACAGTACACTGTGTCAAGCAACCAATTCTTCTCCCTTGAGAATGTGACCCTTGTACCTGGAGAAGTGTACCCTGAGGAAGAAATACGCGTTATAGAAGTTGAAGCTGATGGGTTGCTTACATCAAGGTTAGTACGTAGCATGACTTTTTTCCTTGTTTGCAGCCATATTTTGAAACAGACACCAAAGGACAGAATTCGATATGATGACATTTGGTAAGATCAAATAGTAGAAGTAACCCAAGAGAGTTCTGTAGAATTAAGAATACAGCTGTATGTACTACAGTAGGATTCCTGTATGGGGACTAAAAGTGAAGTTGACAAATAAGTAATGAATAAGGAGACCGAAGTACAAGTAGAGAGATCAAATGAAGGAAGATGCTCAGAAGAAGGAAGTGAAAGGGCCTTGTTATTGGCAGAAATGTCAGTGAATAATTTTGGTAATCATTATGATCTCCAGTTTGTTGATTATGTTTCATCTATCCTGTCTACACACAGGTGACTTGTCTCACTGATGTACTCAATAGATATAAATTTTGAAAGTACTTCGTGTTAATGGCTGAAATCCCATTTTAAAGTCAATTACATGATAACTAACCAGGTTGGCAGAATAATAATGCATATCATGCTTCCTTGTAGTTGGACCCATCCTTCCTAGCATGACCATTTAAATACGGCCTGTGAAACACAAACATTAACCCATATATCATATGATGTATCAAAGCATCAAGAATTTACTAACACTGAACAAATGCGAGTAGGAGACAAAAAGGAAATGAGAACACTTTTGAGCACTAATGATGGAAACAGCAATTTACGTAGAAACGTTTCTGAGTTTTTAGGGCAGGTTCAGGTAATCTCTCAAAACATATGTGATACACAGTATTTAATATTAGAATTTCATTCATTCATCAATGGCTCTACAGCCTTGGGGCTCTGGCCTCGTCTTCAGTTTAATAATCTTTAATATTAGAATTAATAGCGTTAATATTTAACAAGAGGCCTGTAGCTAGAAGGCTTCCAGAAGAATAATGTGAGTAGTATGAATGATAATATAGTAAGAGCCATAATTTACAGTCATCAGGATAAAAGTTGGTGAGGCTTGTTTTACATTATGACCACTTCTACATAGCCAACACTTTCTTTGTAATAGTTCAGTCCTCATATCCTTGTATTGGCACAGTGAATGAATTAAATCATTGTCATCAGCATGTATTTTGTAATGTTGTTATTTAATTTATTATAGGGAGGCATGTTGTGGTACTCATGTATTGAATACGGGAGACATCAGGGACTTCTGTGTTGTGGGGTTGAAGACTGCAGGCAGTGGAGTCCTTAGTCTGAAAGCTGTTACAGGCGACTATGCCACATCAGCACGCCAGCATGGCCACCATATGGCTCAAGAAGTGGTGGCTCTTCATGCTGAAGTGGAGGGCTTCATTGGGTCTAAGATGTCTGCACACCAGGTCTCTGGGTTTTATGATATGATCTTTGGCATTTATTATGAAACTTTTATATACATTTGTACTGTTAACTGTTCATGTAAGGTCATTCTTACACATTTGTTGCTATATTCTGAGTATAAATAAGATGTTATGGTTCAGGGATTTTGGTTCCTTTATTTTCAAGAAGCGTCTGGGTTGAGTTCATCACTGGGAAGCAAGCAATCATGGTTTATGGCTTCTGTCAGTACCTCAGAGTACATTCTTGGATATTGTCTCAAAAGAGGCTCTTTGTGCTTACTCAGCTTTTGGTGATAATTCAGTCATTGCTCATTTAATTCCTGGCCCGTAAGCTAGCTCTCCTGATGACCGGTTCTCGTGCCTTCCAGGAAAATGTTGAGGTAGTACCTTTAAATAGCCATGACCACTTGTACATTCTATTTATATTGGTGTATATATGTCTTTTCCTAATGCATGCTTCATGTCCCATCCTTCTCACTTTCTTTTATTTAATCATCCTGATAATATTAGGCAATGACAAGAAGTTATTCAGTTCCTCATTATGCAGTTTTCTCATGCCCTTTGCTATTACTTTGTTTCAAGTATCTTCTTCAGCACCTTATTCTCATACAATCAGGTCATGCCATTTTAAGCAGGCTTCTTGTGATCATGGCATGGCTCATCCTCAGCCTGGAGACAGAGAAGATGGCCTCCAGGTAAAGAGAGTTGCTGTGAATACATTGAATAAGTAGTCACAGCCAGCCACAGAGTTTGAGTTTGATTCCTGAGGGGCAAGAGATTTTCCACTCCTCTACAGTGTCCAGACTGTCTCTAGGGTCCACCCACACACCTATTCAGTCAGTACTAGGGACTCTCCCTGGGGGTAAAGTGGCCCAGGACATGCAGCTGACCACTTACCTTCATCTAGTGCTGAGGTTAATAATGCATGGAGCTACACCTCATTTCCCCCATAAGTTTTTGTAGTGTGGTGCTTAATTAAGCACAGGGAGTTCTCCTTCCTGCTGCACTACAACCACCTGCCGCCTTGTTTGAATGCTCAAACAGTTCGTTACGAAGAAGATAATGAGATTGTTTTATTTGTCATCAGGCAGAGCAGTTGAATGTGAAGCTGCAGGAATTGAAGCAGAAGTTGGTTAGTGGTACCCAGAATCTGCCTTACACTGTTCGTTCTGAGGAACTTTTGAAGATCGAAAATATAAGCAAAAGGTTGAAAGAAAATGCCCGAGGCAGTCTCAGGTATGATGGTGCTTTTCAAATATTTTTATGAGTTAATTCAATTCATTATTATTTGTAGGCCTGTACTGTTGTTAATAATAATAAGGGATCATTAAACCTCACTAATAGTAATTTTTAATGAGACAGTTGTTGTCAACAACTGTTGACACAAGTTCTTCTGTAAGGTGCGAAGTGTGTATATACTAGTTCTGTGTACATCATGTAATGTAAATGCATTCATAGTCACTTAAGATTCACATAGTTCATAACTTTTATATGTTGATATGAAATATATTTATATTAAATTGGGATATTACATATATCAGACACTCGAGACACTGTGGTTGAGTAGTTATCATTCGTACTCTACATTCAAAGACTGGCATCAAGACTAGCTCTCTTTACTTTTTTTGTGGTTTCCCTCAGTCCCTTCAGGAGAAAGCTGACACAGCATCCTAAAAGAGATCATGACTACTTTCCTTCATGTCCTTTTAAATTTATCATTTACATCATCCTGTTATTGAGCAATTGATAAAGGAATGTTAAATAATCTAAGACAGTACATATTGAGGGAATTTGTGATTTAAGATTGTCTGATATTGTTAAGGCAGAGAAATCTAGAAGGTTGCATGAAGTTGAGATGGGTGAGGCAGAAAGGAAGGTAGAATTTTTGAGGGAAAGTCTGTTGAAAAGCAAGCACTCTTACTGAAAAATAAAAGCAAGAATGATATATTGGGATGGATTGTAGGGAAATGGTTGTGAGGGAGCAGAGATGGATGGACCTGGTTTAGGATCATATCCATTGGCTGACATTAGTATTAACAGTGTTGAAGCTTTGGATTCTACCACCAGACAGTTTGTTTGTTATGTTAAATATCACAGAACATGCAGAGCCCCATACTCATGAGGGATAAATTCCTAAAGTGATCATGAATAGTGGTAATTATGAAGAAAGGTCATGGACATATAAATATATGTATGTACCCTCTTAATGAATAATGTATTATTATTTTATTTCTTCTTAGCTTTTATGCTTATCCTTACATTGCTGACATAATTTATCTTTCTTTTGAGTGGCACAAGTATGCAAGAAATACAAATTCAGTACTAGCCTATGTAAGATATTGCCAGTACCACACCAAGGCTTGGAATGACCTGGACCATAATGTGCTAGGGGTGAATGCTCAGAAGCTGTGTGAAGCTCTTAAAGATGCACTCAGGAAAATTTTTGAGACAGAATATGTGATAATGTATGGTTGGGGCTTGGTCACATATGAGCAAAAATATGAACAGATAATTTGTTAATATGTAGGGATGACTGTAGTCTCAAAGTTTAAAATGATAATATGTGTGTGTGTGTGTTTATAAATACTGAATTACTCTGTAGGATATGAGGTTCTCCCAGCACTAGTTATGAAGAATTCTATCTCCTGGGATATAATGCTATGTAGTCCATTGAAAGTCAGCTGACATTTCAGAGGGACATAGCTTCCATCCTCAGGGTTGAGGAATAAGCCAAGCAAGAAACCAGCATGAACCTCTGCTTGCCTCCTGCCTCATGCTGGTTTCTTGCTTGGCTTGTTCCTCAGTACCCAAGATGGAAGCTACATGTTCCTCTGAAACATCAATTGACTTTCAACAGACTACATAGCATTATATTCCAGAAGACAGAACTTTTCATTGATTTATTCATTTGTGCTGAGTATCAGTAGTAATGCCATTACCTGTCTGCAGACCCCATTATTTGAAGTTCAGAGTAGATTATATTTGTATAAATATTGGCTCATTATAAAACTTCACACATTTACTGTTGGGTATTTAAACTCTGTTGTTAATCACATGAATAAAAGTATTGTGATTAGGTAAATAAAAGATCCAGTAGACTAATGTTAAAAATGAATCTATATTTCACTCAGGTTGCTTATTGCGACCCATGTACATTTTGTAGAAGTTTGGTGACAAATTGGAGAAAACAAAATATTTTGGAAAGTAGTAGTGATGTCATGAACTTCTGTTGGCATTTAAACTGCTAAGACTAGATAAGTCACATCTGTCATTAGGAACACTGTATTGTAGCAAAGTATGCATTATTTCATGGTTCCCCCCTCATGTGTCAGTGGCTGTTAAAATCAGGTATTGTAGATACCAGTCTACTGTTGCCGAGCTAATTATGCCACAAATTAAACTCGTCATAAATTATTTTTTCTTATATTTTGTTAAATATTCACTCTAAACAATTGTTCAAATAATATCTGTAGATTTCACTGGTGTGTATATTTTATGTCATTTATCAACTTTTTGTACTGTAAGTAATATTTTTAGCAAATTGATAAAGTTAAATCTGCGAGACAACTTTTAATATAGTGCCCCCAACCCCGTACCAGATTTAATCAGTATTTGTTAAATAGTTTCAGAAATGATGTTTATGGATAAATGGACAGTCATAATCTCGCCTGTATGTATGATGTGTAATAATCTATTCAGATATGCAGACATGTAGTAATTTCCAGTGTCACAAGACTGCTGTGACCTTTCCTCGAAATGTCCAAGTTTAATTTTTCTGGTATTTTTTATTGCTAGTGGGATTGGACTAAGTCCCTTGTACTGTGGCCACTTCTGGCCTATTGTACCAGCCCCAAATAATAGGTGAAGGTGATTGTGGAGCAATTGGTGGAATGAAGATGCTGTACTCCTTTTTACACTGTCTTCTGGTGGAGACAAGCCAAGCTACACTACATCAGAGCTAATATAGCAGGAATCTTTATCTCTCACAGAGATGCACTGGAAACAGAAATGCAGACCCTGTTGGCAACCAACCAGTCATCATTTCTCGTCCATTTTCTACAGTGCTCTTCAACAACAGACACTGTTCCTCTCCAGAAGGCTACCAGGATGTGCCCTCATATTCCTGTGCTGCTGCTGGCTCACAGTGAAGGCCTTATCAAAGCAAGGTGTTGTGTTCCTGAGGTATGTCACAGTCTTTTGTTCACATTTATTTAAGGAAATGTTCTCACCAGGTATATCTGGAGCCATGATAGCTTAGTCAGTAAACTAAATTAAATTACACTGCACTTACATGAATTATACTGCATACTTATGGGATAATTTAGTCAGTATAGCGACTGGCTATGGGCTGCATGGCCGAGGGGTTGGGGTTTGAGTCCTGGTAGAGGCAAGATTTTTCTCCTCTTCACAACATCCAGATGGGTTCTGGGGTCCCCCCAGCCTCCTATATAGTGGGTACAGCAGCTGGGGCATGAAGCTGGCTACTTCTCTCAAACTGGTGCTGGCATAGCGCCTAATTAGTTAAGCACAGAGATAACGTTTTCTCTTATTCCTATGTTTTATTTGATTTTTAAAAATATTACTAGTATTATGGTACCAGTGTTGCAATATACAGGGTGTCCCAGGAGGAATGTGCCAAACTTCGGGAGGGTGTTCCTTATGTTAAAGTATGCCGATATAACCCAAAACACCTATGTCCAAAGTTGAACGGTTACGGAGATAATGGCCCGAGAAGTGTCAAACTTTGACCGGGGTTACACACTTGTTGATTACAAAATACATATTAAAACTGGCAGGAATATGTGGATTCTGTAATGTTAATAATGTACGTAACATCAAACCAACTTGTGAGTGACGGAAAGCCATAAAATTGAAGTACAAAATACTCGCTCGCCATGTCATAATTGTCCTTAGGTTTCCAAGCAGTATACATAACACATGACTGGCGAGCGATGACGTAACGTGCTGACTGCGCGTTCTGGTATGAGCCAACTACATAAGCACGGCTAGGGAGTATCATCGCACTCAAGGACAAACATAGATAAGGGCTCTCAGCTGAGAGGTACAGCGAGGTACAGTGCTTGGACCTGCCAGAAGACCACACTTTTCTTGGGCCATTATCTCCGTAACCGTTCAACTTTGGACATAGGTGTTTTGGGTTATATCGGCATACTTCAACATAAGGAACACCCTCCCGAAGTTTGGCACATTCCTCCTGGGACACCCTGTATATCAGGATAATGCAAGCAGCCCAGGTACATTACAGACTACAAGTTAAGCACACAGCCAGTATGCAACTGCAGAAATGTTATCCCTTGCATACAGAATGAAGATCTCACAATATCTGTAGCTTCGGCAATTTCATATGGAAGTCTGTTTGTATGAGGGTGAGCCAGAAGGCTTGCCATTCATGAGTGTGCATGGAACCTCCCTGTTGTAGTGACTGTTTTGACCTTCAGTGTTCAGTTGGCCTTCACCACTAGTGACATCATCATGGCTGTTGTGCTTACCACATGCACCAAAGAAGAGCAGCATACAGTAATTTAATTTGTGTAAGTTGAGATGTAAGATATGTGGAATTTATCAGAGAGTATAATCATAATATGGTCACAGTGCTTTGGCACAGCAGAGGATGTATGAATGGCAATATTATATTTAAGCATCCTGTTGCACTCCATACGATAAATGATATAAACTCCGTCTCAAGTGCAAACAATATATTTTGTGTCTTTGATCTTGCTCCCTACACTACATGTTTCGGCCTCAGACGGCCATCATCAGGTGTATAACACTCACGTCGCTGTCACACTGCACCCAGTTCAAAATTTAACATCTACAACACTCTAGTAAAACAACAAATAGTGGCCTACTTCAGATATGTCGATGACATATTAATAATATATGATGAAAAAATAACAAACATAGAACATACACTCAAAGAAATCAATGAATTGCAACAAAATATAAAGTTCACCATTGAAAGAGAACAACAAGAATCAATTGACTTTCTAGATATAACAATATATCGCAATGAAGATAGTTCGCAATTCACAATATATAGGAAACCCACACAAACAGACATAATACCTAACAGTTCGTGCCATCCATTCGAGCACAAATTGTCGGGTATTAATTACCTAATAATTGGACTCAACACATACCCAATAACGGAAAAAGGAAAACAAATAGAGAAGAACATTATTAAAAACATACTACAGAACAATGGATACGACACAAACATAATCAAAAGATTAAATCAGACAACACGAAAACAAAAATCAAACACACATGACAACGAACAACATAAAACAAAGTGGGCCATATTTACATATAGTACAAAAGAAGTGAGAAAAATTACAAAACTTTTCAAAGACACACAGATAAAAGTAGCATTCCGCACACGAAACACAATAGAAAATATACTCAAACAAAAACCACAAATAGATAAATACAATAAAAGTGGCATATACCAAATGAAATGTGTAGATTGCCCATTGAAATACATTGGGCAAACGGGCAGAACATTTAACACTAGATATAAAGAACATATACATGATATTAGAAATAATGATAGCAATTCCGGGTACTCAAACCACATACTAAATACAGGACATGCATACGGAACAATAACAGAGGTAATGGAAGTTGTAACAACGGGAAAGAAGGGCAGACATTTGAATACATTAGAGAAATACCATATATATAAAATAAGTAAGAAAGGCCTACACATGAATGATACACACATAGAAACACACAATCCCATATTTCAAACGATACACGAAATCTATACAGACTAACGGTACCTTCCTCTCCCCACTACCCATTCCCCCCTACACTCACAAACATAAAACTCAGCACACAGTACATCAGACAGCACACGTAGTAAAGAATAGCAGCGGCACGCACACAGAAAGACTACACAGGGTAAGTACAAATAACAATATACACACATAAGAAAACACCACATACATAAGATAGTAATACAAATATATTTGTATATTACAGATAACACCTATACAGTGTGGAAACAAGAACTAGCCGCTGCAGCACTTCAAACACAGGGCGAATAACCCTAACAATTTTAAAATTTTAAAATTTGGACAAGAATTTAAAGGTTTAAAATTAGAACTAAAGATTTTATTATGGTGCTATTACAATAAACTCAAAATTAACGTGTGTGAAGTAATCTATGGGTGGACAGCTATCAACGAAGTAGAAGTTGATAATGACAGGGAGAGTGTTGTAGATGTTAAATTTTGAACTGGGTGCAGTGTGACAGCGACGTGAGTGTTATACACCTGATGATGGCCGTCTGAGGCCGAAACATGTAGTGTAGGGAGCAAGATCAAAGACACAAAATATATTGTTTGCACTTGAGACGGAGTTTATATCATTTATGTATGAATGAATTTATATGTTAAGAACTGGCCAAACAAGTGTCACTGACAGAGAATAATCAGAGTGCCTGTGCATGTTGACTGTACAAGGTGGGTGTCAAAACTACTCATGGAGCAGCAGGGGCATAAGCATTTGCATATCCCAAGTTGCTTTTTGAACTGATATCATGAGGAAGCTAATACCTTCTTGAGTCGCATTGTCACTGGTGACAGAATATGGATCCATCATCATGAAAATATGTAATGGAAACACCCAATATCCCTTGTCAAAGAGAAATTCAGATCTCAACCAACAGGAAGAAAAACTGTGCTCACATTTTTCTGCAATTCACAGGTACCAGTGCATTGCACTGTAGTTGGAAAAGTGGTGTGCTGTTATGTGATGATTGTTACAGGCTCTGGTGTCACGCAATTTCAGTGCTCAGCTTTGGATGCAGTCTGTGCTGCAAGTGCTCAGAGCTCAGGGGGCAGCTCCAAGAGGCCAGAACCCATGTCTTGTGTTCTATATGAAAGGCAAGAAGTTACCACCAGCTGATTTCAAAACTTTGGTGAAGGATGCTCTTCACAGTGCTTCAGAGTTTGCTAAACTCCATCTTGGACCAGCTAAGACATAAGCTCTGTCCTCAAGTACACAGTAGGTATACATTTTCATGTGTGAATTCATTCATAGCAATATTTTCACCTGATCTTTGTCTGTAGTATTCACAGTATGTTAAGAGCAGTGTAGATCTTGATTTGCAAGAAGTAAAAAAAGTGTTGTGTTATGTACTAACAAAAACCTTTCAGTATCCCCCCAAAATTGGAAAAAGATGGTGAAAGTATACTGTACACACTTAACAGGTGCATATGGTGCATATGGCAGAAGGAATTAAATTGCAGTCATGATTTAAAAAAAATATATATGCATGCAGTGTACGATTTATGATGAGATGAAATATCCAAAGTGATGAAATGCAATTTCGGCTTACCATGCCAATGTATATTATCAGTATTTACAGAATAGGTTATACACTGAAACAAAAGGCTTTGTATGTGAGCTACTACATAATTTATGTTCATGCAGTGTGTGAATCAGTCAAGTTTGGAGCTCAATCACTGTGGTCCCCTAACCATGCCCCACCATAGCGTTTTGTATTTCAGCACATCAGACTCATTGAGAGATTGCCTTAGTGGGGGATCTTTTAGAGACACCCCCCATTAAGGCACAATAGTTCATATATGTCTATAGCTTTTCTTCTGATCAGTAATTATGAACCTGATACAGTGGAAGTTTAATGATTTCTGTATGATTCCCTGACCTACACACTCTAAACCAGTATCAATACCCAGCTATCATCTGTCTTCAGCAAATACACCCCAGTTCCTCCCATTCATTAAACCTCCATGGTTATATGGCCCACCATTACGACCATGTTGATAAGGACAGGGCCAATGAAGGTATTCACAAATTTAGTAGATTTATACAAATAACAGTAACTTTCATAAGTTTAAAGATGCTTTTCTCTCAATGCAGTATCTTAAACTATTACAAAAATATGTTGATTTTAAGAAAAGGAGATGAAGACACAAAATACCTGACATGTCAGATTTGAGGTTTTCATGGTGGTGAGTATGAAGAATACCATCTTCTGGGATGTCGTGCTATATAGATCTTGTGTGAACTGAGATTTTGGAGGAACGTCAGTTCACACAAGATCTACATGGCACCACATCCTAGAAGACGGCATTCTTCAAAATACTAGACAGTTTAATTGCAACCAGCTACAGCATTAAAGATTTATCTTCATCTGGCTACCATGAATAGCCATGTATTTGCACCATCTTTAAATGAATAGCAAAGGCAAAAAGCAAAGTTATCCTTGTACTTAACTAATTAAGCACTACTCCATGAAGTTGTATGGAGGAGAGGATGCATACGTCCACATTCAAAGGGTTAGCATAATTTTTAATTCTTTTACTCCAAACTATTATTGCCATGACTGATGACAGAATACCAAAACAGATTCCACAGTATAAACCAAAAGGAAACCAGGACAAGGGAAGACACTGGAAAAGATGGAATATGTAAGTGAAACCAGAAGAGGCTTAATTGCCTGTACTGTAATATGAAGAAGACTATTCTTGTCTAGTGCACTTTTCAAATAAATTCAGATAGTTTTTTATTGGCCATATAAATATTAACTTCTACAGGGTAACACATAATCATACATTCTTATGTTTGTCCTCTTTTTTGTAATGAGATGTACCAACAGGCTTATATGCTGGTTTATCAATAGCCATATTTTTCATTCAGTTTTGTTCTTCCATCACCTTTCTGGTCTTCTGGTGGCATCCACACTGAATACTTGGGGTCTGATGAATCATAATCTGTTTTTTGTTGCATTGCCTATAAAAGAAAACTGAGTAATTAAGATTGAGCCCCAAAGCTGGTAGTACCAGATGGGTGCACTCATAAATGTGAGAAAGCATACGCCTGTCACTATCATAGTTAGGCCCTTTTTGAACAACCATCATAATCAAAGTGATGAATACTTACATAATACATACATAAAGAGGATATACAAGGTGATATCAGAAAGTTCCTGGACTGTTGTTGTTCTTGTAACTGCCTCAGTGAAAGAAGATGAGAGGGGATACCAAGGTCACACTTCCAAAAGCCTATTTTACCAGTCTGCCATGTGACACCGTGCTATAAACACGCATTGTTTTTACAAGAGTGCTTTTTCTACTTTGTGTTTCAATTTTTCTGCGATAAATGGCAAAACTGAGCAACATGTCTGCATCAAGTTTTGCATGAAGATTGGTGAATCCACTACCAAAACCCTAGAAATGCTTCATGAGGCTTTTCAAGAGGCATTCACTTTTCAAGGCAGGTCGAGTGTCAGTTGAAGATGACGAACATTCAGGGTGACCAAGCACCAGCAAAACAACAGAAAATGTTGACAAAATTTGAGAACTCATCCACAAAGACCATCGCCAAGAAATACATGAGCTCGCAGACACCACTGCAATCAGTTATGGAGTTTGTCAGGAGATTTTAACAGAAAATTTTAACATACGCCGCACTGCTCCTTCATCACGACAACGTGCCTACCCACACATCCCTGAAAGCCACAGAGTTTGTGACTAACAACAACATGGTTATCGTGCCCCATCCTCCCTACTCGCCAGACTTAGACCCCTGTGATTTTCCTTTGTTTCCCTAATTGAAAATGAAACTGAAGGGACGGCGTTTTGAAACAGCGTGTGACATCCAAATGGAATCACAAGCAGCACTTAACAGCATTAGGGAACATGACCCACAGTGCTTTTGAGGGGTGGAAAAACTGATGGGATCAATGTATACATTCCCAAGGGGACTATTTTGAAGGAGATGCAGCCAAAATTGAGTAAGTTAAGCCAGCATTTCTTTTTTGACCCAGTCCTGGAACTTCCCGATAGCACTTGGTATGTGGTTTATTTTATTTTTCTAGCATTGTTAGGGTAGACCTGTGGCAGGCTTTTGTGTTAACAGTGTTGAACCTTTGGGTTGTAATATCTGAGATGCACTTTGTTATGGTTCAAGCAGAATGTTAACAAGTTATGGAATGCATGCAGAGCTAGGCAATTCTGGTGCACTTTCCTTCCGATTTCTTGAGTTGAGATGATACAACATAAAAATCCCATTTCTTTAATTATCTTGAACACCATAATAAGTCTTACTGAAAAAAATACAGTGGACATAAAATGTGTCTCTCATTTTTATATACAACTTCTGTTCAGAACATTCTTTGTTCAGTGCTTCTTGTGTTATTACAAGTGGACACACATACACAGCAAAATTGATAGGTGTGTTTTTGCAACTTTTTGTTTTGAAAACACCAGAAATTATATGCTTTACCATATACTTCCATAGTTTTGAGTAACCGAGTCACATCTAATAATAGCTTAGAGGAAGATCCAAAATTTTGATCCTACTCCAAGTCAGTGACTGACTGCCTGATGGCTGAGCCATGTTCACTTGAAGCTAGCTAACCATCATATTCATATGGTATTACCCAGCTAGAAATGTCATTTCTGCTGCTTCAAGGGGTAAATGTAAATATCACATGTGCCCAATTTATCTATAATTCAAACAAGTAGGGGAAGGCAGAGGGAAAGAAGCAGACGAAAGAGACATTACCGGATGGAATGGTTTAGGAGCCTCGGGCACACCAGTGAAAGAGCTGAGGAGTGAAGTGAAAAGAATTATTGAAATCATCTGACAATGTGCCATAAAAATTTCATGAACTGATGTTCAAAACTAATGGCTATATTCTGCATTCTGACACTAATATGAGGAGTATCATTTGTCCAAAAATTAAATTGGAAGTTACTCTGTGGCATACAGAAGCTGGCAGCAGAGTTGCTTCTTAGTGAAATGGACTGGGTATTTCTTGGTATCAAATGTGCCATTTCAGTGGGTAGCATCCCTGCTCCATATATGGGCCAAAATCTCAACCCACAGAACAGATATCCAGACTGAAGGTTTTATGGTTTTGATAGGTCCCCGAGGATATCCCAGAATAATACCTTGACAGAGAATGCAAGAAAGCAGTGACAAGAATGCTAATGAACCATTAGATTCTCTGGATTAAAGGTGAACATCAGTACATGGTGTGTTTGAGTAATTATATGTGTGCAATAAGTTCACTTATTGGAACACAGAAATGATGTCTGTCTCTGCCAAAAGTTCTATCAGACTGCTGCTACTTATAGCATGAAAGTGCTGATAACACCACATATAGTAAGTTACCATTGGGCCACGCCATAGCTCAAGCAGTTAGTCGCTGGCTTCCCACCATGGCGGCCCAGGTTCGATCCCAGGTCTGGTTAAGTGGGATTTGTGGTGGACAAAGTGGCACTGGGGCAGATTTTCTCCGAGTACTTCGGTTTCCCTTGCCAATCTTCATTCCATCAATTGCTGCACAATCACCCTCACCTATCGTCTGGGGCTGGTACAATAGGCCAGAAGCGGTTGCAGTACAAGGGACTTAGTCCCACCCCACTAGCAATAAAAAAAAAGTTACCATTGACTCTTGTAAAACATCATGAAATTTTAATTCTAGTATAAAGAACAAAAATAGCCCACAATGTCCTTTTTATGTCTTTTCTGTATCCTTCTTTTGTTCCTATTCTTCTTCCTCTCTTTCTTTCTCTCATCATCATCATCACTCTGAGGCTGTGTAAGTTCCATTTTATCAATGTGGGATGTGGTTTCACAGTTTTCTTTCAGAGTTGGTGGCATTGTAGGCCCAAAGACTTTGGTTTTCTGATTAAGTGTATGTAATTTTTTGGGGCTCTCAATCTGCAAAATGTCTGTTTCCATCTTGTATCCTTTGTCTGGAATGAGTAAGGAAAATGTTCAAAAAGAAATAATATACATTATGAGCTTTTTCAAAAGACTTACTGCACACACATTTTATAATTACTTTGTTACTGATAAAGGTTTTGTGTCATGTTTATATATTTTGTTTCTTCTAATTTGCTTACTGAGGATTTATGTTAAATTCCACTGATTAATGAGATCACGGTCCAAAATAATACTAAACTACATGTCTCAGTAAGTGATGCTGTGGCATCCAGTAGCTCTTTCGGCACATTATACAACAGATAATAGGAAAATTGTGCCACATATTATTATATACCTTTGTGTTCAGTACCATTTGGTTCCTCTGCCTCTTCATTATGGCCTGATGCTTTGGTTTCTTGTTCTACATGGGAACCAGGAGATTTTCCACTCTCCTGTCTTATCTCTTCACTTTCCTCTTCCTCCTCCTCCTCCTCCTCCTCCTCTTGTTCTTGTTCTGCCTTCAATGTTGATGAATCTGAGACAGCCTCAGTACATTCCATCTGAAACTGTTCAAGAAAGCAAGTAATATCTGACTTTAAGTTAATGGATTTTACACAGAGTACAGTTCAGTTTTGCTGACATAATATTGTATTAAAACTCACAAACTCATAACAAATGAGCTTTTTATTGCATGAGATGTGGTGATAGAAATTTGCTTTTCCAAGATACGATTTCTTTATGATATTCTTTCTATTAGTAAGCCTTAGAACATTTCCATAGTGGTGGTCATAGATATGTGCTGCTGCTGCTGTTATGATTAAAACACAAATGGAAGTCTGATGAAATGTCTGCAAAAATTAATAGAATTCTTAGTATAATGAAACCCCTAAATAATTCAGGATTTGGAAGAATGTTATGGTGGAAGATTCACAATAAGAAATTACTCCCAGAAACAGTGGCTGTATTCTTTCAAATAATTATGTCTTCAGAAGTGAACATTATGAGGTATTTCATATAAATGTATATAACTTAGTACAGGAATAAAAGTACCCAGTTTTCCCTAGAGGAGCCATAATGCTTAAAAACAACTTTATGACAAGATAAGCTGTCAAAGATAATGCTGCAGCATATTTTAGGTATCTAGAATGTAGGCTCTGCAAGATACTACTAAGCTTATGTTATTAACATATCTGAATGTTGGTTCAGTACAACAGACATGCAGTTCACAAATTTGGAGTTTCTGTTCCTTTACTCTAGTCTAATAATGCTACTGGAAATCTTTATTCATGCCCATATGTCATATCAAATTCATCCATTACAAATTAGTGGAATAGGAATGAATCCATCCATTACAAATTGGTGGAATCAGAATGAATCCATCATGATTAACAAAAGTTGCATTGTTAAAATTGGTATTAAGATGTGAACATACAAGTAATATATTTTCTTATCCATCAGAATTAGTGCCAGTTATATTTCACCCTGGTTCACACCTGTTAGTGGCAACCTATCTTTCTTGTGCATTTTTCAGTTCACAGTGACAGATGAGGCACACCAAACATTTTCAGTCTTTTGGTACCAAAAAGTTCGACCATTTCAATTGAAAATGGCAATGTGAAGATCTTAAGACAGTTCAAAACATGCATGATTTGCTGAATACAAGACAGCAACAATTTTGACATCTGAAATGTCGGACTCTTTGGAAGACAAATAGCGGTGGCTGGCCCATTAAGTCACCCCAAGCAGTGATGCACCAAAATTATAAATACTGTGGCATATTTGCTCATACAAGATTGTGGAGTCACAACAGCCAGCCATTACTACGCAGCAGCCTATAAACAACACAGGAATGGTATCTTCTGTGCAGTCCATGGAAAGGGCTCCGCACGCAAAAATGGAAACATCATGCCATCACTAGCAGTAATTACACTGCAACAGAAGAACTGTGTTTTCCATGCAGCCATCCTGGGGCCATATGAAGAGTTGGGTTGAGTCTTGAAGAGCAGTTTGTCTATCAGATAACCACTAGGTTTCAGTTGTGAGCTGCGGCTGGGGACAGTTCAGGAACCCAGAGGAAGGGGAACATCTGCCATTGAAAGCCACTACAAAGCAAAGGCTGATGAAGATTGTACAGACTGAGAAGACCTATTCTGTCTTATAGTAATTTGTGAAGTGTTTAGAACAGTGAGAGCATAATCCTTACTTGTAGTTACAAGTTTTAAGAGTTCAGTAAATCCAATGACCAATCAAAACCCCATCTGTAGTCATTCCATCGTGTGAAAATATAAATAATTCGCAATTTCCTCTTCTGTTGGTGTTCCTAAAATCTTTTCCTTTCCGTAACTGTACTTTGGTGGAAACCATAAATACAGAGGTCATAGTGTACACCAGAAATCAGCTGTGACTTCATAAATTGACATACATTATGTGTATGCTGGCTCATTATTGCCACACAGACTAAATAGAGGCATCACACATGTGAGGATACAGAGGGAGGAAAGAAAAAAAAACAGATAATTACTGGTGATCTAAATGATCCATCCGTGTCCACTCAGGGGTGATGTGATTTTATTTATATCATAAGGAGGGGTGTGCTAACTTGATTTTGGCAATGAATGTGTTAAAAGACACAGGGTTGAAATTTATACAGAAGAGGAAAAGAGTGGACACAGGTACATGATAAGTGCTTATGAAAGGACAAGGAATAATGGAAAAGTGTTTGTTATAAAGCAGCACACTCTGGCAAAATTAAATAATATATTTTGTTTATATGTAGTCATGAAAAGACAAATGCAACAGGAAATAAATATGGCTGCTCACTTGTTTCTTTTTGTTAACTGGTTTCCATCTGGTTCCAATTAGTGGAACAGCTTTCTTACATGTTACAGATAAATTTATAGACAGATCAGTTTTCTCAGGTGGACACAGTTCAGGCAGATTAGCTGGCCTCACAATGTTTACCAAATTCCTCAGTCGGATTTCTTCTTGTTTCAGAGCCGTTAATTGAGACTGGAATATAAATGAACAACATCAGCATTATTACAGTGTTCCAAATACTGTTGAAGAAAAAGTTCCAGGCTGCTAACACTTTCAAGATCAACCAGAATACATTTCCTGGTAATAGGCATATTCTACAGTATGCTGCTGCAGGTATGTGCTCAGAATGACGTGGCATTTACTTCAAAACTTGCAATCTGTAGGTATTTAAATAAAGCCCCTGCACTAGAAGGTTTTAAGTAAAGCTGGAAAAGCTTCCCTAGTTTTGTATGTAAAAATATTAAATTTTAATGCAGAATATAATAATTATTCCTCAGGTGCCTTGCAAGAAACAGGCTATTAATAGTTAGTTTTTCACTGCAGACTAATTTTGCACAAACAGAAATAAAGTAACAGAAATAAAGAAATTGAAAAGCACCTGAAGATGGCACCTTTGTGCCGAAACATGTAGTACAGGAGTGAAGAGTGAGGTGGATGAGTGTATGCACTGTAAGACGGCTGGAATAAATCATGGACATAAATCAGTGCAACAGGACGCTAAAATATAACAGAAATAAAGTAGCTAATATACCCTAACACAGTCAACTTTCCATCACATGAACCAAGTTCACTTTACATGATCATTCCCCAGTAATTTATTTCTGAGTAGTAGTTCTCAAAGCACTCCCCTAAACAGAGCCCACATTATACTTCAGACCATACACTGTCATAAGCTTCTGTGCAGCTTTTTGTGTTTGGTACTTGCCAGTGTCTGCACATGTAGCAGGTTCACTGAGATATCCTTTTACTTTTGTCTTTGTTGCCAGAGTTCACTAGGGACAGTGATCTAAGTTTGCTTGCAGAAGTACTCCTGGCACATTCATGAATATCTTCTCTACATCACCGAGTAGGCCTTCAGCAACCAGCTCATAGAACAGCTATGTGCAAGGTTTCTGTTCTTTTTTGCTGTGCAGTATGTGGGCATTTACCATACAGAGATCAAAGAGATGAAAGAAAAATTTCTTCTTTAACTTATTGGTTTTCTCTGAAATACAAAATATGGCAACATTTCACTGAACTTGTTGATGCCAGTTCTGTATTTATTGTACCCCATACTGGTACAGTTTTTGTTTTTAGAGGTTCTGTCCCCTAGGTGTTTGTACCTCAGCCACCTCATCATGAAGAGCAGTACTCAAAATATGAATATCTCAGGTGTTTTCCCACTTTACAGCCAAGAGCTGATGTCTTTGGCAAAAAGAATTTTGGGTTAGAAAATAATCAGTCCATATATACAGCGTGCCTCTTTTTTTGATTTGCTAGCTCAGCATATCAACTCTGAATGCGCTGTTGAGATCTGTGCCCATAGGATATGTGCCTGCTTATACAAGGGTCATTATTAGATATAACATATGTTTATTTATTATAAATAAATGATCTTAGGAGAGTTAGTCTTCTGACTGATGCTTAAGACAGGGACCTTCTGAATATTACAGAGTTCAGTCACTCACTTGTGCCTTCCCCACTGTAAACACTTTATGCCTGAATTCATGCTCAAACTGAAGTCCTTGTTTCTGTAAGGACACTTACACATACTGAAGCTTAACTTTAATCATAATATTTACCTTAATTCTGCTTACTAGTTTTCTGTCAAATTCTGGGGCAGACAGTTTCATCATGAAGGCGTCAAGGGCGTCTTCATCATCGTCACCATCACCATCATTCTTATGTTGTTCAAATGGGGACTTGTTAACAGTTGCTGATGCTGTCTTAAGTTGAATTTCTAGATCCCGAAGTTGTGATAATATCTCATTATGTTTCTTCACCTAAAAAGAAAAAGTACAAAAATGTAAACATTCTTTATCTTTATTAATATATTTCTTTCATATAATGATGTAGGATGGTACTGCCTTGATAGCAGGAATGTAATGGAATAGGTCTTATACAGGTACATGCACACACATAAGAATTTCTGGAAAGAACTAATTGTCTGCTTTCCTTTCACTACATACTGAGTATTCGATATGACATGGACCACATAGGAAACACCATGTCCAACAGTTCATCTATTGTTGCATATGTATTTGTTGCCATTGGACTGTGTTTGCCGAGCCATTACCTAGCAGTGGCCATCTCTTCTGGCTCCACTGTTCCAACTTGTTGTGAGGAGGGGACAGCCACAGACAGCAAGGTTGTCTCATAAGCCTTTCTTTATTTAAAAAAAAGGAAAGTCAGCTAATAACAAACTTCCTCAATGCTTACCAAAGAGTCATAGGTCTCAACAACCTCTCCTGGATCTTTTTTTCCAGCAGCTCTCATCCTCTGCTGTCGTTTCTTTTCTACAGTTCCTGTTCTGTCCAAGAAGGTATCCTCATCACTGTCATAGTAATCCTCAGCCTCCCAATCCTTTGCTTTGCGCTTCTTGCTCTCTGTAAACAGGGAATTCTTGTAACTAACAGTCAGTTATGCACACTTGCAGTCCGCAAAGATTAAGACATATAGTTGTGGAAGGATTTTTTTTTTTTTGCATTCCTGTTAAAGCTATTTTATATCACTGGTCAAAAAGTAAAAATGACCTATTGATATGGAACAGATTAATATCGGCATCACAGAGTATCCACCCGTTCCCTATACCTGATAGAATAAGAGGTAAAATTTTCAAAGTCACCCATTAACTCACATTTGAATTTACTCACTATTCACAGGGAACTTCCCTTATCGTCTTAAGATTTCAGTAGTAAGACTACTATACTATAAAGGGGACAAAACTAGTATGTCACACTAAGGCCAATTTCACTACTGACTACTTTCTTTAAAGCACTTAAGATAGCTTAAGTCATTATTTGCAGACTATTAATATATTAGTCCCAGAACAGTTTGGCTTCACGAATGAAACATCCACTGAAAGTGCAGCTTTTAAGCTAACAGTCAATGTGTTAAAATCTATCCATAAAAAAATGCATGTTGGTGAAATATTCTGTCATTTGGCAAAAGCTTTTGAGCACGTAAATCACGAAATTTTATTCACTAATTTAACTGGGGGGGGGGCATTGAATGAGCAACAGGAAGTTGGTTCAGACCTGACAGAAAATAAAAGATTGAAATAAAATCATCAAATTCAACACAAAGTACCAAACTGGGGAATAACAAAGCATGGCGTTCCCCAGGCACCAATTTTATGGCATTTTGCTTTTCATAATCTATGTAAGTGGGATTATTCTTGGGGGTAAAGGGCGGCCAGGGTGTAGGGCTAACCTTGCCGCCATCTATGAGCTGATTGTCTAGAAAAGGTGGGAACCTCAACATCTCACAACCCTATGGGCCTCCATGGCCTGTTACAGGGATACCTTTACTTTTATTTTTATGTAAGTGACCTGCCTCCTACACTAAATACCTCATCAACACCCATAATATCCACTGATGACACTAGTGCCATAAATTCTAGTAAAAATTTAGATGATTTCTGCATACTATCAAACAAAATTCTCTCTCAAATGTGTAAATTCTTATCTGCAAACAAGCTGTCCCTGAATCTGGATAAAACAAATGTAATGAAATTTGTAACAAAAAACCCACCACAGTATCCATTCAACATTGGATATAATGATAAATATATAGAAGAGGCAGTAAGCACAAAATTCCTTGGCCTACAAATTGATAATTATTTAAACTGAGAAAACCATGTTGATCAGTTGGTTCCAAAGCTAAGTGCATCATGTCTTCTGGGTTGCATATCAGCAACACTGACACACTCAAATCTTTCTTTCTTTGGCTTACTTTCGCTCTTTAATGAAATGTGGTATAATTGTCTAGGGTTAATAATCTGACAGCAAAAAAGAAATTGTTAAACTCATGATGGGTGTCAAATCCTATAATTCTTGTAGAGATCTATTTAAGAGACTGGAGATCCTAACTCTTTCATCCAAATATATATTTTCATTAATACATTTAATTACAAATAATGAGGAACATTTTCAGACAATTGCAGATGTACACAGTGTTAACACAAGACACAAGCACTATCTCCATAAACCAACTGCTAACCTCTTATGCTTTCAGAAAAGCACATATTGTGTGGGGGTCAAAATTTTCAATAATCTGCTATCTGATATCAAAAGTCTTACAAATGAAAAAGGACAATTTAAAATAGCATAAAAGTTATACTTAAACACACATACCCATTCTACTCTGCTGATTAATACTTGGTCTCTAAAAAGTGACTAATCCATGTAAAGGTTGTGAAAATAGCATAAGTTGACAGTATTGATGTATGTATGTGGATATATTTTTGAATAGCCTTATGTGTAACCACTGTGTTTTCTTGGGTTTTCTTATGTGAAAACTTCAGTTGTACTGTACATATGTTTTTGTGTATAGTCCACATCCTGCAGCCACTTTGACTAACTTTGGATCCAGAGAATGTAGTATTTTGAAGAAAATTCTCTCAAAACAAAAGCAGATTACTGTTACAGTATTTTAGAACAACAAACAGAAAACGCCTGGTTATCTGATATCCAGGCATCCAGGATATTCATCCAACCAGCAGAAGTTGCAAATAAAAGTCACAATTTTTATAAAGTTATTCAAACAAATTTGAGATTTGCACATGTCCGCCCATAACGTGGCAGTTCTCCCAGCCGCCACAAGCACCACTACCCATCATTCTCCCTCAAGCTATTAGTAGAAGCTAGTTTAATATTACAGTATATGTATGCGAAATTTTTAACTATTAAATCCATTCTGTCACATAGGAAGACTTCCATACAAGAAATAAAGTGAAAAATCTTGTTTAAGCTGTGTATTCGTTCCCTGTAAGAGTTTTTCTCATGCAACCGGGAGATTCCATTCCCCCCACATGCCACATAACAAGGAGTTTACTGTATAAAAAGTTGCATAAACTGTAAAGATGTACCAATAAACTTACCATGAGTAGCTTGACGGAGAAGTCCGTATCTGTCTAACAACCTGCAGGCCTCAAGAGCACACTGAATTACTGCTTCCTTTTTCTTCCCTTTCACAAGGGCCTCAGCTATCATTGTGCTGCCCCTTGCATTTTCAATTGGTAATCTGGGAAGCAGAGCAGTCTTTCTTATTTATGTTAATTACATACTGTGAAATTCCTATTCAGTCATTACCTGATGGGCAGTGGATTTCAGCAGAAGGAAGATCTTCACTAGAGGAAATTCAGTATCAAAATATCAGATCTTGAAATCTTCACTAACTACTTTTTTCAGTGTCGTCTTCTGAAACTGGAATATCATGTAAAACTGGAAGAGATTCAAATTCTTAAACAGGGATTTTTTGTTTTGTAGTACTTTACACCCCATTGACTTAGCAAGAGTGTTACTGTGCATTTGTCAACTGGCCTTGGCATTCACTTATTATAGATACAAATATACGGTTGGAAACCAAATCATGCTACAGGTACGAGTATATTGCACTAAATGGAAAATTATTTTTATTTGTACTGCGTTAATTGTTTAACATATTGGAAAGTCTTTATAAAAACTGTAGATCTTATTGAGATGTCGTGGAAACATTTTCTTATGATGAACCATTTTTCAGAAATGTGATATAGTTCAGTCTGGATCTCATATAAAGTAGTGTTACTATTGACTGGTACATGCCAAAATTAAGTTTGTCCAACAGCTTGTAGTGCTCACCCAGTAATATAAAATTTCATTGAAATTTGATATGTAGTCTTGAAAATGAAACATGTGGATAGAAAATCAAGCAATGTATAAAGATTATACATACTCAACTCTGCACAGAAACTGTCCAAATCCTTTCTCTTCAACATCATATTCCAATTCGTAGCCCTCTCGTTCAAACCAGCCACGCAGAGTCTTTTTGGGATCATTAATGTACAGGTCTTCATTCTGTGTTGCAGCAAATGGGTTTTCTGCCAAATCTGTCTCCTCATTAGCATCATCACCTACAAACATAATAAATGACAAAATTAAGTTCTAGTGTTTTGTTGATATTGTTACCTGGTACCAAGAGAACTGCACAAGAAGAGTTCAGTGATTGAAAACATAAACAAATGTAAAATCCTGTCATTAGTTTTAGATATTTTACAACAAAACTCAGCAGCTACAGGATTTTAACAGTGCATTACCCTCCCACACTGTAGCTGCAGTCACTGTCTCACCTCTTCACTTTTCCTGGTGCATAACTCAAAGAGGTCAGGTCTGAAGTCATGATCTGTATCTAGTGTGAATTTTGCCAGGATAGTCGCTATCCAGACTGAAGTTTCTTTATGGATTACCTCAGTCTTTCATGAGAACGGCACAACAGTGCCTTGAAAATGTCATATCTGCCCTTCATTTGATTTTGTATACCCTCTGTTGCTGGAATAAGGTAAAGGTAAATGTCAAGGTTCTGAAGTGAACGGAGAAGTTCATGGAGGTAGGCCTAGGTCCACTGGGGCTGTAGTGCCAAGGAAAAAAAAAAAGGTCAGACTAAAGCCTTAAATTCTTAGATTATTTAAGATATTTTCAACTGCAATGGTGAGAAATGAATGCTGATCATAAGAGGTATGTATACATTTTTGGAGGAGGCAGTCATGAACTGTTCCAAAGGACCCTCTCAGCATTTGCCTAGGGAGGGTGAGCAAAAATCATGAAAAACCTTAGTCAATATAACCAGTAACTGGCTGATACTTAAATTGTGTACCTCCCAAATGCAGAGCCGCAACTGCTCAGTCGGTATAGCAACTAGGCTACACACTGGACAGCAGAGGAGTTGGTTGATTCCTGGCAGAGGCAAGAGATTTTTCTCTTCCCCATTATGTCCGAACTGGCTCTGGGGCTGTTTGGGGCATGTGGTAGCATAGTTGGTTGAGGCACTACAAGCCAGAAGGTTGTGGGTTCAAGTCCCAATGAGATGATTTTTTTCAATTTAACTAATCTTCAGGGACAAGCGGTAGCGTAGTGGTTGAGGTGCTGCGCTACAAGCCAGAAGGTCATGGGTTCAAGTCCTGATGAGGTCACTGGATTTTTTTTTTCAGTTGACCTAATCCTTCTAGCCACACTAGGCCCTGGGGTTTACTCAGCCTCTAACAGAAATGAGTACCAGGAATTAATAAAATAATTTTCCTGAGGAGTAAAGCGCGGCCGGCGCATAAGGCTTACAATCTTACCGCCATCTTTGAGCCAATTGTCTAGATAACGTGGGACCCTCAACATCTCACAACCCTATGGGTCTTCACAGCCTGGTACAGGGATAGCTTTACTTTTACTTTACCTAACCTTCCAGCTGCACAAGGCCTTGGAGTCAACTCAGCCTCTAACAGAAATGAGTACCAGTAATCTTCCTGGGGGGTAAAGGGCAGCCAGTGCATAAAGCTGACAATCTTACCACCATCTGTGAGCCAACTGTAGAGAAAATGTCTGAGCCTCAATGCCTCATGACCCTATGGGCCTTTATGGCCTATTATTACAGGGATAGCTTTACTTTTTACTTGGGTATAGTGGCAAGAATGTGAAGCTGACCACGCAACTTCATCTGGTGCCAAGGTTAAGAATGGTGGAGGCATACCTCCGCTCCGTCATACATCTTCATGGCATGGTGCTGAATTAATTAAAGCCCAGGGAAAACTTTGCCTTTTTACCTTTAGCTCCCAAATGCAAGATTAGAACACTACTGCTATATCTACTTGCTTGGCAACACACATAAATGATCATGTTTGTGGGGTATTTAAAGATGCAGTATCAACTGCAGCAGTTCTGTAGCAATGTATGAGATAACATGTTGATCATATTATCGTGAATAGGAAGTGATCATGTCCTGCATACACAGCGGAAGTATTAACCCATACTTTTTAGTATGATTCATGTCTTGTAGTTCATCTACAGATTGTTTTGAAAAGTAGTGTGGTTGGAAGTTGTGATTTGTATCTGAACTCACCCATTCCCCAGTCAATGCCCTGTTCTTCCTCCAATTTTAACCTTTCCTCCTCCTGCCGCTGATATTCTAGCTCTTCAAGTTCTTTGGCTGCAAGTTCCAGCTGTCTCTTCTCTTTCAGTTGTGTGACAGTGAGTTCCGATTCTTCCTCCATATCCTCTTCCGGCCCTTGCAGCAGGAACAAACGTGTGCTGAGACCCAGTTTTAGTATGTGTCCCACCTTATCAACGCAACAGAGATGAACATGTATGTATATGTATACATATATAACGTATGTAAAAAACAAAAAACACACACACACACATCATCTGAAAGAATGTCACATATCATTCAGGCTGTATGGCATCAGTTTGCATGACACACATTTGAACTTGTAGCATAGTTGACTGGTCAGTAGCATATATGTATAATGGTTTCTCTTCAGTACCACCCCAGGAAATCTCTGGATAGCTACTGTGCAGTGAAGCAGCCTCCATAGTCTAGAGGTAACATTCCCACCTCATGACTCGTGGTACGTGGGTTCAAACCCGGCGGAGGTCGTGGAATTTTTAAGGGTGGAAAAATTCAGGGAACAAGTCCTCCGGGAGGGACTTTAAGCCGTGGGTCCCGTGTCATAGCTTTACGGCACGTAAAAGAACCTCATATCTCCAAAGGAGGTCTCTGAGCTAAATTCAAGGACATTTCCCGCCCAACAGTAGTCTCTAACGCCTCTGATAGATGGGGAAGCATTATAGATACCGCCAAGCCAGTAGAGGCCGAACTCGCTGGCTCGGTCGGGACTGATGGTACACACCAATATCGGTAGGGTATAGAGACTGGTAGAATATCATACAGGGAAGCACAACAGACCAATACTGGTCTCAGTGCATGGGGAAACCCACCCTCTCCAATAACTAACTACTGTGCAGTGAGCTTATATAGTATGTGTCTGTCAATTGTAATCACATGTCCCTCTTACTGTATTAAACATTAGTCATCTTATCACTTCTTGCGTTGAGATGCTGCGAGAGTTACACAATGAAATGAGTGTTCATTTGTGATGCCCATATGAAAAGTAAGTTGACTATTTTTGCATAAGTTTCAGGATGTTACTTGCAAAAAAAATATGCATACAATCATAAATAAACATAGAGGGTTAGGGTCATTATTGGACAAAATGAACCAAATCAGAATGCCAAGCGTTCACTAAAGAAAATTTGGATTAAATCAGTATTTGGTTTGACTGTTCCACTTGAACAATCCTTAGATGCCTTGCACAGGAGACTGGGGTTTAAAGTATCAGGTTTTAAGTTTCACTGCTCTATTTTTGAAAGGAGACTTCAGCATTTGAATATTGTCATTTTACAAAAGTGCAAGGGATGCACGTAGAACAGTATGGAACATTTCTGACATCTCCTGTGGGCTTGTCAATTAAGCTGTGGATCTGAACTTACACAGGAGTTGATGTAAGGAGCTTAGCCTGTCTTTTCACAGGGCTGGTGAAACAATTTGCAGCAGGCTGTCAAGTAACCTCACTGTATATACTGTATGAAGTTACAGTGAAATAACTGGATTTGTGTTTATGTGATGCATTTTGCAATAACAAAATTCAGCAGTTTTGTATCAAGAAGTCGTTGGGATTGGGTTTATTTTGTGGTGGTGGGGAGTGTTTTGTTTATCAAGAAATAAAAATTAGCTGACCTTTCAGCAGGATTGTTGGAAGAATCCAAGCTTTTATAATAAAATAATTGGTGATAAGACCTCAATCTCCCTGTATGGCTCAGAAACAAAATGTCAATCTCTAGTGGGAAAGTGGTGGAGTATTTGAGATCAGAAAAAATATGGATGTCAAAGTTACAGGCAGAAATCATGCTGATTTGCATTTTTCTTGGTGTGAGGAAAAATTCATTATGAATTTGTTCCTCCAAAAAGAACAGTCAACTGAACATTATATAACAAAAAAAAACACATTTGGTCAGAATAAATTCTACATCATGAAAGTGCTCCCTCCAACACAACAATTTTGGTAAAGAAATCTTGGTCTAAAAAGAAATGTAGGTGTTGGGATCAACCATACTCACCTGTTTTGGGCTAGTGTGCATGACTGTATTGTTGCTTAGGCATTTAGGCATTACACCTACAGCCTATGAATCAAACAAAAATGAATGGTTCTATCATCTAGGATATGTGTAGTTCATTCAAAGTTGACTGCCATTTTCTAGGACCACATGGCCTCAGTCTTCAGGGTTGAAGAGTAAACCAAGCAAGAAACAAGCATGAAGCCTGCTTCACGCTTCCTCCCACTTGCTTCACAGCAGCTTCTGTTAGATGTATCTTGATAAAAGTTGACATGATGACATTTTATGGCTCCTTGAGCTACCTAAGATGGTCCCCCCCCCAAAGCCATCTGTCTGGTTGTTTGTCTTCATAGTATCAAAATCTATAAACCATAATGCCTATGGCCTACAGATATCTTCATATGGGTCTACTAGTGTAATTTGTTCATGGCTCTTGAACTCAAAATCTTCCTGAAATTCTCACTAGGAATAATTTGAAGACATTCAGAGCAATGTGATGTTACTAACATGACTTTCAGAAAATAACACCCAGCAGTATGTCCAGGCATGCAAATACACTGGCGTGTGTGTATAGCCACATCAGTCTGGTTATTTGTCAGAGGATATAATATCTAACAATGATTTGTTGCTTCACATACTGAATAGTATTATAAGTTATTTGTATCATATGTAAAACTATTTTAGAAGGCTGGCATTTGAATAGGCATACGTGACCGAGTGCATCCCACTTTAATGTCTTAATATAGAAATGCGTTTCCGTATTAAAACAATCCTTTAGGAAAAGCACAAAAATTATGAAAACTGATCAGAGTTTTATTTCAGCCAGACCAAACAGGAAGCACTGGCCTGAGTTAAAAGACAGTGAACATGTGATTATTATATGTATAATGTTTGTAAAGAGGTTTATACTTATTCAACATACTGTGCTTTCAGAATTACTGTCACAGTATGTTAATAGAAACGCCTATTAATGGAGTATCTTTTTGTGGGTTTCTTATGGTCCTGTCATCACTTTATCTACATATGAATTATGCAATGACTGGTGAATTGAAAAGAATTTGGAACTGGCCATAGCCTGATCAAGATACTCTCCTGGTATTTGTGTGGTGGAACTGAGGAAAACCACAGGAAACCCCCTTCAGGTTAGCTAGTGTCCCACCCAAGGTTATAACCAAGTGCCTCAAAAATACAAGCCATAGCGTTATGACCACATTAACCTACTTGGTCTATGGATGATCAATCATGAGGGACTGAAAAGAAATATGTCTCAATAAACAAGGCACATGACAATAGCAGACTGTGTGGTAATGAGTACACTATGAAAATTGCTTATTAAAACTTAACTTCTTCAGTCCTGAAACCTGTGAATAACTGTAACAAATGTATTTAATAGCAAAAGTTAACTTAATGTATACCGTTTCTTTTTTTTTCTTTTTTCTTTTTTTCATTTGTACATAACCATATTATGAGTTCTTTCATTGATAGTTCAGTGGATCAATTTAAACAAAACAGTATATTTCTGATGTAAATCTACTTTTAAATACCCACCTGTACACGTACAAACATGTTGGATTTGATCCGATTTTTATTTAGAAATGTTCCATGTGTGCTTCCGAGATCATATATATAAAATCCAATAGGGTTATTTTCACTTTCTTGAGATCTGTATTGCAACACAGCATGGTGCCTTGAAATTGTTGGATGTGCCATATGGATATCACAAGTTGATAAGCGGCCAAAGACATAAAAGGGCTTGGAATTTAAACTGACATTTTCCAATATTTTACCGGACTTCAAAACCTCGAAACTATATATTTCATTTGGTATGCCACTCCACTTCGGCTCCTTGTATGGTAATGGAAGCGAGCTTTCTTTAATCATCTCTGCCGGGGATACTGCACCACTTATTTTTGTTTCTGAATTTATCACAGTGCTTGGGTCTGCTTCAGAATCGTCACTTATGTTAGAGTCTGTAAGTGGAATATTCCCTGTAACTTCTGTCACTGTCGGTTCTTCTTGAGGTTTATTATCTATACTTCGTACTTTGCCAATAACTTTACCTCTTCGAGGACCAATTATAAGTTGCGGTTTCTTGAATATATCTTGCAATGGGCTTCTACAATGTGAAACTTCTGAAGGAACCTTAACCTCACTTTCAGGCGAAATAGAAACTTCTACGCTTGGATTTTCATTTCCCTCCTCCATTGTCACTGAGTCGCGCATCTTCTCCGCCTGTTCTAATGCTTCCATGTCATTTCAGCAATAAATAGCATTAAATGGATGCATATCGAATACACGGGCAAATACATATAAACACTACAAAATATCAAAACATACATGCTTTGCGCATGTTATACGCAATCACGAAACAGCATTGCCACTATCGTGACATTAAATTGCTTGAAAAATTGTAATTTTCCCTACTTGCAAGTAAGAAGCGTCTTTATAGCGAAGGGCTATGGGATGAATGGACGGAGTTTGATTCCCGGAAGGGGCAAGATTTATCAATCCTGCACGGCGTCCGGACTGGCTCTGGGGCTGTGAGGAATTGAGACATCTTTCCCCTTTAATTCCTTGACTTATGGTCCATGACTGCATGGCGTTTGCTTTACTAGTTGTTGCGTATTATTTGCCGGACCTTCATTGAAGGTTCGTTGCCTGGGAACGTTTCGTGTATAATAACACTGCATATGAATATTCTTTGACATTACCCCGTGTGGAGGCGGGGTCGAATACCTCCACCGTGACTCTGTGAGTCGTAGGAGGCGACGAAAAAGGAAGTCCCAAATCTGAGACAGTAAAACATGGTCGCGAGTACCAAGGGACTCGGACCTGAGAAAGCCTGAGCTGGCAAGGGCCAGTAGCATATACAAAAGACAGACCCGTCCTCTTGTCAGAGAAGGAGCCCCACAGAAACAAGACCGTAACTGTCAAACAGTAATAAATATCT